TTACCAAATAGCTGCGGTACATCGCCTCCTGCAAGCTCCTCATCGGGTGAGTAACTAATTACCACTGTTTTTTTTTGTCGATTTTGTAACGTCTTTTGTGACGTTTACAGATTATAAAACAAAAGCTTTGTTTACAGTTTTCTTTTTAAATCATAGATTATCTTCAGACAATGAGTTCGCATGTCATAATTGTTTGTTTTCAATCAGTCATAATAATATAATTGAGACACTTTAACGGTTTTTTCTCTGTTTTATATTCAAACAGTTTTTCGTTATAAGATGGATGGTTTGTTTTAAAAAAAGATCTCTGCGTTCTAGAAGACCACAATCTGAATTTAATATCAAAAAAATTCATACCAGTACCAAATTCAGTTTGAATTGGATAATAAGATCTTGCAAAATAATCTCAGTATGTACACAGAAAAAAAAAAAGGTATACAGAAAACCCTAAGCACATAGAAGAAAATGACTACTTAAATTAGACGAACGAACTAATCTCGCGAATATAATAATTTTCGTAATAAAAAAAACATATTTTCATTGCGTGTAATGAACTTGGCTTCTTCGCTTAGGAAATAGTACTGCAAACATTGACACACAAATCAGTCACTGATAACGTTAAAATTATAAATTTAGTTTGGTAGCATTTTTGTTCAGATTATGATTTTTTACAGAATTCGTTATTACAAAGCAATCTGAAAGAAAATAGAATGATAATTTACTGGAGGAATAATAAAATAGTAAAGAATTGAGTAAATAGGAAAGAACTTAAATATTTTTGAAATAATCGCTACCACAGTCTACTAACGTAAACTGGTAATAGAGGACTATGTGCCCTACCCTTTTGTGCTCACAAAGCTCCCGACTCCTAGAATGAACGGACACTAACTTTTTATTTATTTTAACTTCTCCTCGCTAATTGATCGAAATTGAAATAGGCACATCAAGATGTACATTAATTTCATTTATAAATTTTATGTATTACATTGTCCTTTCTGCTTTGTTAATAGCCATTTAAAAATAATTCATTCAAAATTTTTTTGATAAATGAAAACTGGTGTTCTTAAGAACAAAAGAAAGAGATAGAGATAGTCACTAAAGGGAACAGCTGAGAAAATGGCACTCAACTGTTTTTCTTTTCCTATTTATGTTGAAACATATATACAGATTACACGATTATTTTTTTTGCCTGCTGATAATTAATTGTTCGTTCTCAGGGGTCAAAACCGGCCTTGTCTCACAACAAGTCGGGCCATCTTACCCGTTATTTTATATATTATTACAACTGCTATGTACTTCAAGCGTGAAGGTTCAGTTATTATACAGTCATACTGACTTTTACGCGTGGCTTCACTCGAGTTGAGGTAGAAAAATAAATCGACTCTTGAGGAATAGTACTTTTTTTAATTAAATGTAGGTGTCTTATGTCCCTTTTAGTATCACTGACAGCGTGTATATATTTTTTCAACATGATCGGTTGAGTAGGCAAGCTAATGAAACGTTGTGTATAAACAAACTCACTTTCGCATTTATAAACTCAGTATGGATTCGTTCTTGACAACAACGCAAAATGTGATAAAATGTAGTAACGCATGCAACCTTTTAAAATTTTCTTGTATTGCGCTCTTAATTCTTTCATACTATTTTTTTTTATTGCTTAGATGGGTGGACGAGCTCACAGCCCACCTGGTGTTAAGTGGTTACTGGAGCCCATGGACATCTACAACGTAAATGCGCCACCCATCTTGAGATATAAGCTCTAACATCTCAGTATAGTTACATATTATTATTGTTTATACATGAGCCGCGCGAACACTGATTCTAATTCAGATGAGTTTAGACGATTTTTCGATCGAAAGTGTATATATTTATGCACACGATACTCGCACGTTAAATTAGTTAGAATAAACTTACTATGAACGGACGCTAAGCCGATCGGTTACTCACCGTGTTATTCGGCTAAAATTATACAAGTTCTAAATACTTCTGGGCTACGAAATCACAGGTGAATAATGTGACACTACCAGTAGTAGTGGACTTCTGCTTACGTTCTGTAGTTATGACTAATGAAATAATAATCACAAAACTATTATTATGTTATCAAACACGTGATTTAGAGGTATTGCAATTTATTTATCTTGTAGGTTATTTTTATATACTTAATTTACTTTTTAGGCGCCGGAGTCAGACATAACCTAACATTTTAAAAAAATCCTCTACCGAGTAAAATAAAAAAGGAATCTCCCGCGTAAAAAAATAAGGGGCTTATTTTTAAAATATTTCCGGAAACTACATAAAAAACACAAATAAGATTGCAAAACGTTTAAACTGTATTTAAAATTTAAGAAATTATAAAAGCATTTTTATAGGTATTTGACTTTTGTAGACAATAAAATATGCAAAATCAATCAATCGTGCTAATCACGTAAGACAGCGTTATACTAGAAGTGAATTGTCAAATACGGAAGTAGCATTTGGCAGATTTAACAATAAAGTTACTGGAATGACATCAGCCACTTAGCAAGTTAATATAATTTTCGGTGTTGTCGGGACAAACTCGCCCGATATTTCAAGGTTTTTTGGACACTTTAATGAAAAAATTACCTAATTTTTTTTTCGTTTATTTGTAATATACATGACCATTATAAGTACAGTATGTGTGATAGCATACTGTAAAAATGGCATAGACAAACATTTGATTTTTTGTTTCCAAATAATAATAAAAAATACGCAATAATAATTGAATGAGAATTCTAATATGATCAATTAATGTATCATTTCGGCTGTTGTTGTTCGAATTACATAAAGGCTAAGAACATATACCTATATAATTCGCGGCAGAAATAGGCAAGATAGTGTGCCTAACTGTGCGGGTTTGCGATACGCCCTGCCATCATTAATTGCGCAATTTTTTGTGGGTTTGATTTTTGTTGCACTTAAGTTACAAATTATCTTATACGTCTCAAGATATTCAGGTATTTTAGTTATGATGCTCAGATGCACTGAATAAGTTGATTTTCCTACAGTTGAAATTTTCTATTTTTAATTATAGTAACTAAAACTAGAGATTTTAACTGTTATTAGAATCTACGAAATTTATATGAAAATAGACAAAACAAAACAGTTAAATACAATTTTTTCCTATATTTGAAAAACTGTTTTAAATATAAAAAATATTAAAATTTCAGTTGTGTTTCAAATGTGTTTATCTCTTTGTCATTATCTTTTCAGTTTTATTTTAAAAGATATCAACGAGTTTCGGTGACACATATTTAATTTTCATGTACGTCAATAAAAATAATAATGAGACAATCTAATTCATAAATTGATCTAAATAAATCTAGGGAATGAATGATTCGAATTTCGAATGATTATTCGTTAAAAATAGTTGATCATAAAAAAAAACTTCATTTGCTCGTACTGTGCCGTTATCAGCGATATAATAAGACAATGATACTACTTACATACTAAATGTGAATAAGAATCGAAAATATAAATTTAATATTGAAAAACAAAATAATACGGGGCAGCTCGATATCGAAGGGCCGAAAGACGGGAGACTATTTTAATTACTTGCTCCAGTTTCCAGCTAAATGACCGCTGGCTTATGTCCAATTCGCCGCGTGTAGAATGCAACACCGAAACATCATGACGATGTATTAACATAATAAATTAAGAAAAAAATATTAACGAAAGAGCGTAAACAATATTTTAGGTAGATAGACAAATTGGTGATTCGGTAGGTATTTTGTGTTCTTAATCTAAAACAAAATAAATACAATATAAAGTGTTGATTGATATGTTTAGGTCATTATAAAATAAAATTGAATAGGAGTTAATAATCTAAAAATTGTTATGAATAATTGTCAATATCATTAACAAAATCCGCGAATTTAACTTTCTATATTTAAAAAATTGTAATTATACATAGTTCTATGGGCATTTAGATGGTTAAAGCATCCCTAAGTAGTTACTATAAAAATTACTGACGAGGATGTCAAAACTTCAAGAAAACCCCAATGAAATCAATCATCCATGAATCTCTACATAAATTCAAACATGTCATTGAGTTGTATATTTTTGCGAAAAGCGCCATCTGTCTACACTAGATCACAGTATTTGCAATCCTGAACGTGGATGTTCAAACCTTGAGGCTTGATAGCACAATTGGAATGCTTTTACAGTACCTATGATGTAGATGGCATTTGGACTGCAAAAATTGGAAAATATCTAGACATTCTAGGCTGATCAGAAATTAAACATTATTAATTAAACATTAAAAATTATTCACTTGCCAAAAAAGCTTCAAACTTGCTCTTAGTTAAGAGCTTGCATGTTCACGAAGGTACGAGCCACTGCCATTTAATTTTAAACACTATTATTATAAATGAAAAGTAAAGGAAAACCTAGGAATGATCTGACATAACTTAAAAACCTTTGTTTTAAATTTTTCTGTATCGCGTTCAGAAACTTCATATTTGGTATAATTAATAAATATATAAAAATAAATGGATTCTTACATTTACCATAAACTTTAACCATGTATCCACAGGTTAAAAACTCTATAACTTTGCGGTAAAAGATGAATATGTCTCGAAATCTCTTTAAGAAAAGCACTTTAGAAGTTTAGATGAACAATTACTAAAAAAATATATATTTTAAAAACTTTTTACTCTGTATTAATCCTTTTTTTTATTGATTAGTTGAGTGGACGAGCTCACAGCCCACCTGGTGTTAAGTGGTTACTGGAGCCCATAGACCTCTACAACGTAAATGAGCCACCCACCTTGAGATATAAGTTCTAAGGTCTCAAGTATAGTTACAACGGTTGCCCCACCCTTCAAACCAAAATGCACTATCGCTTTACGGCAGAAGTAGGCAGGGTGGTGGTACATACCCGTACGGACTCACAAGAGATCCTACCACCAGTTGTGAAGACTTCATAGTTTCCTCATATTTCCTCATGGACGCTTAAACAATTCGCATTGTATTTGTTACAGCTTGACGATGCGACTTTGCAAGTCTTCAAGGATGGAGATTATGGACCGTATTTAGACCTGGACTCCACATTGGGTGAACAAGATGAGGAGCTTGAAGGACTTCAAGACAAGTAAGTTAACAGTTTTAATTCAGCACTACTATTATGTCCTCCTTAAACGAGTAATTCTCAGTAGCAAGAGTAACCAGGCTGTTTCCCGGAAATTGGAAGCATTCACGGGCGGTTTGACAAATGGAATTTCGCATTAGAATGTGGACTTACAACACTGACATATTATGGATATTGGAACGTCATTGGACAAAAATAAAAATTTTCCATCGAAAGACTAAACGATATCGCCGTTATTGAATATCCGCGTTTTCAATTATAATTCAATTATAATTAGATAATTGAAAAGGTAATTGATAGCCTAACGAATGAATAGATATGATGAATGATGAAAATTTTTAGAATACGTATCATTTTGATAATTGATTTAAATTGATAATCTACGAAGAGATCGAGACCGTATCCAGACAAAAGTAGTTTTAAACTTTTACCCGAGATTTATGAAAAGTCACAAAAATCCACCGTAAAGGTCACGATCCTCAGCACTGAGAAACGCGATGTACATAAGTAGGAGGAGGATGAAAATTCGTTAAATTACGTTATTACGTACGTTTTTTTTTTTATTGCTTAGACGGGTAGACGAGCTCACAACCCACCTGGTTGTTAAGTGGTTACTGGAGCCCATGGACATTTACAACGTAAATGCGCCACCCACCTTGAGATATAAGTTCTAAGTTCTCAGTACACTTACAACGGCTGCCCCACCCTTCAAACCGAAACGCATTACTGCTTCACGGCAGAAATAGGCAGGGTGGTGATACCTACGCGTGCGGACTCACAAGAGGTCTTACCACCAGTAAAGTTATAAAAAAATGGTCCTAACTCGTACTTAATGAACCCACTGGAAAAGACATTCTTTAAATTTAAAAAACGTGTAATTATAGTACAATGACAACAACAACTAAATATTGAATTAGGTACGTATAAACATTAGTGATATGTATAAAGTAAAAATTAGACACATCTGAAGCCTCTGTTTTAAAGGATAACTAGCTGGCCCGGCAAACGTTGTGTTGCCATATAAATTATTTCTAGGAAAGATAAATAACCTAGATATCGACTGCAGTGCCATCTTCCGGGCTTATTTGTAAATCTAAACCATTCTTGAATCCACATGAAGGTACACAGAAAATTTCATTAAAATCGGTCCAGCCGTTTAGGAGGACAAACAGCGCAATGACAAACACACGGACAGAAGAAATATATATATATATATATATATATAAAGACTAATCTATTATGTATTTATTTACGTTATTATAACAGCACCCAGAAACACATACAGGACTATAAACACTCAAAGCAAGAATGCAATATAATATGTAGACAAAAGACTGACTCCGACCTGTAACCGAAGCCACACACCGCGATACACGATTTTCGTACATACATAGGTACTCCCTTTAACTATTTGCATTGTATCTTTACACACAACCATGCGCAATGTAGTGTAATAAAAAGCTTAAAAGAATAAAAAGCCAATCCATCATCGGACAGCAAAAAGGTATTGTCAATGAATTGTCGAGATTAATACGCGGCAGTTCCCCCTCAATTTGTTATGATGCGCTCTGACACTTCCTGCATCCTCTCAATTTTATAAATCAAATAATGACCCGACGATTCGTTTACAATTGTCGTTCGTGTAGTTTGTTACGGCAATATTGAGCAATCTTTTAGGTATATAGTTGCTCCAACGATGATTTATTTTTCTATTACATTACATTTACACGAGAATCAAATAGTTTTTTTTTTCTTCTCTCACCATTAAATAAATGAACATTAAATGTAATTTTTATTATTAATGAAAACAAGAGTTAGTTAAAATACTATTTATTATTTCGTTTTGACGCAATGTGTCAAGATAGGTTAACAAGCTGAGTGTCTATCTGGTGTAAAGGATACGTGAGGTCGGAGTCTCAATTGTATTGTATAAAGGCTTTCAGCTACTAACCTTCAAGATAAAAGTAGACATAATCGTAGTACCAACCCGTGCGGTTTTTCAAAATGCCCTACTACCAGTAAACGCCGATTTGCCGATTGGCGATCTTTTTTTTCCCTACCTATTCGCTGGAGTTACGTCCGAACGGGTAGGTGAGCTCAGGAGCTAAACTTGAGAGAATTTGCTAACACTAGCCCTAGCAAGAGCAGTGCTTTGCAAAACCTACGACCGGATCGGAATCGCGACCCATTAAGAAGATCTGGCAAGAAACTCAGTGGGCTATTAGCGATCACAATAGACAAGTAATCTGTCCATTATTTCGTACAATATACTTGTGTCTACAATTATATATTGTGTCTTTTGTACAAAATTACATTCGTCCTTTGTCTCATCTGGGTCGCTAGGGCTCGTCCGTCGTCGACCGCACGGCCTCAAAGGTCGTCGTACCATTTTCCAACGGTTCGAAAATAGAGCAGCACCGGATTCGACACATGTTCGGATTTATTTGGGTTACGGTAACATTCGAAAATGGGTAAACCACCTAATTCCATGGTTCCGATATCTTTTTTTTTTTATGTATTCATAAGCGTTTTATGAAAAACATCGGTATTTATAAATCGAAGACGATGAATAGAAAGTACGTTTGTTATGTATCGCGAAATTGTGAGTGTTCGACGTAATATAATTATTTTTTTAGTGCACATACATACAATCGCGATGAAGTCGAACATCAGTAAAAAATGGCACTCCGATTAAACAATGAACTTACATCGTGAGCATTAACAATACAGGTTGTTTATATATCTAAAATGCAATGTACTAAATCCACATCAAAGGCCTATAATACGTTATGTAGGTTTTTTTTTGAAGTTTTTGTAGACGTTTGTAGATTGTGCGTAGACGCCAAAATTAGGTGATTATTATCAAAATGTGTTCGGGGCGATTGAGAGCACAGTTGGGAGTAGTCGGCGATGGTGATCAGGCGGCTTGCCTTGCTGGACATAATATTATTATGTATTATAATTTCAAGTGACATGAATAAGCACATTTACCAAGTTTAAGTGAATTTTGCGTAGCTCGAGAAAATCAAATATGCCGTTTTAGTAACATACGTTATTTTAATTAATACAGTTTTGTTGAATACTGAATATTGTAAATTTGATTTGTGTTATATCTACTGTGTCTCTCCTCCTGTTTTAATATTGTTGTTGTTGTTGTTGTTATTGTAAAGTTGAAGAAATTCTTTGGTTGGTAGTTTTTAGGAATACCTACTGGGACAAATCCATTCCTATTTTTGTTGTCGTCTTTGTTAATAGAAGATTAATCACAAATTGTGCACCACTATAAATTCAGATCAAACTGGTAACAATAAAAAATTTAAATAATTATAAAAAAAAATTGACAAGAAAGAGTTAAAGTTAAATATAAAAATAAAAAGAAGAAAAGAAACAACACAAGTGAAGCATAAAGAACAGCCTGTGCATATACAGAGGGGAAAATGAATCGAGATTGGATGGGACTGGAAATCTTCACACGATGCGTCTATGTCGACAGCGGTGAACACATGCAACCGTGTCCGAAAAATATCCAAGTGTTGCGACAACCCTCGATCGACTCTGGAATCGTGGACTATGAAGACTTCGCTATACCCGATATGGATCCTCAAGAATTTTCAGATAAAGAAGATTTCCAAGATCCTGTTGAAATTTTAGACAAGTGAGTCGGATGCGGTCTCTCGTTATTCTTTAGCGCCGTGGATCGGATCCTCATTTTTTAAATCATAATTGAGGACCCTGGAAAATTCTTGTTCAATCAAAAAACATTAATTGATTACAGTTTTTGAATTAACAAATTCGTTTTTTTTTTTTGTTTTCAGTCGCAAAAATGCACTGGTTCTTCGCACCCAGCTGTCTGTGCGCGTACATTCCATTATGGGTAAGCAATCAAAAACTGTTTTTTTTATTACATAAGCCTTGAAGCAAACTATTTGAGTCTTGTTCCTTATGTCTTGTCTTGAGTCTTGTCTTATTCCTTATGTATGTTTTATTTAGTTATTCATTGCATAGACGGGTAGTCGATTCTGTTGTACATATATAAGCTCAAGCACCAATAATTTTTAGTTTTCAAATTCATACTTTTCACGGCTTTAAGTCTTATTTATGAATATGATTTTATTTAAATCAAACAAGTACAGATTAAGAATTTTCAAAAAAATAACCAAGTGATGCAAGCTCTTAATACTTACATTACCTATAAATATGATAACTAATAAGTTACAAATAGTCGATAGCGCTTGACATATTAATGTGTTTTTATAAAGCGGTTTCAAATAAATGAACACATAAGTGGTATAAGTACATTAAGTACAATTTTTAAGATTTTTGAGTTTTTACATTGAATGAAGGTGTTATGTGCATATAAGCCATATTAGACCTTAAAACTCCGGGTTAAAAGGCTATTTTTAGAAATTGCATGTGATGAAGGAGTTATGTACGAAGAAAAAGTACAACTAACAAAAGTTGTTACCCATTTTCTCAAAATTAACAAATTGTATCATATCCCCTTCATCCACTCATGTCTTCAAATATATTTTATTAATGTTTTTTAACTGTACCCAATCTGTGTGTTTGGTCTAAAGGTGCGTCCATCAGTTAAAGTTTCTTTAACACTAAACATACCATAACGGATCAAATGATCTTGAACCTTTGCATTGAAAATGCTCGTATCATCTTATTGCTTTTGCACATTTGACTTCATGATTTTTTCTTACCAATTATTCTACAGTTATTATATAATTTTTGTTTGTTTTTAATACGCTTCAGACGTCCGCCAGTCCGGCGTCGCAAGGGGGAGGGTGATGGGAGAGATGTGCTCCGCACTAAACGCTTCACTTTCCCCCCTTTGCCTTGTCATGAGTTCTGTCTCATGCGAGGTTTGGACGTTGGTTGTTGAGCGACAGGAGGTTTTAGTCAGTTCGACTCTGACATACCCCGCCCAGTAAAAAAAAAATCTTCAGACGTATGTATGTTTGTAACGGAATCTTTGAACATGATTTTGACTCCCTTCAAAACGTCGGATTAACTCGAAATTTGGTATAGTTATTAAGGACTGATGACAATTCAACAATTAAAAAAAATTGATAAAATTTAAATTCAACTAAAAAATGAAGAATAAATAATAGTTTAAAAAACTAACAAAATACGCTTTTATAGAAAATCCAACTAAAAACTGGGGTGCATGGTATAAGTAGTTATAAATATTTTATGAACAGATATGAGCATAAGGGTTATTTTGATAATATCCTGAAAAGCGTATTTTGTTAGTTTTTTTAAACTATTATTTATTTTTGTTTTGTTTATTTTGAGTAATACTTATCGTATACCGCTATAGTAGAAATAGGTACTAGTAAGTGTTGGTATGATTAGTGTTAAGTTTTAACAAATAGACTAATTGTTATGTGACGCAAGTGTAGTACAACAGTAAGTACGACAATTGAGTCGTCTATTATCAAAGGTAGCAATCTGTGCATTTGGACAAAAAATTGTTATTGATATTTCAATTCAGATTGATTTGAATATAATCGTCTCCTTCAAAGAATACGGTTCAAAACCTGCATTAAATAAAGGTTAATACTTAACCTGTTATTTATCTAAGATGTCCTTCAGAAGAGTTTTGTGACTGCCAATGGAATACAAAGTCAATAATTCGTTTTTCTGATTTACCAATAATTATCCAAAAGTCACATTGCCGGCTTTGATAATAGTCGACTCAATTATGTCTTTCTGTTGCCAAACAGGAATGCTACCGTCGTTGTAGGGTAGGAAGACCGGTATAAAATTGTGAATTCGACCTAGATTTCCTAAGATGGGCGGCGACATTCACGTTGATACGTCTATCCGATGACCCCTTCGATTCATTAGGCTCTCGATCGCGAAATATGAGCTTACTAAAACAATGACGACGAAGTGTAGATGTAACCTTGTTTTGTGTCTCTTTCGGACGTATTAGAATTAGCTGCAACAGAAAGCACGATGTAACCTAGGTAACGTGTACCGTAGAAGCGAATATTACGTTTATTGTCGAGTTCCTTTTATTATTATTATTATTTTTGATCCCCCAACGTTAACAGGATAAGGAAGTATAAAGTTTAAATTAATGTGCTCATTAAATTTTCACAGAACGCTTGCTACACTCTCAGGGTCGTGAGCTCCGGCGAGCTCTGTTCTCCCTCAAACAGATTCTACAGTCGGACAAGGATCTGGTCCACGAGTTTGTCGCCAACAAAGGTCTCGACTGTCTGATGCAAGTTAGCAACATGGCTGATCATAACTATCTGGATTACATACTCAGGGCCCTCGGACAGGTGAGTAGAAACGAAATGATGTCGAATGAAGATATGGCGTTTTTTATTAGTTTTATTTTTTTATATCATTCATGAATATAGATGAGTTACACCCAATACCGACACAGCCCACTAAATTTCTCGCCGGATCTTCTCAGTGGGTCGTGTTTCCGATCCGGCGGTAGATCCTGCGAAGCACGGCTCTTGCTAGGATTAGTGTTAGCAACATCGTCAGATTTGAGCCCCGTGAGCTCACCTAATTGTTAAGGTTACGCTGAAATGGTCTCTAAAGACCATCAGCTTAGGTAGGAAAACAAAAAAAATTAATTACATTTAGTCACTGGTGGTAGGACCTCTTGTGAGTCCGCAAGGGTAGGTACCACCACCCTGCTTATTTCTGCCGTGAAGCAGTAATGCGTTTCGGTTTGAAGGGTGGGGCAGCCGTTGTAACTATATTGAGACTTTAGAACTTATCTCAAGATGAGTGGCGCATTTACGTTGTAGACGTCTATGAGGCCTAGTAACCACTTAACACCAGGTCTGTGAGCTCGTCCACCAACCTAAGCAATAAAAATGACGTTTTTATGTTTTTAATCATTTACGAAATTGTTATGTTGCCTAAACTAACGGAGTTTATTTTCTCAGATTCTTCTATATGTCGACGGCATGCACGGCGTCATGGGTCACGAGGGGTGCATTCAATGGCTCTATTCGTTGATCTCGAGCAAATTCAGGCACGTCGTGAAAACCGCCCTCAAGCTACTTCTCGTCTTCGTCGAATACACAGAGAAGAACTGTCTTCTGTTGATCGACGCCATAATCGCAGTGGACGGTTCCGCTGGCTACCAGCCGTGGCATAACATCATGAAAATACTACAGGACTTCGACGCTTCCGATACAGAGTTGCTTATATACGCAACTACCCTAATAAACAGATGCTTGAACAATGTTCCGGACAGAGACACGTATTATGATCAAGTAGACGCTCTACAAGACCAAGGGATGGACGATATTATTCAGTTGTACATGACGAAGCAAGGTACAGACTTGGACCTTTTAAGGCAGCTGCAAATCTTTGAAGCGGTGTTGCTGTATGAAGATGGCGACGAAAGCGGAACGGCACTACAGTTAGTAATATTATTTGATAATAATAATAATTAACTAACCTATATCTATACTAATACTAATCCTATACTATAATACTATAATATATAAATCTACAGTGGTTTTACGGATGTTCCGTTATAACTACTGAACCATGTATCCGATTGACTTGAAACTTGGTATCCATGTAGAAAATACATGTACTTAATGGATAAATATTTATATGAATGTTGGACTCCGTACACCAGTTGCGGGGTCGTTAATGATGAGAATCTTTGTGGGGGTGAGAAATAATAATGTTAATTTTAAATGCCCAGCGAAGCGGACGGGTACAGCTAGTCTCTGATAAAAATAGGTGTGATCAGTTTGGCATTGTGACATTGAGTGGCGATTTCGATGTGTCCCTGGCATAGCTGCTGTCCACGAGCGACGGTATCTACTTACTGTCACGAGGGCCGTACACTTGTCTACCTAAAAAAGAAATAAATAAAAATTATATTATTGTAGCTGCTATAATAGTTATATCAAAGAACAATTTATAAAAAAAATGCCTTTCAAAGATTAAAGACAATGAGATCAATTATAATATCTGACTTCTTAGAAAAACGACATCACTACGTGACTCTAATCTTCAAATCGTTAAATTTCAGGCAACTTGATGAATCGGTTATCTCGTTGGTACGAAGGCGAAGTCTTAATTTAAATACGTCCGAGATGAGGAAGTCCAAGAAACAACAAATGCGAGAAAAAGGTTCGTAATTCAATCGTTTGATAGATTTCGAGTGAGCGCTTCACAATAACAGTTTTTGCATGGCAGCGAATACGTAATCATGCCAAATAAAAAGTTCAATAAAGATCGTGTTTTCTAAATCGACATACCGATTTTTGTTTTTACCTAATATACCATACCTTATACATACACATATCGACGCTTGAAAGGCAAACGTGACTAAGCGACAATAACTGCTTTGTACATAAATGATAGGCAATAACCATATTCGATGCGCAAAAAATATATATTTCTAGGTCTATTAAAACTATTTCAATCCTACAGCTACTGGCTAGATTCTACTGCAGCTAGATTCGTTAAATTAAATTTTGTTTTCAAGTATTTCAACCTTAAATTAGTCTACTGTAAAGTTCACGCATTGTCGCTTAGTCACGTTTGCCTTTCAAGCGTCGATATACATTTGTTTGCTGCGTTTTCTGAGATTTTTTTAACGTTTTCACTAACAACAGCGAGGCCTCCGGTCATCACTCATCCCGAGCCCGAAACTAAAATCGCAAATAACCAACGCACGTCATTCCTTCCATCCATAATGGACAATAAGGAAAACAAAGATCTTAGCGCTGCACTGAGGAGGCGCAGAGATCGCTACGCCAGACAAGCGCACCATATAATACAACAACAGGAGATGTTGAACAACTCGAACACGATTTACAATGGTCTGTTTGGTGCCACCAATGGAACGTACTCAACACCGAATGGGACTACTAATGGGAATTGCAATGGAACTTACACAAGTATTAAAAATTATTCGAACGGAAGCTTGAATGGGAATCATTACGCCAACGGTGTCAATGGGCATCTGGATGACGAAGAACCATACGCTAACAGAACCACGAGGAGTCTAAACCAAACCGATGCTTTAAAGAACGGTTTGTTCATTTGGCTAACACACTAATTTTTATGCTTCGTCACTTGCTTTTGTACCTTTGCTTAGCTCAATCGCATTGTCGTTCATGTCTTTGTTAATATAATTTTTTTACAGAGAGATGATTAATTATTTTCATTGATTCAGGAAACCAAAGATATACCGCGGGGCTGAAACAAAGAATTCAAAATGGTACACTCGGTCACAGCGTCAGTGCTGTAGACGCTCTCGCAGCAATGCGGCAGAAGCAGCTTGACAGTACACCCGAAGCCAAAGACGACCGGGGCATCATAATCAATAGGGAGCACAGCATTAAAGACTTAGCCCAACGTCTGACTAGCCCCGTAAGCCCTACTACTGAAGAAAAACCCTTAAGGGTCTCCGAAATGGCTGGAATAGTATCTAAAGCCAAAGAGGAATTAGCGAAATCTCAATCTAAAGGTAAAATTAAATAATGTCAAATAATTTATTTGTTTAAAAACTTTATTTACTTTGAAGTCGTCGTGGCCTAAAGGATAAAGACACCCGATGCATTCGTATCGAGCAATACCGATGTTCGAATCCCGCAAGCAGGTACCAATTGTTCTAGTAAAATACGTACTGATCAAATGTTCACGAATGACTTCCACGGTGAAGGCAAAACATCGTGTTATGAAAACCAAACTCGAAAAAAATATAATTTTCGTAACTACTCGTGGTAGGGCGTCTTGTGACCCCGAACGGGAAGGTACCACCACCTTTCCTATTTCTGCCGTGAAGTAGTACTGCTTTTCAGTTTCAACGGTGGTATAGCCGTTGTATTATAAAACTGAGACTTAAAACTCACGTCTCAATGTGGATAGCGCCATTTAACTCCAAGTGGGTCGAGATCTGGTCCATTAATGTAAGCTTTTTTTTTTAATTATATGTGAGCCCAATAGTTTGATCGTTAAATTTTATATGAACTTTTCAGAAGTTATCAAAAGTCCAACAATAGAGAAATCTCAGAAAGTCCACGAAATCAAGGTATCCGAAAACGACATTCACTGGGAAGAACTGAAAAAAGGGTGCCTCAATAGAGAATTCCATCTTTGCGACCTAGATTTTTCGGATCTGAGACACGATTCTGAAGATGATATGTTATATCCGGCTGTGAGCGCTGCTAACGGCCCTCCCCCTCCGCCTCCCGGAATGTTTCCGCCCATAGGAGCCCCTCCGCCTCTCCCGGGCTGTTTCCCCATCGTGCCCAAAAACAACGTACCAATACCGCCTAAGCCCTCTTTGTCATCGGAACTATCAAATAATTCCGACAGTTCAACAATTAAAAAGAACAAGAAAACAGTGAAATTGTTTTGGAAGGAAATACAAGAGAATCCGGTACCTGTGACCGTTAGACCTAAAGTAGGCGGCTTTATATGGGACGACTTACCCAGCATCGATCTGGACACAGCAATGCTGGAGCATCTTTTCGAATCGAGAACCAATGATTTGATAATTAAGGTTTAATAAGTTTGATTTTATTTGAATGCATGCTGTTGACTATATTACTTTTGTTTTTTGCAGTTATGACAGATTTGACTCTTGAAACTAAAATAAATCCGTATCACGGACAAGGCTATCTCATGAGCACCGTTAACCTCTGATAATTATTTATTGACACAGAGTATAAGTACTTAACAACAAAACAAATATTTATCATCATTTCTGAACTTCAAACTTCTTCATTCCCATTGGTTTTAACTTTAGTTTTTTTGAGTCTCGGGAAATTGCTAATGCGTCTTGTCTACTTGTCTACATCTTTAGATTTCTATATTGTCTTCTTGTCTACTTGATGGTTATCTGAAAGAGATCGCCCTTAACGATAAGCCTACTTATTGTATTTAATGTTATTATGCATTTGTGTTTATTTTATATTGATATCCAATAAAGCCAAAGTTAAGTCCAGTCGAGTCCAAAAAATATCTTATACCATATTTATTAGCAATAATCCATTGATGATCACGTGATTGTTTTTTTTTCTTTCATGTCGTCCTGCCACTCGTCCGAATTTGGATGCCACGTTAACTATATAGGAAGTGAGTAAGACACACATATTAAAGTTTTGTTTTGAATAAAGTACGAATAACAGAAATCGAATAATGTAATGAATAAATTACAGAAATTAATGGAGCCAAAGAGAAACCTAATCTTAGATGCTAAAAGGTCCAACGCGATAAATATTGCGATGAAGAAATTACCGACGCCACAGACCATAAAAGCAGCTATCATGAAAATGGATGCCACAGTTATCGGTAGAGAGGGAATTGAAAAACTCCTGACGATGTTGCCTACTGAAGAGGAGAAAGTGAAAATACAAGAAGCACAGGTATGTATAAAAATTCACTAATTACACTCGCATGATACAGATTAAGTTACTTCGAGACATCTCTTTACAAAACAAGCCTAAAATGGTTCCGAAATATCTTAGAGATGAATTGAAGTATCTAGAACAGGGCACATGTGCCATGAGACATAGATAGGCCTCCACGCTAGTCCAGTACTAAGTAATGACCCTGCCTCATCATTTTTGGTATTCGGAATTCGTCTTTACTGCAACGAATTTATTCTAATATTTTTACCAATGTTTTATACCAATGTTCGCCTGTAAACAAATTTCGAATTACTATTAATCATATACCATTAATAACTTCTCGGTATATATTAATTATATGTATTTTTTTCTATTATCATTCAGAGCAAATAAAAAAATAATTTAAAGTAGGTAGGTAGGACTCCTAAAATTCTACTGTATATTCATTAAAAAATCATTACTATTTTACAGTACGCCAATCCAGATTTACCTCTTGGAAGCGCAGAGCAATTCCTACTTACCTTAGCGTCCATCAACGAGCTGTCATCGCGACTAAAGCTATGGGTCTTCAAGCTGGACTTTGATAACTTAGAGGTTTTTTTTTTGTTTCTAAAACTATATCTACTACTAAGTGTACTAATTAGAATAATTCATGCCATAGTTTTTTTTAAATGTACCGCACTAAATTTGTAAGTATCTGTTAGGTAAAAACCTCAAATTATTTTTGATATTTTATCAATAACATTAGAATGTAGATTTTGATATGATACCTTCGCAAGCAATCATAGGGTCAAGTGGTGGTGAAAAGCACCGTTTTTTCATAATAGTCAGCCATATCAGAAGCATAACCAGCGCCCAAAAATTTACTGCTATAGCTTCATAAGCATTTTTCTGCAGTGGTTGATTTTCTTCATCAATTTCATCAACATTTTTGTTATCGCTATTGATTATGTTCACAACCATTCGGAACTCATATTGTTTCAGAAAGAGATAGCAGAACCATTAATGGACTTGAAGCAAGGTATAGAACTGTTGAAAGTAAACAAAACTTTCAAAGTGATACTATCGACCCTGAGGTCAGTCGGCAACTTCTTGAATGGAAGCCACGTGAAGGGCTTTCGACTGGAGTATTTGTCTAAGGTCATGGAGGTGAAAGACACTGTGCACAAACACCCGCTTCTCTATCATATTTGCGAAATGATCATTGAAAAGTTCCCGGATAGTACCGACTTCTTTAGTGAAGTAAGCCATCTTGATTATTTTCTATTTTATATGTATTGTACATTAATGAGTATCGTAAAGTTTTCAATACAATATATCAAAATTTTGAATTTAACAAAAAATCAATTCAGATTTTTAAGTCACATAAATAAAATTACAAAAAAAGAAGGGTAGACGTGCAACTTGGTGCACGTGAATGAAGTTAAACTTCTTTTTCGATGTGTAGTATTGTGGTTTTCTTCATTCTTCATCCTTAAATCAGATTACTCTTGTAATAGGGAATTTTGTGTATAAGATATGCGACATCTTCAACGTTTATATTATATTTTTTTCACTTATAGATAGAAAAATAAATAAATATATATTTTTAAATACTTCATTAGAATATTGGATGCTACTCGTTGCTAACGCTCGCGCTGGTCTGTAACACGTATAACTGCGCACATGCGTTCGAGTGCCGCTCTCATTCACTCTCGCTCTGTCTCTTTCTATTCCATGGTAGCGTTAAACGTTTAACGCAACTTAGTTAGAAGTTGCATTAGAAGTTTCACTTCGAAAATTTTTCATTTTAATATCAGGTTGGCCCAGTAATCCGAGCATCTAAAGTGGACTTCGATATACTCAGCGTAAACCTTCAAAAGCTAGAGTCTGACTGTAAGGCTTCCTGGGACCACATGAAGAGGGTAGCCAAACACGACAGCTCGCAGATATTCAAGACGAAGATCAATGAATTTCTCACCGACGCCGCTCAAAGGATTATATTACTGTCTGTCATTAAAAAGAGAGTCATGAGCAGGTAAATAATAGTTTAAAAAAAATTGACTAAAACTGAACAAAATTCGAAATTAATTTCTGCTTTGCGTATTTGTTATTTGACACTCCACATTACACTCCACATTAAATCCAAGCGAAAGCCACGCTAATTGCCTTTGCGAAATATTTATTACAGGTTTGAAGTTTACAATTTTTTTAGCGTATTTCAATGAGTTTATGGAATGACAGTTTTCATTTTAGTATAATATGTTTCTGGACTAAATGGTGTAGTATTTTTCACAGGAGGAATACTTTATTTCCCCAATATATTTTTTCCATACGAAGTCGTAACGGTTAATAACTATTCACTCGGAATATATCATACATAATTCTTTAGCAATAAGCAATAGATTTTAAAATAATCTCTCATATATTTTTTGTCAACCATGGCCCAAGATGAAAACAAAATACGAACATAAATTGACCTCAAGGGAGGTGAGAGACTAATGCTAAATCACAAATCATTCCAGTAGTGGATGACTTTAACAGCTATAGAGCTATCGTAGCGTAATTCGGTGTACGAATCATTTACCATATTAAGTTTTTTGGCGACTGCAATATATGCGTACCGGAAATATGACGGAATGACCAAAATTAAATACGGCCCTAAAGAGCACAGCGAAGCGGGACCAAACAGAACAATTCAGAGGATGAATATTTGAATATTCTGAGGATCGCAAAAGCGATCTCGTCTTTAACTCTACAATGAGTTAAAGACGAGTAGGTATACAGACGCAAAATCGCATAAACTAATTTTCAAGTCACTCAAGTTTGTTTAACTCAAGATATCAGATGTCAGTCTAGGATGATAACCAGTATAGGAAGAACCCTTGAATTATAAATCGGGGATTTTTTTCCGAATTTTTGCAAGGAGCACAAACAAACAATTTTGACTAATTGAATTTAGCTGTGGAGCCCAAGATAGAGAGCGATCGATTGTCACTCCAAGATTATCGACGTTAGTCCTGTATGAAATAATGGCGACATTAAAACTCACACTCGGAACCTACCTACCATATTGATCGTCCGACCAGTACCAAACACTGTGTCTCAAATCGCCCACAATTCAATTTCCTCTATTTTGAAATGTAATTCAATTCACGATCGTTCGTAAACCGATTTAGCTCAAAGACTTTACCAGTCGAATGTGCACAGAAACTGTCGAAGCTCGAGAGACTTAGAAAAACGGAGTTCATAAATATCAAGAAAGTAGAGAAGATAAGATTCCACCCTACCGTATATTAACTGACGAATTATACCATTAATGAATCTTCGAGAAGAATCCGTTGAAGGCTATACAGGTAATTAAGAAACCACTCAAGTACCGTTGTGAATGTGTTAGTAGAATGATGTTCGATAAGCAGTAGATGTGTGAGGGGACGACCTCAAGCCTCAGTTAATGTTTAGCGGTGACCGCTGACCAAAAACCTAAGTGATAATAGATCGTAATATCAATTACACTTGAATATCGTTTAATTCAAAGATTCTTTCTATGAAAATGTTTGGGTTATCTTATTCATAATTACAATAATCAATAAATACATTTTAAGTGGTTCTATAATTTTATCAAGCTAATCCCAGAAGATATTACAATTGTTCATAACCGGATTATTTCTAGACATGGCAAGCCGTTTCAAGGACCGCGGGTTCGGTTCTTAAATCACGTATCTCTTTGTGTTTGTCACAGTGAATAGTAGTCTGAGTAAGAACGCTAAACCGGCTTTCTTTGGCTAGTTATAAAAAGGTTACCTTTGTTTTATGAACCATGATTTCGTAAGACAGTAAACAGTAAATAAAATCTATGAATGCAAATATTTATAAAAAAATCCCTAAAAAATTCCTCGTGAGCATTGATGAACGTTTTGTTCCAGAAATAAAAAGAAACAACACGATCCAGAAGCTCTCACTACGATTGATTGCGTCATCATAATAAAATGTAAACAAAGAAGCAAAGCGTGAATGAAATCTGAATAAATACGCCCGTATTAATGGGGGCAGATATATTACGGCATTCAGGCTTGAAGGTTATCAGGGCGCAAATGAACATTAATGTCAAGATCAAACACTAATTCTAATTACTTAATAAGGTTCTCGACGAGCCGATTCTATTTCGATAAAGTTAATAATGATGGATAAACGTATTCAGATTAACGTTATAAGTTTCGGAAATACTCACAACAGCATACACAATCGTAGCTGAAAATTGATTTTTAACACCCACAAAAAATCGTATACAGAGCTTGTGGTAATAAAAGTCAGGGTAACTAAGTATTAAAGCAACAATTGGTTAAAAATAGTATTACGTTGAGAAGGGACCATGATTTTGTACTGTACTAATTTGATGAGATCACCATTGTAGTACACTCAAACAAAAAAGTGTGTGTTTTAACAAGACAGACGCGTCTATTCATAAAAAATAATGATCTATGATAAGCCTAGGATAATGTTAAATCCTTTATTTCCTTATTTATTTAATTAAGTCTTTTTGCCTCACTGAAAGAAGACATGAAATGTAAAATATCAAAATTATATGATCCTGACATCGCAAGACATCGTCGAAAGACAAATAGAGTTAAATTAATAAAAAAAAGGTATTGTTTTTTAATGAAATTTAAGCACTTCTCAATATGTCTTTCAACTAACAGCAAAGTCTACAGGCATTTGTCATATTCCTTATTATCCCCCTTCTAATATTAAAAACAATCGAAGCTTCCAATATTCAATAAATTAAGTTAGAAGAAGCTAAACTATAAATTATATTTAGATGTTATTATGATTTATGGAAACATAAACGTTACGGTGTGATGTTCTTACTGCAGCCAATATAGTTTAATATTAAAAATGGACAGAAGTATGTATGTGTTCAGAGAAAAACTAATAAATATTCTTGGCTACACAATAACTGATTATATAAAGACAATCAGATGCACAATGATTACGATGTATTTAATATTGACTGACTCCAAATGATGTTCGGTCACAGAAGAGCTGTTTGAATATTTGTTACTACAAGAAATGAATTCCAAGCTTCTGAGAGCGAATTCATGCGTTAGCTTATGCGAAATCTTTTCCTCTCAAATGTCCAAAGAATTAAATCACTTTATAACTACAAAGTTATCCTTAAACATGAAAATGAATCTTTTCATTCCTGAACAGAAGCGAACAAAGCTATTTAGCGATTGAAAAGGACGAAATGAAAATGTGCAATTTATAAAACCTTGAAAAGGTGACGGCACTTTCTAATCGGCCAAACGTTTTGTTTAATTACAGACGATAGATCAGTCTCGGTTGCGTTTGCATAGAAAGCATTCTAATAAAAACGAGAAACGTTGGCATTGGCTTGCATCTAACAAAGATGACGTAATTTATAAAGGAAAGGATAACAGTTTTATCGTTGTGATAAAATCACGGGTGACTGCTTCCATTCGCGCTGCTAAATTAATCTTCAAGATGATTATGTCATCTAGGGTAACAAGAATGGCACACCGGATAAAATCAAAGAATTTTTACGTATTCGTTAGATGAAATAAGGAATATGACAAGCGCCTGAACGAGAGGGAGAATGCATCTATTTATTGTTTGTGAGTAACCTATAACTAGATCATTTTTATGATTAGAATTTCTCTTACTTTTGACCACACCACAGGGAAGTGCTTTGTTCGATTAATGCTAGAAGTTTATCAATTTAATTTATACATATATAGTGAACTAGCTATACCCGTCCGCTTCGCTGGACATTTAAAATTAACATTATTATTTCTCACCCCCACAAAGGTTCTCATCATTAAGGCCCCCGCAACTGATGCAGGGAGTCCAACGCTCATATAAATATTAGCCTATCCATTAAGTACATGTATTTTCTACATGGATGCCAAGTTTCAAGCCAATCGAATGCATGGTTCAGTAGTTATAACGAAACATCCGTAAAAACCACTGTAGATTTATATAATTTATATATTAGTATAGATAGATTAATTACTGGTCAAGTTCACTATGACGACGAGGTCCGTGACTGTTTCTTCTTCTTTCTAGTCGGATACTCTTGGCAGAATAGTCAGGGCTGTTGATGGACAGGTAACTACTATCGGGTTCGGAATATGCACTGTTAGTAAGCAACCGTACGGCGCGCGAGAATAAAAGCTAAAGTGACGTTCCGGAATCTTTAGATCATCAAAGAAGAACCAGAAGCTATTCCAACACATTATGAAAGAAAAACAAAACACCGGGCACACTATTCGTTATTAAGAACTAAGAGTTAGAGTACATTGTATATAAATCTCTTTATTTTTCGCAATAATGAAATAACACTTTTTTTAAACATATTATTATCCGCAACACGCTTCGTCAGATTATAGAAGCAGAGTTATCAGCAACATGCTTCGTCAAAATCGTTCGTATTCGTTATTGCAATTTACGAGAACAATTTCATGAATGCCGTAGTAACAGATTCGTCATTCGATTAATGACGTTAAACTCGAAGTACCTACGCACGAGAAACGCAGTCGAAGCTATACATAAAGTAGGATGTCGTATTTATTAACAACGTCGGCCCAAGTACTACACAGCTTACGATTTATTCATTCATGAAATTTAAACATCATTCAGTAGCGGTCAAAGCTTCACCTTTCGTTTGAAATACTTGTCCTGTGGCTTTCTTTAGTGAGCTTTGAGAGATAATATTTGCATTTGAGTCTAGAGTCACACATGCACAGAATTACGTGTAGGGTACGTGTAGTTTTCTACGTTTGCATACGTTTGCGTGATAAGCTTTCTAAATCGTAATTTTCATAGTGACTACCGAAAGCGCCCAACAATGCTGTAACTATACAACAAAGAAATAAATCTCTTCACACTACTCTCGGATTTAGAACTGACAGTTAAAATAAAAATAAATAAAATTTGAAATAAAAATAGAATTAAAAATAGAAAAATTAGAAAAAAAATATTAAAATTCGAATTTCTTATGAATAATGAATTCGGCCTCTTTTTAATACGCTTTTATTTCTGTCTACAATTTATTTCTTATGTATCCCTTTTTTTGTTTTTTTTTGCTATAATCTTTAGTTACATTTCAACCATATATTTCCAAAAAATTAAATTTTTTACACCTAGACAAAATAATCTAGTGTTCGTTGATACATTTGTGATTTCGTCTTGCCTAGTCAAAAGTAAGCTACAAGCGGTAATGTGTGCGGAGGTGATGTAGAATCGAATCGATTACACAGGAGCTATGATTTTGCATCGACTGAGCCAGAACGGCTTCCAGTCGTATCAATTCGTAATAGCGAGCCGGAGTAGTGAACGCGAATTCAAAACACCCATAGTGGTTGACGAGTTCGTTTTGCTCGCCTGCAGCAGTTCTTCAAAACTAATCACTCGCGAATTACACAATTCTTACGTGAAAACCCGGAATTCTCAGTGTGCTTAGTGCGAGTTTCTTAACGTTCTCGATAGCGTAAAAGTTAAGTCTTTGTATGGACTTGGAACATTTTCCTACGTTTTCCGCTAGGGGCGCTGTTCCAACTGCATACAAATTCGAGTTAACTTTTACGATATCGAGAACGTTAAAAAACACGTACTAAGCACACAGAACACATGTTTTACGCGCACCTAATCTGGTCTTTAAAAATCCCAAACAAATTTAATCCGAATTTCCTTTCAAAAAAAAGCAGTATCAGAAAATAAATTTTGTTGCAGATTTGGGAAATTATTGCTGCGGTTCGGCGTTCCACCTTCGGATATTGCGAAAACAAAACCTTCAGAGTTCCTAAAAGTCATAGCGGAATTCGCTTTAGAGTACCGCACTACGAGAGAAAGAGTCCAACAGCAGATGGAGAAAAGAGCAAATCATAGGGAGAGGAACAAGACCAGAGGCAAAATGATTATTGACGTAAGAATCTGCCATATTTTCGAAGCATACGTAACTTGATGGAATTTAATTATCAGTCAGCGTTAATCATCGTTTGAGAGCCTATTGACAATCTTGTGGTCAATGACTCGGACTATTCCTTAACGGGTTCCGGGTTAGATTGCCACCGGAATCAGTACTTTCGATATCTTGTATTCGAGGCCTGGTTTTTTATCTTTTGTGTTACCTTACCCATAACACAAGAGAAAAATCTACTTCTGGGTCGTGGAATTGTTAGAAAAATCATTCAAGGAAGTACCATTTGATTATGTTTGAATAAAAACTCAACATCAAAAGTAATGTATTCGAAGCAGTATTAGAACTTATTGTGAACTCGAAATGGTAGGCATCCACACGACGCCTATTTCTGTGCGAAGCAGTAATACATCTCGATTTTAAGGTAGCAGTAGTATGTAGTAGTAGTTACGCAAATTATTATTTTTGTAATTTGTCATTTTTATCACACGGTTTGAGTGTATCGTGCGTGAACGTGAATTCAGTCATGAACATTTGCAAAAAAAATTGGTACCCGCCTGCGGGATTCGAACACCGACACCGTCGCATCATACGGATTCACCGGGCGTTTTATCCTGTAGGCCACTACGTCTGTTTGAGGCTTTAACTCCATGTTTCAAACTACATTTACATTATAAATGTACCACGTAGCAAAAAACACGGATTAATAAATTTAAAAAAAGTACAGATTCATATGTTTATAATAATGACATTAACTTATTGTCGTATTGCTTCAGGTCGGGAACTATTCGAACAAAAACGGAGACCACACTGCTGATCACGCCCTAAAGGAACTCCTGAAGACAGATCCTGATACTGACAGCCTCACTGAAGGGAGACGCAAGTCACAGGCCTCCACTAACAGAATGCTAGTCAAGTGAGTATTAACTTTTTTATAAATTTAATTACATAACCTAAACTCAATAGCGGTTTTCTGTTTTAATTCTTATATTTTTCTATCGTAAAAAAAGTTGAATCTGTGGTACAATTTTACGTATCAACGCATCTACAAACCTACTGGTAATTTATAAATAAGAAACATAAATTATAAATTTCAAACGGCTAAAAGCGCGCGCACTTGTACTTATTAATCTGTAAACTTATGTGCATGTGAAATGGCAGATTTGTTTTGAGGTTATAGAAGATAGTGATGTAAGCATTGACAGATGCTTCTTTTTTGTAAACTGAATTGGTCTAAATAATTTAAAAGTCGTCATAATAAAAGTTAAGACAGGCGTACTCTTATCAAGCTATGCGACTATTACGGTGTTCATAGTCGGTAGGCAGATTTTTTACTGGTGGTAGGACCTCTTGTGAGTCCGCGCGGGTAGGTACCACCGCCCCGCCTATTTCTGCCGTGAAGCAGTAATGCATTTCGGTTTGAAGAATAGGGCAGCCTTTGTAACTATACTGAGATCTTAGAACTTATATCTCAAGGTGGGTGGCGCATTTACATTGTAGATGTCTGTGGGCTCCAGTAACCACTTAACACCAGGTGGGCTGTGAGCTCGTCCACCCATCTAAGCGATTAAAAAAAAAACTAATAAAATACGTACAAACTTAACATGTGTTCACGGATGATTGCCACAATGTAAAAACAACGTAAGTTTACGTTTATATTCGGTAATTCATTATTTTATTGCATTTATAATTTTTACTAACTTTTTTTTTTGTTCAGCGGAGATCTGTCAGCCGACGACGAGATCATTGAGAGTTTGGTGCGATCCGCCACATCCAAACGCCGAACTGCCCCTAGAGAACGGAGAAGGAATCGAATGTCCGACAAAAAGAACTGTTAGTTCTGTTACAAAATTTTCAATAATAATTGTATTAATAAAAATGCCGCCCATATTTAAGTTGATCAACAATTAAAGTATATATTAACAAGTAACATGTAACAATTTGATATTAATCTGTATTAAAATAAATGTTTTGTCCATTCTTTAATTCAAGTTCTTCAATTTTCTTTAGACAATTTTAAAATTAGAGCACACAGCTTGATAATTCAAAATTAGAAGATCTACAACGAAAGCCATTTTTTTTTATTTGGCGATTGAATCACATGTACACGGTTTTATTTTTTGTTTGTTTTAATTTTCTTACCAGGGAACAGAACTCTGGACGGACATCAGTCCTGGCCCAGAAGAGAAAGTAGTCCAGGGTAAGTCGTAATACACATCTTTAATATATAAAAATAACAGAAACATAAATTCTTAATTTTATAAGGGTTTTATGTAACGCCTTGCTTCAAATTCAGAATAATTCATTTCAATTGGAATGTGAGTAAACATTGTTATTGCAATAAATAATAAATTCTACCACCCGTTCCAACAAGGACCCGAAAGAGTCCTAAGAACAAACGTCTAAGCAAACTCTGAGTCCGACCTTTTTTAATGCTTGTGTATATAATTATTATTGTGGTAACAGAAAACAGTTAAAAAGATAAAAATTATAATATACCGAAAATTAAAAAGGCCTGGAGCTAGCGCCGCACTCCCAAGCGGTAAAAAAAAATTTCACTTTACATTAAGCATTCGATGTTGAATATTTTAATTCAGCCTTTTCATCATTATCGATTGAACAAAATGAACGTAGTCGAAAATTACTCTAAAGTTACTGTTCTTAAGGTGTACTGTGAGCTCGCACGGGCAAGACAACTCATACCTATCTATTTCCGTAGCGACGTAATTAGTGTTCCGGTATCATGATTGGAGCCGTCGTTATTGATTATAATAGTTACTGGGTCTTCGATTTCTTGTCTCAAACAAGTGGTACGTTTTACATTGTAGTGTCTATAACTACTGTAACCTTTACACCAGTGAACCGTGAGAACGTCTGTAAATGTAGAAAATAAAAATAAAAACTCAACTGTCTGAATACAAAGGTATTTTAGTTTGGAAAATCAAATATCGAAAATCAATCGAAAATTCAGACTTTGGCCGTAATCGATACTAATATTATAATACGAAAGTAACTGTCTGTACGTTATGTTTCCGCGCCCAAACTATACCATCGATTTTGGTATAGAAATAGTTTACGAGCGAAAATAGTTCGCTTCATTCCGCTCTGCAAAAGCGTTATAAAGTATATTCCACGCTGGCGAAGCGACGACGGAGAGGCAGTCGTGAAATAATATTAATATTTAAAATTATACAAATGGTTCTGCATACCTTTAGGACATCGCCTTGTAAAGATAGTGATTGTCATTAATCATTCCAGACGTGAGCCTCAGGCAATTTACAACATATGCTGCTTCATAGACGAAACAAGCGCATTTTACTAACTTACTTCATTGTTACCACGAAGGTTTCTCAGCAATAGTAACATATATATGATTGCTGACAATACGTCAGCATTTATTACTATTGGGTACATCAAACGCCAAACTCTGAATGACACGTGTGTGTGTCGGGTGTGAATACACAAACGTGAACAGTTTTTTTTTTTTAAATCGAATTGGGCCGATCTTACTCACAGCTCACCCGGTTTAACGTGGGCACTGGAGCTCACAGACATAGAAAAGTCAATGCCCTCGCCCAACTGAAGAAATGAGATCAAAGTCACAATTGTAACGTATGATTACTCTCCCGCCCTTCAAAGTGGAACGCATTACAGATTCGCATCAGAAATAATTTATTCACTTCGAGTATTTTTTTTAGGTTGATTTATTTATTTTACGTCAGATGTTATTTTATTGTTCTGTGGTCGATTTTGTGTTTGTAATCTACAACAAGACAATATAATATCATACATCAATAATAGGCAAAACAGTTCTGTACTTTTTTCTTTTTCTCTCAGTGGCTATTGCGTAGGTACTTTTCTGTTAACAACAAATAAATTAGAAGAGTTTCCTTCTTCTACTATTACAAGCGGAATGTAGATAGCAAGTCAAAACGTATCTAAAACGAATCTAGATTTTAGGGTGTATGTAATTATGGTCGATTTTCGATAATTTTTAGTAAATCAAATTTTTTTGTTGTTAAATAGGGTAGAAGAGCTCACGGCCAACCCGATACAATGTAGTCACCGAAGCCCATAGACATCAACCACATCAACGCTACTGCCGATCTTGAGACATGAGTTTTATAACCCTAAATTTTTACAATATAATGGCTGTCCGACCTTTCAAACCGAAATGCATTACTGCTTCACGGCAGAAAATATGTAAACGTGCGTGCTCACATGACACCCTACCACCAATAATTACGCAAATTATAATGTTTGCGGGTTTGATTTTTATTACACGATCTTATTCACCGTTCACTGTGGAAGTCATTCGTTAATATTTGTCAAATACGTATTTACTGCCTAAAATGGTACCCGGCTGCGGGATTCGAACACCGGCTCACTCGCATCGCTCGATACGAATGCACCGGCCATCTTATCCTTTAGGCCACGATACATACACTTAATTCTTGACTTAACCTATACTATTAAATAAAAGATAGTAAAAAATCCAGTGCTCTTTTTTTTATTTTATTGCTTAGATGGGTGGACGAGCTCACAGCCCACCTGGTGCTAAGTGGTTACTGGAGCCCATAGACATCCACAACGTAAATGCGCCACCCACCTTGAGATACAAGTTCTAAGGTCTCAAGTATAGTTACAACGGCTGCCCCACCCTTCAAACCGAAACGTATTACTGCTTTCACGGCAGAAATAGGCTCGTTATCTAGAATCGAGCAACGCCACGAACTGCTCTTTAAATCAATTTCAATAATAATAAATTGGCTAAGTTGCTTTTTCGTCTGAAAACCTTGACGTAGACAAGAATAGCGAAATTATTTTGTTTAGGTACATAGCTTTGATGAAAATGAAAGCCGATTTAGATAAGGCGCCCCGCCGTTCTGACATTAAGCCGAACACGTACAATAAACATGTTATAAGTAAACAAATTATGCGTATTTCTAATGAAATGTAATTTATATATTGTTTTAGATCAACTGCCGAGATCCAGCAGAGATAGTCAACAAGAAAATTGTCTTTAGTTTAACCTACTTGTAAATTATTATTTATTTAAGAATCAAACAGGGACGTACTCGTGCTACTTGAAGAACGAAGAACTTAATATTATTAAAGTATCGTAACTTTTATAATTTTGTTAACAACAAACAAGGTGAATGACTTGATACCGCTAACAACCTGATTAGCGTCTTTACTATCAGTTTTTGTCACATGTTATTTTGATTTACTTTATGTAATTTTTATAGTTTTACTGCGTTTACGACACAAATTATCCGCAAGGTAGTGTTAACGAAAATCAATATTTCGACGCTTGAAAGGCAAACGTGACTAAGCGACAATGCGTGAACTTTACAGTAGACTAATTTAAAGTTGAAATACCTGAAATCAAAATTTATTTTAACGAATCTAGCTGTAGTAGAATCTAGCTAGTAGCTGTAGGATTGAAATGATTTTAATATACCTAGAAATTTATTTATTTTGCGCATCGAATATGGGTATTGCCTATCATCTATGTATAAATCAGTTATTGTCGCTTAGTCACTTTTGCCTTTCAAGCGTCGATTTAGTTTCGTTCTTATGTAGCTTTTTTACCTGGTCGTGTCAGGAAAATTGTACAATGTAGTTACATACAGATGCGTGTGTCAAAACAAATCTGAGTACGTCCGTATGTTGTGAAGAATCTCATACGCCGGGCTGGCTCCTTCATTATTATTCTACATGAAACGAGAACGAATTTTGCTATGAAAATGTATCTAATTTATACTTGTAGAAGAACAACGGCATTTTTACACGTGTTACGAGTAATAAACTAGAATTCCCTTAATATATTAGTATATTTAGAATTCCCTCTTTTAACGAATTAATTAAGCTTTCCCAAAGAAAATGTGAAAATTTTAAATTAATACATAACATTACTTTACAGTTTTTATTACTGTTCTGTGTAAATGTTTACCTTACTGTGTAGATGTTTACCTAATGTACGAGTATTATGGTCTCGAAATTAACGAAGAATCTTAAGTTAACCTTAGGTAAAGTCACCAATTTTGTTAAAAAAATGTCATCCAAGTAAATGTCATTATTGCGTATTTTTGCGATAGCTATTTGTCACTCATACCGTATCTGGACTATAATAGACTCAATATATCCAAACCTTATCTACATATTCCCCATAAAAATTACATTTTACTAACGTAGAAAGGACACAATTGTATGGGATAAGCTAATGCAAAGTCGTATTTTCTATATCAATTCCAATCAATTGCTTAGTTCCTACAAGCGTAATGCTAGTAGAATGTAACAGTGCATAACACAATTACACTAAAAATGTAAATAGCATGACGACAGTACCTGAAAAAGGCAAAAGCTTTGTCACATAATAATTGTCCAGGTTCCTTTATTTTTAGATGTAACGTGTTTTTTTTTAATAACGTAGAAAATACCTTTTTTAAATAAACTATAGTTTTTTTGTATTTCTATACATTCATCATATAAACTACTACTTTACATTTACTTGTAGAGAAAAATAATAGAAACTTCCGAGTATGGCAAATCTAGTAAAATCGGGGGCTTTACCTGTTGTATTTTATTGTCTAACATTTATAAACATTATATGAAGGCAATTTGGCACGTATTGTTAAATTAAAATGCAATTATTAAACTAAAATTGTTTTTATTTTTATTTTTATTTACTTTTCTTAAGTAACTTTATCCGCTAGTCAAATTTAAATATTAAGGTAAGCTATCATTTTTTCCACAACAAAGTTTTCAATTTTTTTTGTAAAATATCCTTCAGATGTTTTTAAAATATTGTTATGTACAAAGCCTAAAAATAAGTCAGTTAATAAATAGATATTTTATTTGTTTTTCCCCTACCTAATCGTTGCTAGCCTAAGGGCTTATTCCAACTTCACGCGGACCGGTAGCTCAGCTCACGGACTCAACCTAAGAGATTTGCTAACACTAGCCCTAGCAAGAGGGTGGTAGATTCGCTGAATCTACCACCGAATGGACTCGCGAGCCACTGAAAAGATCTGGCGATAAAATTAGTGGGGTTGTGTCTGTCGGTTAGTTCGCACGTCAGACTCTTCATCGGAGTTGACGAGTTCGGCGAGGACGGTGACCGATGCTTGAAAAGCCTATAAGCACCGAGGGTGGATCTGGGGTTTTGGGCGGCGGCGACTTTGCTTTGCCCCGTTGCCTGGGTCAGATGTGTAGTTAGCGGTCGCCACGATAAGAGATTTAAAGTAGCGTTCTGACGCTTCTCTAAGATACTTACGTATCGGTTCTACATACATCAATTTACTGGTACGTAAGTAACATCTAATTGTGATCTTGCAACCGCAGATACCATCATCCAGCCTATTTCTTTCGTGAAGCTATAATATATTTCAAACTGAAGCTGAAATAGCTGCTATAAAATAAATAATTTATAATAAATCAATAAAACTCATTTTTCATCAAATTATTCACAAACTCAATAGATGACTAAGTGATTTTTGTTTCCTTCATTTTAATTCGACAGATAAAATAGACCAAAAGAACATTTTGTTTCTTGTTGAAATTTTCATTTGAAATAGCGTAGATTGGGAAGAATCGGGAACCCTTTCCAAATACAATTGAGGTTAACTATCCGTATGTATTATTTAGTAATATAAATGACAAAATTATTATTTAATATAATTCATACTAAATATTATTAAATTATTAACGCTAAATATTTATTATTAATTATTTAATATTTAAAAAAAAAGAAATAAATTTAATCAAAATAAAGTATAACTTCTTACGCGCGTACATAAGTACACGCACCCTTTTTTTTATTTATCCTGAGTCTCAACTCGTAACATTACTAACTACATTTTAACCTTTTAGTATCTGTATACACGTATTTAGAACGCAATGCAAAAAAGTCATAAGCTTCTGGAAATTTTTTATTCTCTGCTTTTTATTAGCAAATTTTGTTTAGGCGGTTCTCGAGAGCTTTTTCTGAAGCGGCAACACTTCTTCGTATGTATCTATTTTGGACTTTTTGGCGGGAACGCGAGGAGTGAAGTTGTGTGATTTGTTTTATTTTGTCTATTTAGTGTTTCTTCAGGTTTAAATGTGTAATAACGGTGGTTTATTAACTGTTTAATATCTGTGAAAGTGCACAAATGTGGGAAAATGAAACAAAGCCGCTGGACGCAACTTCTCGGGGTCCTCCAAAAAGTCCACTGAAAAAATCTTAGTAAATGACCACCATTTTACTAATATTATATTTCATTTCATATCATCTCATTTCATTTAATTTCATCCCAGTTCATTAACGTCTCAAATTAATCATTTTCATTTCATTTCACTCCATATTATCATTTTTCATAAAAATAAGAATATAAATTAAAATAAGACATGACTTAAAGGTCTTAGTTACCAGGTCATAAAATCACTTTAAAAAAAAATGTACCTATTTTTGTACGAGTTGTGAATTTCATTCATTCGTAGTTGTATTATCTATAGTCCTTATATTTGAAGGCGTGATTGCCATTCGCCTGCTGAGCCGTTACTATTTGTTTGTATTTTCATCCATTGCGAAACTAATAATTAACTAAATTAAGTGAAACAGTGAGTTACTAGCGAAACTTCACTTCGTTACTATAAGAAAATAAGTAAGTTCATGCTTTTGTGAAAGTTGTCTCCAGTTTTAAACAAAAAACCACGCCCTAATGTACAGTTATTTAGATTGGGTATCTAGCTAGGCGTGGTCTGATTCCAACATCTCGATTTATTCGAATTTTTCTTTGGCAGGTTACCCGCATAGCCGAAAATAATGTCGGCATCTGAACCTATTGACTTATTTACAGGGAACGGCACGTATAAGTCTATAAACCCCATCATATCAAAAGTCGGTGATTTTACACCTTTTTACATAGCGATAGCTATAAGTTCCGTTATTTTGGGTTTTCTCCTGATTTTAAACATTGTTTGCTGTTGCTCCCGATACTCTGACTATTGGCTCGATAGACACACAGGTTAGCATGCCAAGAGTTCTAGTTCAAATCTGAACATAAAATTTGTTGTGTTATTTCATGTCATTTTATGAATTACAATACATAAAAGTCAAGATTAGTCAAAATAGTAAAAAGCAGATACAATGTAATGATGTTTAATTTTTATTTACAGGAAATCGCTGGATTGTTTCCATCTGGTCTACAACCCCTCATAAACAGCCTCCTCTTGACTTGACTGAGTTAAACATTGAAAAATTGCCTATTCAATTTGTGGCACCATACCACAGTGACGAATATCATGAAGTTTTAAGACACGAGTCTGATTTACCCCCATCAATATCCCGTCAGCCTCTCACTTCATCACAAGAGTACTTGGAGTTGCAGAAAAGAGAAAGTGACATTTAGAAATGGCATTCATGTTGATATATCCTGCTGTAGCAGTGCTTTCAATGTTTGTTTTGATGGTTATTATATTAATTTTAAGATTTGGAGCTCAGTGGTGCAAATTAAGGCACACCACATATGCTGACCAAGATGAATGGAATGAAGATGAAGCTTATGAACAAAAAGTATCATATGCATAATCAAATTAAGTAACTAAAGATAGAGCAAGTTACAAGAGTACCTGTAACATTTTCAAATATACTGCACTTTGTTTTGGACTTTATGTAGTCAACAAAAATGAAAAAAAGAAATAGATGCTTATTCGATACCAACTGAAAATAGCACTATTTTAAACAAAGTTAGTACACTGTGCCTTACAAATGAGAGTAATTCATAATAGTAACGAATCCGTCCATGTGGATCTTAGACCAATTAGTTTTAAGATAGTAATAAGTTTATAAATGCACTTTTTTGTATTCCCGTGGAATTATGCAAATAAAACAGTTCATGTCAATTATCTTTTAAACTTTTCTAATATTGGTGTTTTTTAAATTACATGAGAATTATGTAAATCGGTATTAGTACCTTAGTCGCACAAAATATAAAGCATGTCTTGAAACAGTATTTTATTTTTTCTTTTAAAATGATAGCCTTCCATACTTCAAAATAAAACACCGCTGGCTTTAAAGATCTAGGTTATTGAAAATTAGCAGGTAACATTCAGTAAATTGATTTATAATTCTCATATTTTTGTAAATAAATCTACTCGGAGACATTTTAATTGCCAGAGAAATGGTTTGACATAAGTTCGCATTTTCAACAATTTCAAAAATAGATTTTCAATTTGAGGCGTATACTTTTTCAAACCTTACATTTTTGGGGATTTCGCAAATTTTCATAATATAAAAAGTATCAAAAATGTTTTTTTTTGTTTGCTAAAATGGGTGGACGATCTCACAGCCCACCTGGTGTTACGTGGTTACTGGAGCCCATAGACATCTACAATGTAAATGCGCAACCCACCCTGAGATATAAGTTCGAAGGTCTCAGCATAGTTAGAACGGTTACCCCACCCTTCCAACTGAAACGCATTACTGCTTCACGGCAGAAATAAGCGGGGTGGTGGTACCTACCCGTGCGGACTCACAAGAGGTCCTACCACCAGTAAATAAAATTGCCATTATAATAAAATTAAGCTAGATTTTACAAGCTATTTTTATTTTTATTTAATGAAATCACTGTATTACAATTGCAAAAACAATATAAATGGCCACTAATTAATGCTTCAATAGTTCAATTTGATTGATAAAATTATGCAATCACACTGCGAACGCAGTTATCTTGTTTCTACCTAAAAAAATAGCCAGTTATTGATAGTTTTTTACATAACACAAAATGATGTAGATAAGGTATCGGCTTCAACAACAAATAAAAACACTTCGAAATGCTGTTTTACTTTATTTATTTAATTAGTTCACTCCATAACCAATTTATAAAATTACACAATGGGAATAATTATATAAGTGGTATTTACAGATAGTAAATAAAACATATTATTTGGAATAAAACAGAATTCACTCTTGCACGTTAAATGCCGCTGCCGCTCTAAATACATATCCATATTGCATTTTCAACATAATTAATTGTACTATTTTGGTATTGCTCATCAAATATTTTTACAAACAAATAAGTAAGTAGTACCAAGATTTTAGATCTGTTAATATGACATCAATCTGAACATAACCACTTAGTCTAGAATAATATTAGCAACTACAAGAGCATAGACATCATATTTTATCTACGGACACAATTTGCATCTTCAGCCTAGCGAACTGTATTTTTTTAAGTGGTTATTTCTTTATGTTGCGATCAGGTTCAGGTTCGAGTTATATTAAGTTATGTTCGATTCTCAATTTACATTTCCATTATTACATAATGTTCGCTAGTAAAATGTCGATTTAATTTACTGGAAAAAACACTTACGCTAAATATCTAACATCAAAATTTGAATAAATTGAAATGAAAACAATTTGAAACAGGCTTTTGGAGAATAATTTCACCCAGGATTTTTTTTCTTTTTCTGCAAACTATTAATGCACAAATCTAGTCGAATAAAGTGTATGTATAAATTGACAAATTTCTAATCGTATAATTATAGTGCTCTACCATATACGTTGGATTCCTACTTATCCGGCCATCTTGTTATCCCAATAATAACATAATAATCGTGAATACTACAGCTAGTTTTAGTTGCAATACATAATTTTTAAATCAAATCAGGTCTCCTAATCCAACATACATTTATTAATTAATATAATTCTTACGTAAAATGACAAAAATATATCAGGCTTCAAAAAACGCCTATAATAATAGAAATATATAATTATGTTGATAAATATATTATACCTACTACATTTTCAGTTACTTCTGATTGCTTATAAGTTATACGGCCCTACTAATAAACCTAATTAAAAAAAATTAAATATCTCTTCGGAAGTATCATTATTGCTTATCTCAGTAGTTTTTCAACAGTCCGTAAGTTACAACGCGAAGGGCTGTGCAAAACACACTAGCACCGCGTACGTATGTTAAGTAACATACAAAAATAATTTTCATAATATTATATACTTTCTAAAACGCATTAAAACATATACTCTGAATAATTTACGATTTGAGGTACATAGGTAAGATTGCTATTCAATATCACTTAACCGATTAATATTCTTTATAATTAAGTTAGGTACGCACGTATTTAAATCGATAGCATTGGTTTTATGTTACTAAAACAAAAAAATATATAATTTTATAGTGTGCGCGTTTGTAAACTCTCAACTAGAAAAACTCTTTTGTTCGAATAACTACAGTACTACAGTTTCTCGTCTGCATCACTTAAAACGAATCTAAATCCTTAAATTCAAAACGGACGACGCTGAGGAAATTACATCTACGATGTAATTGGGCAAACGTCTCGAGGGAGCCGCGCGTGTCACTTTTATTACAAACTTTACCCTTCGTTACGAATTATTATGTACATTTCAAAATTCAAGAGATCATTCGTTTTAAGTTTTTCGTTACGATTAATCTGTTCGTACTGCGAGCGTTACGGTTATTTCAGAGTCTCGGAAACCAGCTAAGCTCATCAACGACGCAACACCCACGCCTCTATACCAGCACCGAATTAATTAAGACGCCGTGATGCAACAGCAAGCGCAAAGCGTTTAAATAATAATAAACTCGACGCTTCGCAACAAACGTGTTTATTTAATAAACCGCATTACGTTTTTCCCGTTCGCGCCGACTTATCAAATCTTCGCGATATCATTCGTTTATATACGAAACTGATGCAATTTTATAATTAATAACTTGTTTAAGTTAATGATATAGTTTGCGCGTATCACGTGCATTGTAAGTACATCGAATTGTGGATGCGTGGCGGGCGAGCGTCACGTCGAAGATCGCTTTCAAATATAAACGAACATTAGGTTTACAATTTACAAAGAATCAGTCTCGTAAGTTCACCATCGACGAATATTTATTATCTCTGTATAAGACTGACATTAAACGTACACAAATTAAAATAAAATAATAATGAAATCTAAGCCTTTACTTATATTGTACATCGAAGTACTATCGGTCTCGTAAAATAAAATTATTTCTATATATAAATAACGTATGAACATCGATTTGTATTAAATATAAATAAATATACGAGTAAGTAGGGTTATTTAGAAAAAATCGAACACAAAAATAAATAATTAAAATTACTATACGTATAAAAATTACAAAAAAGTCTATCCACTTATAAATCCTAAGGTTTAGGATAAGTTGTGTAAAGAGGACACCACCCGGTTTCATTTACAAGAAAACAATTTTTCTAATTCCATAAGTTTTCTGTATTCTATTTTCGATAAACTTACAAAAAGTGGGCACCGTTTTATTTAAGATTAAGTTTTTCCACCTACACAGTAAGGGTTTGATTCATACGAATCGCTAACGCTCATATTAAGCACACTACCTTGTAAGATGTTAAAACGTTGTCAGAAATAGAAGTTTGCTAATAAAATATGGTTAAAAAATCTCAGAATATTCTTAGGCAACCGGTAATATTAATAATTAATGTAAAACTTTAACGATTTGAAAGGTACAAATGGGAATAGTTTCAGGAAACGTTTGCCTCCAATACGTTTTAAAATTGACAATACGTCAATACGTCACATGTCAAACTCGATCGCGGTACAAACGCTTCTGTAACGAGAAGCGAACAACAAAGTAATAAATCTGGCGTAACATTCTACGGGATATGAAATCATAATCATATAACAAACTAACTGTTCAAGAGGAAACATAAGAAATCGGTTTCATGTAAAACATAACATTAGTGATTACGTCATTGAACTAACATATTTAAACCTACAATAAAAGCCGCGGTTCATTCTCGTATCACAGAAAACGTAGTGTACAAAAATAAATATTATAATTATAAAAAAAAAAAAATACGATGTCAATCTGTTATTTTTATTTTACGGAAAATAAAATTGAATTATATAACCCCGCTAATAAAAGTTTAAAATTACGCACTTGGTAACAAAAATATATCACTACAAGCGAGCACGGGAGCGCTTCATATTACTTCCAATAAATGCTCCAATCTGATACAATCTGAGGTAGAGCGAGGTGGCATGCACAAGTCGAACGCGATCCCAGCACGCTTCAGGTCCGTACTCGCGACTCAACTCAAATTTAAAAGAAGAAGAATAAAAAAACAAACAAACAATCCACGTGTCTTAAGTAAATGCCGTCTTACGATTCAAATATGTGTGGGCCTAAGAACTCGGTTATCACGCTAAGTTATACTATCTACAGCAGTTCGGATATCTGCTGCTTAAAACGACAATCAATTCTATGTATATAGATTGTTGTTATGACTACGTAAATACCGATTCTTTATATCTTAAGACGCGTATTCTAAAGTTTGACTTTTCCATACTAAAAAAATATATATATGTTTGAAATGAGAAATTAACTTAAAAATTAAAATCGAACACTAACCTAACATAAAGCCTTCGCGTAATAAGGCTTGAAATACGTATCTGCGAAATAAATTATATTCGCTTGCTTTCTCAATGTATAAAATACACATAAAAGAATATAACGTAATATAAAGTGTATACAGTATAAATAATAATAATAATATATTTTTCTTTTTACGTTTTATTAATTCCTTTTTTTTTTAAGTTAAAATCACAACTACTGATAATATGGACTAGTTTATACCTCAACTAACACGAAAGCTATTCTTAGCATAATAACCGACCCGAGAAGAACTAACTAGAATTACACACAACAACCCTTTATAACCAAACACGTACGGTAGCTTGTCCCAAGTGGCATCGTTGCCTATACTACCGCTGTTCGATAATGAACAGAGTATAACTGGAACATGTCAGGTCCAAAACTATAATAACTTGTATCCACTACAACGAAGCTTAGTTGAACAGAACACAACATCGTTACGATAAGAAGGACACTTAACGTTTCAATAACAAAACGTCTAAACACTAGACCAGACTTACGGCTCTGATCTCCCAAAGAATTCTATTAACGTTAAAAACAGACAAACGATCAGTACAAAAAAAAAAGCAGCAAGTATAAATGTATTAAGAATTATATGTTTAATTATTTCAGTCTTGAATTAACTAAATCTAGAAAAAATATAAAGTGCCATTTGCATTCGGGCGATCAGAGCTCAGATTATTTTAAATAGATAAAAAAAATACTTCAAACTGAACTATGGACTTTGCGGAATAAATCAAGTTCTCTTATTCGTATTAAAACAATCTCTAAACGATTTCTGTTCAAAATTCGAATACACGGAAATAAAATCATTCAAATTTATTTCGTTTCTCTTAAAGACAAGTTGAAAAGAAGTTTGAATTGAATTTCAAGTTAAATTTAAATAGGAATATTATTACTATCTTACAATGACCTTTCAAATATAAAAAAAAAAAATATTATTTATTTATTGCTTAAATGGGTGGACGAGCTCACAGCCCACCTGGTGTTAAGTGGTAACTGGAGCCTATAGACATTTACAACGTAAATGCGCCACCCACCTTGAGATATAAGTTCTAAGGTCTCAAGTATAAGTTACCTTTCAAAAAAGAAATGGAAACACGGTTGTGTACGTAGATACCAAAGTTGCATAATACCTTCTAAATTTGACCACAGTGTAAAAAAGATCATAGTTCAGTTAAAATTAGCACTGGTGCAGTTAGTTCAAAGTTTGATGTAGTCCGCGCCGTTTGTTCCGACATTGGCAAGGGTTTTCTTGATTCGGAGCGCAGTCAACCTGGCCGCCGGATTTTGGTACCAGCATTCTTTCATTACCTTTGATATTCCTGACAGCACCTAATTATTTTACACATTTGAGTCGTCTATTATCAAAGGTGGCAATCTGTGCATTTGGACAAAAAAATGTTATTGATATGTGAATACAGATTGATTTGAATATAATCGTCTCCTTCAAAGAATACGGTTCAAAACCTGCATTAAATAAAGGTTAATAGTTAACCTGTTATTTATCTAAGATGTCGTTCCGAAGAGTTTTGTGACTGCCAATGGAATACAAAGTCAATAATTCGTTTTTCTGATTTACCAATAATTTTCCAAAAGTCAGATTGCCGGCTTTGATAATAGTCGACTCATTTACCGTTATAAACGTATACAAAAACATCAAACACACACATATCGAAGGGTGAAGAGCTGTTTGGGTTAAGCGACATTTTTTGCAACTTTACAGGAGAGCCATTTAATGTTTAAAATTTAGATAAAATATCATAACAAAACATGTTGAGCAATTTCAATAGAATAAAATACAGCTAAAAACATACGTACCTGCTATATTTTTATATTTTCCAGAATTTCTGTAAATTAAACGGTTGTCAGGAAGACATCGCTTTTAGCGATAAGACCGCCTATTGTACAAATGTATCTGCTTTTTACTGTTTTTTTTAATGTAAATTGTGTTGGTGTGCAATAAAATGTATTATCTCTCTTTCTCTCTCTAAAAACATCGAACTACTGATGTTAATAATACCAAATCAAATGCACAATTAATTACAAAGATAAATATAAATAAGCGAAATGTCGCTTAAACCAAATAGCCTTTCACCTCTCTATATAATCATAACGCATTAACTGCGCATAGTGGATGTATTTCCGCAAAAGTTCCTTGGTTCAAGCCATTAACATAACTAAGATATCTGTGACACTGATAACTAATCTAACAACAATTATAATGTATCGTATCAATATCAGCAGTTTAGTTTCACGTTTGCGAGACTTTAGTACTCGTTAGCACTAACGTATTGAGCAAAAAAAAACCAAAAACACACAATAGATGGTTCCTAAGACTTTAATGAATGTTTCATACGCTGCAGTTCATTTCAAAAAATCCTAACACATTCATGTGCTTAAATTAGACAAATTGAGCTTAGGGTTCATAGCGTTAGAAAACACAGAATCGAATTGATCGCCTAATGCGCATGTACTCTAAGTTATATTCGAAACTGGAACACACGAGAAGAAAATTAGAGAGTCCATACTAGGCAATCATTCGAACGGTGAAAATCGAAATGCGATTTCATGGTAAATGTTTTTATTATCATATGTTATGTTATATGTATATATATCTAATTTTTTTATTGCCCTTGTAGGCAGACGAGCATACGGCCCACCTGATGGTGAGAGGTTACCGTCGCCCATGGACTTCAGCAATGCCAAGGGTAGAGCCAAGGCGTTGCCTACCGCAATATATATATATATTACTAGCTGACCCGGCAGACTTCGTAGTGCCTCAATCGATAAATAAAAGACCTAAACTTTTGTATAAAATTAAAACAAACAAAAGGAATCCGTCCGACACGGGGGACACGTCAAAGGGAAAATTGTTATTTTTATTTAATTCCGAGCATTTTCATATTTTTATACCTTTTAAACCTTCTCTGGACTTCCACAAATAATTCAAGACCAAAATTAGCCAAATCGGTCCAGCCGTTCTCGAGTTTTAGCGAGACTAACGAACAGCAATTCATTTTTATATATATATAAGAAAAAGATAGAAGATGTTATCAACGAAATACTATTCATACTAATTAATAAAAGTCGTTATCCCTTTGCGCGTTTACAAATGTTATACGATTTGTACACCCCTTCACATAAAACGCACCCTCATTAATGAATATTGAGTTAAATTATGTAGTATGACCATTTTCATTACGACGCAGTCATAGATGCACGGCTTGTATGTTGGAACAACAACAACTGTTGTACCGTTGAGACTGAACTCGTGTCCCACAATCTCCGGTAGCAACGACATCAGGTGTGACGTGAGGTCATTTACCCACCTCTAAAGCAATAAAAAAAAAGATTTAATCAAATACGGAACTCATTTTAGTTTTGCCTTTTCAAATATCTCAAATAATATTATGGAAAAACGTAAGCGAGATAAAAAAAATATGAATATCAAATTCATTGTAAAATTTAAATGCAACAGTCGTGGATATCCTAGAGCATCTGAATATGTAATTAAACATCAGAGTATTCTATACAACGCGAGCTCAGTCGAATGATGTACAAACTTATTTATTTTCGAATTTATTTACACACTCGACACTTTAAGCGAATAAAAATTCAAAACTTAAACGTATATGCGTGTGACTCGTCTCAGGTTAAAAATCCTGGCTTATAATGTCTAGACCAAGCATTTAATCTCGTAGTCGAACCCACTTATCTAATTGGATAGACCGTTTAGTTTTCCGAGACTACTTTTTTTATTGCTTAGATGGGTGGACGAGCTCACAGCCCACCTGGTGTTAAGTGGTTACTGGAGCCCATAGACATCTACAACGTAAATGCGCCACCCACCTTGAGATATAAGTTCTAAGGCCTCAAGAATGGTTACAACGGCTGTCCCACGCTTCAAACCGAAACGCATTACTGCTTCACGGCATAAATAGGCAGGGCGGTGGTACCTACCCGTGCGGACTCACAGGAGGTCCTACCACCAGTAAGTACTTTTTTATACGGTTTTATTGGCGTATTCGTTTCTATTGAATAAAATCCGTACCAGTTAAGGGGGAGGAGTGAATTCGATGTCGGTCCGAGTCAGTACTGAGTACTTTACTGTTCGTAGGAAACGACAATACGGGTCATTGTGCACGGTATGTACCGACGGCCCTAATGTTGTCATCGGAACTTGTTTAAATAATGTGAAGGTTATGTTGAAAGTTAGCGAGGTTCTGGTTTGTGCTGGATCTATTTTGTTCTATGATGGTTATCGCTACATCATACGTGCATGTCCATAAAACGTGGAAATTCGTATTTACGGAATTAGTTTGGAGGTAATCCGGTTTTCATATTAATTGTTATTTGGGTGACATTTTTTGTGTTACACTGAACATAGCTGTGCGTGTGATTGCCACACCAAGTATGATTAAGAATTCGGGAAAGCGCGGAGTCTCCAGCCTTCGAAGATTACCTTATTATGTATTACGTAAAAATGTATTGAGTGACTTTATTACGACAACAAGTAGAAATCTATGTCGTTTAATGAAAGAATGTTTTATGTTTTGGGGACTCGAGGACAATCAGTTACATCGTGTTTATTAAATTTTGTAAACCTAATTACAAATATGTAAAATACATTTTCGACAATTTTCATAAAGGCGAAGTCTTTTTGGCACTTTATTTACATACTCGATAAAGGTATAGACTAATAAAGCCGACCAAACGCTTTACTTCACGGGACAAACAACAGACAAAATATTAGAAATATCTGAGACGCAAATCTCAAACTAACATATAACCTAATGCTATAAATTAAAATAAACAATATATTTTTGTCGTGTAACTAAAAGAACAACGGTATATTTTCGATTGTCTACATTCGGTGCAGTTTACAAAAACGTATAAAACATTCATCTTTGAATTCAAATAAAATGGCAGACATTTTCTTTTGAATTCCAAATAAGAATTCGAAGAACGTAATCCTATTTTTAATGCCTTTGAATAGACAGAAATTGACATTTAGTAACAAAATACACGAAGCTAAAAATTGTTTACAAACAGACAAAATAATGCTCCAGACTCAAGTTTATTTTCGTTGCGGCTGCTTATGGCTCTGCGTGCTTAACTGAAACATGAAGCTGCCAGTTAAAACGACCACCATGGTCGTATGAACACAACGTGACCCTATATAATTTTGAAGAGTTATAAAGTACCTATGCGTTTCAACAGCGCCTGAAGTCGAATCTATATTTAAAATTACCAATATTGCTTTTGTAGGCTTTTTTTTCTCCTTTTTCGTTTTTACATTTCTTAGGTACTCGTTCGCGCCCTTTAAGACTTTGTTAAAGATAAATGTATTATTAATAACCTCCCCCTTAAAATAGCAACATGAATTTTTAGAATACAAATAAAATGCGTTACCATTTAAAAAATTGATATTGTGTGATATCTATCTTGATGTAGCTTTTTGGTTCGTAGTTCTCGATAATGTGTTTGTATTCTAGGAAAAGTTAACCTGAGTAAGTTGTTGACTCTTGCGTCTGTGTTGTTTTCGATATGAGTAAAAGTTCAAACAAACGGAATATGGATTGATTTTTGAAAACCGATCTGCTCGACATAGCTTACCTTATAAAATCAATTTATATAATTCGATACGAATCGATTGAAAGTTCGATCGCTATCGGAAAGAATCGCTACGTCTAGACGCAAGCTATGATTCTCTTTAGTTATCATCGGAAACACACTAACACGACAAACACAAACACATCCACACGTCGAACACTAAATCTTATACCTTTAAACGAGCAATTCTTGTATATATGTATATAGAATCTGAATCTCGGAAACGGCTTCAACGATTTTCATAAAATTTAGTATACAGAGGATTTCGGGGACGATAAATCGATCTAGCTACGATTTATTTTCAGAAAATGTTGTTTTATTCGTGTTTTCAATAATCAACTTTATCGATAATCAAGTTTATGGCTCTTCCCGACATCTATTGGCGAATAATAATATTTTTCTTAATTGAAAGCAACTAACTGCTTTAAAGACACAACAAGATGGCGTTATCAAAAAAAAAAAATATCATCGTTTAGTATATAAATAAATCGACGTCTAGAAATTTGTTATATATGAGTTTGGTTTTCGTAATGTACATCTCATAAACCGTATTTCTATCAAACAAAACCGTTGTTATAAAAACAGATACACAAAGATTAAAGCTATTAAAAGTATTCTTTAAATGTTTCAAAATCTCGAATGTTCGAATCTATTTCGAAATCTCGCATCAACACAAAGAAAAATCGAATCATAGGAATACATTTTCAAACATCCCCGGCCTCCGTGGTGATAAGCATCTAAGACGACGCTTGTCGCGTATATCGAAATTTTGAATTGCTAAACTGAATAAATTGAAAATATTTTGCAGGACACGTTGTTTTTATTGAAATATATTAAATGCATCTAACGTACGAGAGTTGTTCACGGAAAACTACGCTCTTATTTTGTTTCATAAATCAATAAAATGCCCTAAAATTACAACCGCGTTCAGATGTTGTCTTATATCCACAGGGTCCCCAAAAGATAAAGCGCGCAGTGTTTGGTCTACGAAATTATTAAAGCACTACTTTTGTTGCCAACAAAATATAAAGCAACCTCAAGGAAAGACCAAAATAATTATTTTCCCTGGAAATCCGGATAGTTAACATCACCGTTACATAATGTACTAGCTGTACCGTCCACTTCGCTGGGCGTTTAAAATTAACCTTATTATTTCTCACCCCCACAAAGATTCTCATCATTAACGCCCCCGCAACTGGTGTAGGGAGTCCAACACTCATATAAATATTAGCCTATGCATTAAGTACATGTATTTTCTACATGGATACCAAGTTTCAAGTCAATCGGATGCATGGTTCAGTAGTTACAACGGAACATCCGTAAAAACCACTGTAGATTTATATACAAGTATAGAGTATAGATGTATGTATTGTTGATTCGCTATCACTAATTAGAAATTGAACGTTCATTTTGACGCACAGACGGCGTCCAGTCTGTGCGTGGCTCACCCATGTTTGCAAACATTCTCAAACAAATATGAATTACACCGATGGCTGTTACTTAATTTCATTCCTCTGTACCTACACATGCCGCGCTAAATATATAAACGCGTAAAACCGAAGCCACGATACAATTCAAATATAATTAATCCTACCGAAATTATATAAATAATAATTGATCCGATGACTAGCTGATACAAGAATAATAGATTAAGATTAATAATTAATTAAGAATTAATTAATCGCAATGTAGGCAAGCCGCGCGGTGTACTAATCCTGTCCGTTTTTACGACGGATCGGCTTCGGTTTGAACCGAATACCATGCCAATTGAGGTTTCTCTAAATCTCTAAATGAGCATTCAAATTGTGATGTTTATTAATTCCAATGTCGTGATCAGACATCTAAAGCGTTGAAAAGATAAACTGTATTGAAGTAAATGGACAGTTTAGATTAGACGCGGCTATATTACACCCGGTACCGCGTTATAGGGGGGACTACCCCTATAACGCGGGTGTTACGTTTTACATTACCTGATTTCAATCCCCCGTATAACGCGGGGATTTCCCACATAGATATGTCTGTACTGTGAAATTTATAATAATTAGTGCAGTTCATAATTACCTTCGCGTACCTTTGCACGTGTGTCGATTGTGTTATTAAAAATATAAAATTATTTTATTAAATTTGTGTATTAAAAGTTGTAGGTTAAGTTTTATTTTTACTAATTTTATTTAAAAAAAAAAATCGCTAAACGTTAAACGTGATGTATCATTTATACGTAACGCGTTATACGAGGTCGTAAAAACGCGTTATACGGGAATACCCTATAACGCGTTTTTCTATAATGCTGAACCAACATAACGCGTTATATATACCGGATTACCGTATTGCTATATTATTGTACTCACCGGATCAGAGTGCCACCTATTAGGTACGTTCGGTCTTCGCTTCTCGGTGCATACAACGCGTCTCATGTCTTCGAGCGCCGGATCCGGTGGCACGCAGTCGTAATAAGGAGGCTGGTAATCGTCCGGCATGTTACCGCAGCGACGAGCCATCTCCCACAGCACTAGGCCGAATGAATAGACGTCCGAACGCTTGTAAGGATCGAACTGCCGCGTGTCCATCGTTTCATCTAATACCTAAAGGAAGATACAGCTTTTTTGCTTCTGTATTCAACAGGTTAGTCTAATGCAACCAACAAGGTGTGCAGAAAAAGCTTTTTACGAATCATAAAAACGTCACACAATACAATAAATTAACAAAAAAGAAAATCGATTCAACAAAATAAAAATGAGAATTTCATCACTGCGGTCAAAGTCAATTAAATATCCATATTGAGGTTAAATCAAATACTACTGGTAAGATCTATAAAAGGGAGAGCAGGAGAAACAAAAGGTTAATTTTTAAATAAGAGTAAAAAAGTCGTTCATCTAGAAAAGAGTTCAGACGTAGCACATTAAAAAAAAAAGAGTGGAATTGAGAATCTCCTGTTTTTTGGGAAAATATTAAGCATTAGTTCAAAAATCATTAAACCCAATTTTTATTCAAATAATTATTGAAATTTTTCAATATTACGGAAGACAAACGTGAAATGGTTGACAGATCGGGAAGAAACGAAATGCATTATGCATGCGCGAACAGTATGCAAGTAAACAATGTACATTCGATATTTGCATAACACGAGACGGGTGACCGAGTCATCAGACCTGCATTTATTCAAATGTAACCTATATTTTACATTTCAATAAACGCAACGAAACCATTGAACTCTGGATGTGCCTGCCATGTGTCACGGAATTTATTGTAACAAATCCCGTTCCGATGTCATAGTGTAAACAAGCGATTACAAATGCAAAAGCATTGGCACATGCATAAATCAAGAAATTCGCTACTAATAAAAACATCTTATAAAAACAATCGTCGCTTAATAAGAAGTCGTAAATGATAAAACAAGTGCTGGTTAGAAGGTTCGCATTGGAAAGTATGTTGGCCTCCAACATTTGTACCAACCTCCGGCGCCATGTACCGCTTGGTGCCCACACGGTTGGTCGACGGTACATCAACAGAGTCGTTCGAGACATTGTGGCGCACGGCAAGCCCGAGATCCCCGATCACGCAAGACAAGTTGCTTTTCACCAATATGTTTTTCGATTTGAGATCCCGATGAGCTATAGCCGGCTTTCCTGTTCAAATAATAAGTCTCATTTGTATCCCAACCGAAATTGTGTAAAAATTCCGGAACATAATTACAGAGAAATTCTATTATTAGATATGAAATGTAAGTACAATCCCATACTCGAGTAAGCACGCTTTCCTGCGCACATGTAAGGGCACCCACGCTTACCTTTATACCCGCTCGGTACATTTACTCACATATTTGTGCTTCCATGTAGTAACAGTTAATATAATTCGTTTATATTCGAACGAGCGTGTACCTGATGTTTCTAAATTTACAAGTCTCGATGAAACCTTACATTTGAAGCACGCACGAGAACATTAATAATCAAATTAATAAAATTTCAATATATTACGAGCAAACTACGCTCGGGATTTGTACTGAAAACAAGAACTTTCGTCAACTAAAGTTTGTTGTTATTCAACTAATGTTATGATGAAAACGTAAATTTTCAAGTACATGTAACGCAATAATGTAGCTCAATCAAATACTGTTTGAAATACGAAAAGAATTACGAGAGAAGAGAGAAGAGAAAAGAAATACGAGAAAATTTTGAAATTAGTTAAAAAAATCGTTGGTTAACTTTCGTTATAATTGAATCTAACAAATTACAAAATTAAAACGTTTGAACATTGATGGTAGGTACCTCCTCAATACATTTCTTATCAAGATGCTCTCGATTTATGTATTGACTAAATGTATCTGCAATCCTGTTCGCGGTTGCTTCGCTTCCAGCGTACCCGTAATGGATTATTTTTTAATGTTCTATTTTTAAAATCATTGAGAAAGAAGCTTATTCTATTGTGTGGGAAAACTTCTACGTGTTTTTAAGTCTCGTCTAAGTCGTAAGAATCAGTTAAGAGGGTCAAGTCTGGACAAATAAAAATATTTTTATTTTTATTTTAGTAAAATTAAAGTTAGTTTAGAAAAATATGCTTTGATTTGGAATTCACAGTTCAACACTTCAACTTTGTTATTGTATTTTATTTAGAATAACTTATAAAATTCGTTTTTTTAATTTATAAGTAAGTTATTTTGATTACCTTTTGTGCCGACAATGTCCATATGCAAATGAGCTAGTCCAGTTGCGATGGAGAGGGACATCTTAATGAGCGTGTTCGAGTCGATTGATTTTGCAGTAAGGAAATCAAATAGAGAACCATTTTCATGATAATCAGTTATCAACCATAACTGAGTCCACGTCCCATTATCTGTTACCGTAAATTCGTAATTAACTTACCAAAATAAAAAATATAGTTAAGCAATTTGTCTCTGTGTTTTTAGAGTTTAGCTTAATGTTATGTACATAGCCCGTCTAACCTTTATTATCAGCCGCAATGAACCCAAGGATATTTTCATGCCGCAACATCACGGTCTGGTAAATTTCCGCTTCCCGGAACCAAGAACATTCCTCGCGAGATGAAAATATCTTAACCGCGACGTTCTCACCCCTCCAACGACCACGCCACACCTCGCCGAAACGACCCTTTCCAATTATGTCCACCAGTTGGATCTGGCGTGCGATACTTCGCTGCACCAGAAGCGGTAATCCTGATACACAACATTTGACAAACTATTTTTTGTTATCAATACCTATTGAATAGACGTTTGGCGTATTCATGCGCTACTAATGTGTTGATTATGTGGCAGGTCGAAAACTATAAGAAATTAACATGTTTTCACGAACGAATTCACCGACGAAGGTGAGCTGTCGTGAAATCAAATTTCGTTCACCAAGATTTACGTGGAATTACTGAAGCTTATTATAAGCTCGTAAAGGCCAGAACCACAGTCCTGTCTCTAATCTAAATCAATAATGCATTCTTTCACGTTATGCTGTCGGTGTTACTAATGGTTAATCAATAACCACGTAGCACCAGCGGTCGCGAGTTCATCTGCCTTTAAACGAACAACAAACAAACAAACAAACATAAGTACAATGTACGCGCACCAAAACAAAACTCTGCTTAAAACAATTAACGTTTCAATTTCACGACCCGCACCCTCTCGGTAATTACATTGCAGAAAATTTTAATTTTAATAGTCTCGAGTTTCCTACGAGACGGCGCGCGTACCTTGCCAATTATTTATTAATATCATTCGGTGCATTCAATTATGAACAACTTTGCACCGGGTTCGACGAATATTGAACTATAGCGCGTCTAGCCCGTAAGTGACTCTTAATTGAGTTATTTATCGTAGCACGAGAGACGATATTTAATGGCAGCGACGCTAACCAACTGGAATTTCTCGTCTCTCTAGGATAGATTGCCAGTGGCCTGGACGAAATTGAATTATGACTTACCAGATCCAGAGCCAGACGTCGTTAGTTCAATCATATCTCTGATAGTGGTGGTGGGTGTATTAAGTATGTGTTTGGTCTCGTCCTCATCCGGGTAAGGCCGTGGCGGTCGTTTCCCGTCGGCTCGCCATTTCTTCGCCCACCACAGACTTAAAGCGACGCATATGGCGAATACAACAAGTCCCATGATCCAAGGCACAACCTGCCATGCCGTCGCGGTCGGGCTCGTCTCTTTGATCCAGAATTCTACACGTTATTCGGGGTATCGTAATTTTCGTTGATACAATGACTTTTAAGATCTGGTTATTCCAAATTTATGTATTTTCATACATATTTTTTTTTTTTTTTACTTAGTGCTCAATCGACATTGATTATAAAAATAAAAAATTATATAATTTTACCTGAATTGCTGAAAAACATATTATGAAAATCTTGTTTAAGCAAAATAAGATTAAACCAAAATACACAAACACCCTTCCTTAATAAGCATTTTCATGGGTATTTATTTATATGAACAAGAAAAATTAACTTTTAAATTGTGACAGCTTTATTCGTATAACTTACATACCGAACCCCGAATTGAGAATGATCCTTTTTTTATTTGGCATCGTTTGTGAGACGATATCAAAATCAAAACCCTTTTTTATGTTTTGAATTTTTATCAAATTTCACAAGGACGAGGTTGGATAATCTTCTGTATCACCCTATTAGTATAATATAAACATTTATACAGTGATAAATTGTATTTTATTTGATATTCAACCAAACATCGCATCGTATGAAAATCGTTTTTATTCTCTATGACGGATTTAATAAAAATATCGGAGTTCTTTTGATATAATTCAAAGTTTATTTTAATCAATATATTTTCTTTTTCGTAATTCAACATGTTTAATAACAAAGAGTACTATACTAATATAGAAATCTACAGTAGTTTTTACGGATGTTCCGTTATGACTACTGAACCATGCATCTAATTGACTTGAAACTTGGTATAGTAATCGGCAAACTTCTTGAGCAAATGACCTTGACTGCGCAGAACCGAATTTTAGATCACTTTGGTGGTGAGGGCGAGGCGCGACGGCAGGGGAAATCGTATCGAGCGCGTTATTGGTAGATCAGTCGAACCTTGCGTCCCGCACCGCGCCCTCATTCCGCTTGCTCCCAAAAGTACGCTTGCGTACAGTGGAAAGTCTATCGTTATTAATCGTTAAGTTATTTGTTATAATTGCTTGTGGACTTTGTTGCCATTGCTATTTGTTGAGTGTTTGTTGATTTTTTATAAAACATACACTATGCCGTGACAAACTGGTGTAGTACTTAAAAGAAAGGGTAGAAAATTTGTGTACGACGTATATTGCTTCATTATAAAACAGGGGAAGAATGATATGGAAAAATTAAAACAGACTTCGGAAGCAACAAAAACATCAGTGAGTACTGTTAGGTGCATTATTAACGAAGCTAAAGGCTCTGGCTTGCTCGCCGTGTTTCGGACTCCGGGTAAGAAAAGATCAGGGAAGAAGAAAGTTACCGGAATGGATAGTTTCGTTCAATCTGTAATAAAAAGATGTAATCATAATAACTACATAACAAGCAGCGAAACTCCGTACCGTAGAAAGGCTTCGAAAAATTTAAAGAAGATATAAATTTTAATGGCTCGGAATGAAGCTTACGACGAATTATGAAAGAGCTAGGCTTCAGATGGAAAAAAAGAACAGAAAATAATCGGAAGCTGGTAAATGAAAAAAGTAACATTCGATTACTACGAATCGAATATCTTCAAAAAATAATTAATTATAGACAAAAAAGAAGACCGAATCGACCGAGTTGTAAACTACGCCGATGAGCCCTATGTCGACTCATCACGATGATAGCGACTCGGGTGATGAAAACAGTGATGATGATGATGGTCAAGATTATGATAACGAAAAAAAAATTACAAATACCAGCTTCGCTTTAACTGAACCAAGACCTGGCAACAGCTCTAGTTTTGACTTAATAGAAGGAATATCTATTTTACCCCAAGATTAAATTATTACAATTATTAACCTATATGTTTTGTTGATGTTCTAATAAATATATAAATAAATACATATGTTGATTTTAATAATTTAATAGCATTATGACGCAGAGTAAGTAATGTTTTTGCACGTGAGTGTACCATGCGCAAACTTACCCCCACTACGTCAACAAATGCTCAAGAAGTTTGCCGGTTATTATATCCGTGTAGAAAATACATGTACTTAATGTGGATAGGCTAATATTTATATGAGTGTTGGACTCCCTAAACCAGTTGCGGGGGCATTAATGATCAGAAACTTTGTGGGGATGAGAAACAATAATGTTTACTTTAAATGCCCAGCGAAGCGGACGGGTACAGCTAATTAAATAATAAACACAAAACAAAATTTTACTATAGCATTCCATCCTTTGCAGACAAATGAATTAAAACATCAGCTCGATGAACTTTAATGGATTATCTATCGGAAGTGTTCTGCTCTTCAAATTTTATTAAATTCTCCGCCGTTCACTAAGGCGTCGCCCACTCAGCCATGTCGCACGGCTTCGTCGATTCTATTAGCAGCCATCTTTTCCTAAATAATAGCACCCCACCGGTCCCTATATGCGCTTGAAATGCTTCACACCCCTACCTCCCCTTGTTATCTCCAGACAAAATTTAATATCGCCACCGATAGGGTATTTTCTGTATTTTGGTTCTAAATTATAGTTTGATATGTGCAAACTAAGCTTCTAAAAGCAGATTAAACTTCATTATAATACTAGTTACTTAACGTGCCGTTTATGTGAAATATTTTTCTTAAACATGAAAATCCACATGCAAACGCATGCAAACATGCGTTCACGATGCATAAAATACTCTTAAAATAGAAACTGCTGCGCATAATCCGATCCCAGAATATTTGTACGTCTCGGACTTACTGAATATTTTGTATTATTTGAAGAGGTTATATACGTATACTTGTTAGACAATGTAAAAGTTTGTTTGTTGTTGAAGTGTGCATTATTACCAAAGTTCAATAATACCCGATAGAATCTCGTAAGTCTGTTAGTATTCAATTAAAGTACACTTCCACCACCGTCGATTGAAATATGTTAAGATAAGAAAGTATAGAATTCAGTGGCAAATGTTAATAGCTACTGTGCGTGTAAGTTAGTTTTTCTATATGAATATTACACATGCTAAGAGCAAGAAAACCGGCTCATGATCACTTACGTAAATATACAACGTCGCTGTGAAAAGTACATTGTCATACCCTTATGAAGTCAGGAATATTCAACTTGTTGCTATGCCGTCGCCTTCCCATCATGCCATTGCTATAAATGCAATTATTCCCGGATACTTTTTAAATATATCTTTCAATAATCATTCAACTTGTAATAACAAAAATACCTCGGAAAGCTTTCGTTACGCAAAATGTCTTTCCTGTTTTTTTCCCTCAGATATGGCGCTTTATTTCATGGATTATTGGCTGTCTACTACATTCATACCACTAGGGAGTGCCCCAGAGTTAACACAAGTCTGAACATTAACTATATGTATTGGACGATCCACGGGGCGAATATCTGATGATTTGATTCAACATTCACATGCAAGACGAATTGATGACTCTGTTTTTTTCAATTGAGATCAGTAAGTTAACATTAAACATATGTTTCAACATGATCGGACTGAACATTACGTATTGTTGGACATCACAAGAAAGCTGCCCGAAAAATGCGCCCCGACGACACATTCCGAACCCTTACCGTACCTGCGAAGATGTCGCGGTTACAGTAGTCCGAGGCGCAGCAAATTATATCGGAGCGTTCGTCTTCGCGACACCAGACGGGCTTGTCCCCCGGTGGGAATATATTGTGACGGTCCCAACATCTACGTCGACAAATTATTACATTAGTCGCAGGATAAACTCTTGTGTCCTAATGGCCCTAACGGTGATCAGTGCCGGTCTACGAAAATAAAACTTAGTCGTATTAGAACAAAACAAAAAAAATTATGGCGAGCATGCAGTCTTGCACCGAACACCAAGCCTGCACCGGACCGGCTGCTGGCGTCGTATGCGGGTGGCAGAAGCTATGTGCAGAGTTAGCGGCACATCGATGGCTACTTGTACGTCGCTCCTACCTGGCGGCTTCGGATGCAGCTCCTGGAGTATCTCTCGATTGCACATGTCATGTACCTTACAACATCTTATCATCAACGACTCATTTTTAGTTTTCGTCGTGGAGCAACTGAAGGGGTGCTCGATGGGCACTGACGATTTGAGGTCGAGACAGCTGCGCCGCAAGTGGAACCACCATACATTATGTTTAGTAGGTTAAAGCAAAACCAACGCACACTCGAAAAATATAATTTGTTAAGAGAACGGCACATCATTCAAAACATACTAATTCGATTGCGACTCGGAGGTACGGCGGCGCGTTCTTTATACTTAGTAGGTACATATTCAAATCACTAATTCATAAGCGATATTTGTTAGAGTATTGGCATCTCAACACAAAACTTAATAGGAAATGGCAATGCAATTATGTTTCTCTAATACATCAAACAAACTCAAAATCTGCAAGTTCAAGTAGTATCACACGGCCACATGTGCTCGGATAAGCTTACCCATTTCTGAGTTGTGTAGTTTAGAAAATTTCTGTCGGGTAATCTCATCGGAATTGCAGAAATCAGTTTTACAGCAATAGATCGATTGATTTTTGCATGTTACTGGATTCTCGGGTGGTAACGATTCGTTCAAGTTCATACAGCTTAAGGCCGCCTCACTACAGAAACGTCAATCATTCCATAGGAATGCATTAGGTTATTGTGACCATGGACAATACCGTTTTTTTTTTAAATCATTTAAAAAACGTTGTTTTGACTTGAGTTTGCCAATTTTATTGTTGTTTTTTTTTTCTTCTAATTTGGCAATATATTAATATGTACCTCTGTTATTCGTTTTAAACACTTTTATTTGAAAACTATTGGGAATTTGGCCATGTATTGGTTAAATTTTATGCGCATTTAAAAATGTAAAAAGTATTTATACTCACTGGTATTGATATTTTGGAGCTCCATTTTCAAAACTGGCAGAGGCAAAACAATACCCATCAGTCTCACAGGTGGAATTGGGACATCTCTTACTATTGCAATAACATTTCAAAGCTGCAAAATGAAATTGTTTTCAATTCTACTTTTAAAAAAAAAAACACTTGTGCACTTTCATTCGTCAAAAGTCAAGACATATCATAAAGCACAATGAAAAATTATAATTTATTAATATTTAATCATCTTCTTTGATTGAAGAGAACATAAATAATACCTATGCTTTTATATTCTCTTATCTTATAAGTAAATGCACTTTGTGTTGGTTTTAATACTATCTGAAGTAAGTAAATTGTTTTGTGTTCGATACTAAAAACGCAATATACCTACTGATTACGAAAACAAGTATACAATATATTATATATTTAAATATCCGAAGATTAACAGCCTGAAGGGGTCATACCGTTGTCGTTACTTATCGTTTATTGATTTTGCTAATAACTTAAAAAATATACGAGTTCATATTTTATGTTTTTTTTTTTTTTTATCTTAAATGTGTGGACGAGCTCACAGCCTAACTGGTGTTAAGTGGTTACTGAAGTCCATATACATCTACAACGTAATGAGCCACCCACCTTGAGATATAAGTTCTAAGGTCTCAAGTACAGTTACAACGGCTGCCCCAGCCTTCAAACCGAAACGCAATTCTGCTTCACGGCAGAAATAGGCGGGGTGGTGGCACCCACCCGTGTGGACTCATAAGAGGTTCTACCACTAGTAAGATAAAATGCTTTTGTTGTCTTGTCCTTCTTGTACGCAGCACGAAGCCATAGGTTGACACGGTCGCCCAGCAATGGATAGTACACAACACGTAACCATTCCAGAGGAGTTCGCGCCTTGTCAATTATAAAAGACACGGTGGCTTTTACTCGAATCTCTAGGCGATCAGTTAACAAAGTCCCGCAAAGATATAGCGACGTAGCTATTAATAAAAAAACACGTTATTAAACTACCAATACTATGTGTGTTATGTTTTAGATGAACAAATCTAACTTAAGAGTTTAATTATATTAGGATTTCACGATGACCGAAATAACATTACAATTATTACGGAAGACACAAAGTCTCGGATCGATTATCTGAAACTTTAGAACAACACTATTGCGATAACAGGACGTGATTTCACTACATAAATTGTCCCGTTTAATTATTTATAAACAAATCGTATTTATCGTTGAATTTATAGGAAAATAATTATTAGTAATCACTGTATATTTAAAGTGAATCGTGTTATCTTATTATTCAACTTGATTGTAAAATAAATGTTTTAGTCTGTCAGTATTATCTATTGCAGTATTGTGTCTACAATTTTAGATGTCACTAGAGGTCCCGCAGTAGTCGAAATTCGACTATACTTAAATTAATTGGAATTGTAAGTTTGTACACTATTATGATTGTATTTTATACTTCTATAATCACAAATTTCGCCAAGACTACACTATAAAAAATCAAAGACAAGCAATATTTAATCTCAATTTGACAACAGACGTCAATAACAAAACTTTGACAATAAATAGTATGCATGCGTGTGTGCGTCAAATGCATGGTATGTAGTGTGTGTAATGTTTTCTTTATTGATTTAATGTATATTTTATGCATTATTTAAAAAAAAAATTAGCATTGCGCACTTCTTCTCTATATTCTCTATAAGTATGGAAAATTTCATACTCCTCCGTCCGCGCAAATTTCGTAAAAACTGATACAAAGTTTTTGCTTCACGTATTAATATATAGATAAGTATAATACATAATAAATCCGCATAAATTATGTGAACTGTTTGTGTGTGTGTGTGTGTACGAGTGTGTTTTTTTGTTCAAAAACAGAAACGTTTGCTTCTTCGAATTGATGTCGGGGCGACACATTGCCTATAAACATCAGCAATATCAAGGATAAATTTAATACGTTGCGAAACAAGATATTTGCACTCGAGGAGTCACTTTACATACAGCAAATAAGGATTTTTATAGATTTCTTTATGATTTCCTGTGATTTGTGCGGACTATAATTGACAGATAAATTGCTTTGAAAACGGCCGTTAAAACATAATGCAATAAGAACATATTTGATTGAGTTTTTTTTTTTTTATAAAACCGTTCAATGAAGTTGTTAGTGGATTCACTTTTGAATCATTTGTTAGTGGTAATAGAAAACAGAAATTATTCGATTAAACAAAAAAAAAAAATGCATTTAAAACACATGCAGACCTCTCATCTCAGACGTCAAACTAGACCCGTCTGACAATTAAAAAAAAAAGAGTAGGTATCGACGATACCGGACAATAATTTAAGGTGCGACCCGAATCCCATTTAACTCGCGTTGTTACTGGTCTATATATTGTTAGACGTTTTAGTTCAAACAATAATTTTATAAGCCCTGAACACATATTTTAACTATCTCCGAGAGAATAACGGACAAATTTCACTACTTGTCTTGTCGTTCAAACTAATACCGTCTTGATTAAAACAAATAAAAAAGGTCTTAATGTTATTACATCAATTACTCGTATTGATAAGCTCTATTTTACCTTGAAACCTATCCCCATTGTTTTCATAGCGAACCCGTCGTCATCGCCAAAACAATAACATCTCAAATAGCTTAGTGTACATTTTATGGATAAAGTGGGCCACCTACATTGCAGATTTGCTTTACTAGTCTTACAAGCCGGTAGAATGTTATGGTTGCGTTTTGTTTTTAAATCTCCTTCAAAGGTTTGAATGAGATTTTGGAGGGAACACCTGATCGTGCACGGATGGGATAACTGAAACTCAGACAAAACACCGTAAAATTTATACCTACACAAATAAAATTTAAGGGTTTAACTTTCTTTTTCATGTTTTTGTGTTTATTTTCTCTTTATTAAAATACAAACACGAGACTTTTGTCCGACTGAAAATTCTGAAATGGCGCGTGAAGAATACTTTCGATAATAATATAGAGATTCTTTAATACCTTAAAAACTTAAGAGTATCTGTGTAAAAATTTAAAAACTTTACATTATCTAAAATTTTAGCGCGAAACGAATCTAGGATTGAAATAAGCGCGTTGCTACTATTTAGTACTAAGATTCAATTGTCGTATCTATTGAAATTCTTAGATATTGAATGAGTATAGAATAAGTTACAACTGTGTGTCGTTAAATAAAATAAATGAATATATTATGAATGAAATATTAAAATAATATGTAAAAAATCTACTGACGATCCATGATTCTTCATTGCAATCCAACTATGAAATTAAGTTGGTTAATCTGTTTGCTGTTCCGATTTAATGATTAAATGGTTCGATCGATTCAAATCAATTGTCAGTTTAGGTATTTTTGAACGAAATTTATTATTTTCTTCTTATTTATTGCGTATTCTGTATTAGATACATTTTTTAAATCCTGTATTCAAACTGTTATTACGAACGATTGAAGCAATTTTGAAATTTATATAAGACGTCTGTTGTGCCTTAAAACTACAATGAGTTTATTCTGTGTACTAACGAAATTAGCGTAGTTATCAAAGACTCCTCCACTAATTTATGTTGTCATTGTATCATCACTTTGACTAAGTTAATTTTCGTAGTCACAAACGTTTACACTGTGTGAACCCACGCGTCAAACCGCTACAATGTCGGTAACGTCACTCCAATTGTGAAAATCGTTTTAAATACGCACAAAATACTGAAAATTCCTTTATCCTGATATTCGGCGCTAGGAGGATGTCCTAGTAATTTATTGTAATCAACTGTCTTCGCACATTATGTTCAAATGAATTAACAAGAAGTTCAACAAAAGCAGAATTTAGAGTGGGCGTTGATAATCTGAGACTACGTAATATAACTTAAAAAGCGTAGTAATCATGTTCGAAATTGAATAGGGTTGAACAGTTGAACTTCTCTGATTTCATTTTTGACGTAGCAAGTGGGCAGTTTTTTTTATGAAATTCTATCTTATTTTCTTATTTAATCTTGTTAAATCCAAAGGAAAACGGGTGTGGGTGATATTGAAAAAACTTATTTAGAATGATTGCTACACCAACTTGGTGCAAATGTAAATCCAAACTATCCAACAACTAACAGCCTTGAAAACAGACAAAAAGTAGACAAGCAATTTAGGAGTTCAGTGACAAACATGGATACATTAGAATTATAAGGAGATTACAAAAATGGTTAAAAAGAAATAGAATAATTTTTATTTTACATTGTATGTTCAAATAGTATAATCATACTGAATACTAAACATTTAAAAATATATAAATAATTTATACCTAGACCCTATAGCATTGTCTATTGCCATATATATGTAGGTGTGATCATACACAAGGTTGCCAATCTTTTGTATAGTTCGTGTTTATAAATAACAATTTCACGCAACTTCTTACAATTCAAATTATTTCCTCTTATTCCTGACCAGTCTTCTAAAGAAAGTTAAAACCACACCATACTTTCCTATGTTTATTTTAATATTTTATAATGGATATATATTTTATAATATTTTATAATGGACATATGTAAAATAGTCTTCTGGTAAAACTACTTTCACATCATATGTTATTGTTAGTATTCCAGAACTATACCATTAACTGCCAATAACTGTTCAAAACTTCAATTCAATTGCATAAAAGTAAATGTGTATGTACACAGTTAACAAATTTTAATGTACAAAGTTATTATTTTAAATCAAATACTTTTTTTACAGACCTATTTTAGCAACAATTTAATATTTTTTTAATTTAAAACTTGTGTCTTAATACTGCTTTCATTATTTTATTAAACTTATATTCAATTTGTAAAAATTATAGTTTGTATAGGAAAAAAATTTAAGATTGCACTTTCAAATCTCACTACCATAAGAAATTATCATTGTATCAATTACTTACTAAGTAACTATTGATATTTATTTTCGTTACTTATATATTAAATAACATGCCCAATAATTCTTTCACAAATTTATAAAATATTCAATTTTTCTAAATAATTTTTCATAAATTACTTACTTCTAAAAGCACTTATGTTGTAGCCCATAGGACGAATCATCTTTCAATATTATTAACAGAATTAAACTGCTATTAAATAAACCCCAAACAGTTTTACAAAACTTAGGAAGTGTTCCAGAGATGTCTAGCTCACTCAAGCACCAGACTACAAATGAGCTTCCCAAATAGAATTTCGTATTTAGCGAACTCTGCGCGGTCGCTGTACTCTAGATTTGACGACCTTGAATAGGTACCATGTATAACCCCCTTAACATGATTAACTAAAAAATAGGATTTTCTAATGTTTGTATTGTAAATTTATTTCAAGGTTATCGATTAGATTTTCCTTTTTACCCAAAAAAAAATATTGTATCACGTTTAAGTATTATTTTTATCTTATCGGCGTATGAATTATGTTTTCGACATTTTTCAAACATAATTAATTATAACATTGTAGCTCTGAACAATGGTAACGTCGTTTCAATCAATACGAACATCAATTTCGATTAGAGGCGGATATGAATTTTAGGTTGCCTTACTGGGTCAAAAGTTAAGAATTTTCCTAATCCAAGTAAAAAGATAAATTATCACTTACCGTCTACAGCATCCAACATTCGATATACAGCAAATATTACTAGAATAACCCATTTTTTTAGACGAAAAGTATTCATTATCACATTACCAGCTATAAACATTATAATTTATAGTCCGGTATGAAGAAACAATCTAATATTGACACTAGAAAGACACGGCCATTGATATATTCTAATACTTCTAGGAACATTTGACATTTTCATTGGACATACAATTATTGCTTTTCGTTTACTATTATTACCCGAATTTAATTTATTGCTTTCGTTACTTTTCATTAAGCCTAAGTATATAATAAAACTATGTACTTATAACAATAATAATTTTAGATAGGTATCTCTGCGGAAGGTAAATAGCTTTGAATGGTTTGAGTGAATGAATCAGTGAACAACTTTTTATTAAGCAGTACAGATAATTAAAAATTCCTTCCAAAATATTTTTGACGTCATGCCATAGATAATGAGTTGAAAAACTATGCAAATGTCATTCTGAGTATACAGCACAGATTCGGGATTGTTGCTAACTCTAAAAAGAGTTGTTACAATTGGCGGCATTTTCAAAATTGGTGGATACTTTTTCAATGACGTAAATAAAACCACTAGTTAAAAGATATATGTACTGACTTATATTGTTACTTTTAATATTTACAATTTTATAGACTGCATGTAACATTGTAAATCTGGCTTAACATAAGCTAATACAATAAAATATAGGTAGTTTTTATTTGGATTTTCACTTACATAAATAGCATCCGTAATTCAAAAATACTCATATAGTTTAATGTCGCGGTTAGTACTTACATTTTAGTATTTCCAACGTTTCGAATAGTGCAGTTTTCGTAGCCATAAACGATAAAGTGTTATTAGTGGATTTTTACATTGTAATAGCAGCACAAATAAACCCTAAGAGTACATAGTTTTAATAATAACATAGATACAATTCTGTTCCCTCAAAAAAATAAATCAAATTTAACTTTTTCGAATTAATTCTTCCTATGGTCATTGAACTTTGGTTTTGGGTTTGGGAACATCGAGTTTGAGGCCAATCTGATGATAGCCGGTTGTGGTCACTTACGGACATCAACAACAATTTTCAAACCCTATTTAAAAAATAATTGTTACATCGATTGTGATAACCAAAAACTATAAAAATTAAGGGATTTCTTAATAAATATGTCTAAGACGAATACCTAGCTATACTCTGTTTATATTCATTCCTTTAAGATTGTAGAAGAAATTGTTCTTCTCAGTATGAAAGTAACCATCGATGCAAGACAAAATTAAATATCTATTGTAAATTTAACTTTAGTTTTAGTCCAAATAGGGATTGTCTACAGAAGTGTAACTTTATAAAACTTAATTTTTTATGCAGATCTCGAAATAAAAATTTAATTAAGAATAAATATATGTAATTCTACAAATAACAACATTAAACTATACCAATTTTACATGAAATCATAAACATTGATAATAGAAATATCTTGTATTATTACCTATATAAGTTTCTAGAATAAAACGAATAAGATATTTTGAAACACATTAAAATACCAGCCATTTTTAGAAGAAAGATTTAACAGTTATGTTTTCTCGAATATCTACAAAATACATGGATTATAGCAAAATACAAACGTTTTGAAATAATACGTCACGTGATCAAAAATGCACAAAATAGTTTTATACCGTTATCGTTCACGGTTTAATATTAAGTATATAATATATTATGTGTTTCACAAGCGAGTTAATAGATTAAATGTTAGCCCCAATTTAAAACTTCAAAGTCTTCAACAAAGGAAAGAACACTAAACTTTTTGTGACTGCAAAGGACCACCTTAAACTGTATAATGTACATTTAAAAAAAAAACATGATTTACGTCACCGGCTTAAAACAACACTTGTTTTTTATTAAATTTAAACAGGCATATTTGGTAAACCAGGCGAAACTATAAAATTAAAATATTACTGCAATATACATTGAGAATGTTTACAATTAAGCCTCTATAATATTAAATACATCTTAGAGAATACAGTGACAAATTTAAATGTATAAATGAAAATATAACCCATTCATTACCTACAGAAAAGATTACAATGAAAAATACACAAATTTTATTACACCACTTATGTATCTATTCAAATAAATTAACACATTTATTTAAATTAGTATCCTAGCATTTGTATATATTTATTTACTTAGATCGCAAATTTAAAAGTAAAGAATCTCAAAAGCTATTGAAACAGTATAACATAGGTAAAGCATTTAGTATCACTTTTATTAGATATGGAATATGTATCGGTAACAGTATATATTAAGTTATTTTATGTACTGATAGCTGTAAATATTATAATATTCGACTAGTAATAGTAGTCGTAATACTAGCATTAGTTCTAGTAATAATGCAATATTTCAACAACAAGGTCTCCTCAAGGTAATTGATCTTAGTTATCTCATTTGTTTAGTGAATGGCATGATTGTATAGCAATTTAGTCTTTATAGACATATAGTTGACGATGATAGTACTTACCTTACATGAAAATATGGGTTTCTAATATTACATAAGTAAAATAAATAAAACAATAATTGAGTTTACCAAAAGTGAATATTAATATAATTTAAATAAATAAAAATATATAAAATTAAAGTATTTGAAGTAATTGAAGTATTCCATGCGTAAAAGATTTTATTTTTATTTTATTCAATAAATAAGGTATGCCTTTCAAAATAATCGTAAAAAAGATAACTTTTTGTAAGCAAATCTTACGGAAGCAAGGGTTGAAATATATTCTTAGAAATTATTGATTACCAACCTCGTTCAAATATACAACATGCATGAAATAATTAAATCGGAAATTTGATTATTGTCTAAGTTACTGAGTATTTTAGTATATTATTTTTGTGTAGCGTTAAATCATTAGACCGTACGAGTAGTTTGTTTTAGATGAGACCGTAATTGTCGTCATTAAAAACATTAAGGAAATCATTATTAGTAGAACTTATCCCTTGTAAAGTATCTTAATATAGTGTATTATTCCAAATTATTATGAGACAGAATGTAGGAATAACGTTCACGAAGTGTCGCCGCAAAATAATATTAATCAGTTTTATAGTCAGTAAATTCGAATCTAAAATGCGGCGATCACGGGGTCTCGAACGACAATGGGACTGGAATATGCGAAATTTTGAATCCGAATCTAGGACTTTGTTATTATAAAACCACGAGAACTTAAGCCTTTCACAAACGGCTACCTGTCATTGAGTTTAATTAATTATTAAGACAACAATTAAAAATCACCTTCATGTGCTACAAAAAGCACACTGTTGTTTTGGGAAAAAATACGCAGTAGCTGCAATGTTTTTTTGGGTAAGTATAAACTGCGAATGGAAAAAACAAATTCCATAAAAATACTTATAAATTGTGATGGATTAATTTTGATATTACTAATGCCAGAATTTATGTTGATTTTTTCGTCATTTTTAATTTGTTCTTTTTTGCCCCTTTACACCACATGTAACTTGTTCTATTTAACTAAATGCAATTTTAGACTCATAGGTACTATGCTATTATAATGCAAGAGACATTTCTTTTTTTAATTCATCAAGTCTCATTATTGCCGTTGTACGTTTTAATTACTTTAATTTTATGAATATTGCCAATACCCATGATTTTACCTGCTTAAAATAATTATATAATATTAACACGAACAAATTACTGCAAAAAATTGAAGAAACACTAATAAAATGTGACTATATTTTAAGAAATGATCGATATAAGTTCCTATTTCATAAAACTTACAAAACAATTTATTTCTCATTAGCTACACGATTATATTATGTACGCTCATTGTATCATGCTTTAAATGCTTTGGTAAGGAAATAATAAAACTAATAATAAAATTTAATATATATAATGCTGTAAAACAAAAATGATTTAATGAATCTAAAAATGTGATAGGAGAATGATATGCTGAATCTATTGTGCTAGTTTGAATAATAAAGTAAACGAAGTAAGTAAGTAAGACGAGTAAGAAACGTATTCGAAGAAACATGGAAATATTAATATTAGTAATGACAAAATTCAGACTATTTTAGATCTCACTACAATTCAAATGTCACCTTTAAGGCGACACTTTTATTACGATAATTAAATTATCCTAAATAGTGGAGCACTGCAATAGAATTAGTACGTGGTGGATACAATTCGATGTAGTTTTCAAATCAAGATTAATGAGACTACATTATAATTTATTATAATATGATTTCGATTTAAATTTTTAGTAAACATATTAACTTGATCAAAACTATATTTATTTTAATCATATTATTATACATTATGATGTATGTAATGTACTATAAATAAAAGCATTTTTAGATACCATTACACTTGGCCTCGGATTAAAAACTACAAATAAACATGTTAATTATTAAAAATATTTTTAAATAGTTAAGCATTGCAAAGCATTAGCAAATAGCATGTTAAAATTGTGAGACTTAATTTTTAATATACTCACACGATGGTTTCGATTACTTGGATTACCATTTACTGATTTAAGATCCTGCATTAGCTTATTTTTCCTTAGCACGAAATCAGTTCGAGAAACTTCGTACAAAAATTATTTTATGGGATATAGTGGCAAAAAACAAATGCTGCCTTTTTCATTCCTAAGTTAGGTGGACGAGCTCACGGCCCAGCTGATGTTAAGTGGTCATCAGAGCCAACAGCGAATCCATCAAGATAGGTGTTCACGTTGTCTCCAGAGGCATAGGTGCTGTCTCAGTTCTACAATAGAACGGCTGCCTCACCCTTCAAACCAAAACGAATTACCGCCTCACGGCAGAAGTAGTGGCGGTAACTACCCGTGCGTATTCCAAAGAAGCCCCACCGCCAGAAATTGCACAAATTATAATTTTTATGTACGGGTTTCATTTTTCACAATGTTATTCCTTCAACGTGGAAGTCAATCGTGAACATTTGTTAAGTACGTATTTCATTTGAAAAATTGGTACCCGTCTGCGGGATTCGAACACCGGCACTATCACTTGGCACGATACGGATGCACCGGGCGTCTTATCCTTTAGGCCACGACTACTTCAATACCTTTTGATTAATCTCACATTTTCAGACATTAATACGTCTACAATTCTACTCTAACACCAAAATATACTTTTACTTAAATAGGAATGTCCATGTTTTGTGATAAATTATAATAACTTCAGAAAAAAAAATACCTTACAAGTATTCCATTAGGCCGGACGTTAAAATTGTGGTCCTTTCAATGAGCAAAAGTATCTATGCTCATGGATTGCGTTGGGAACGATATACCCGCCGTCGCTCCGACATAATTATTTTAATAGCAATAAAAAGTAATTACCATAATTTCGCTACATTTTACGGATTAGTATAAATTTCGAAAAATGCTATACATACATGGATTCAAATAGAAAACAAATGGAGAGTTGGAATATTAAAAATCAATTTCCCAAGAAAGATGAGAAACTATTAAATTGTATGATTAAAACTTACGAATATTTTCTTAAGTTTCATCAACATATGGGTATACTAAAGTTTCCCGGACATGCTCATAAATATAAAATAAATAAAAAATGTGTGTGTGCAAGTCACACACGGTAGAATTGGAACTTATGTTAAATAAAATTAATCGCAATGGAGAAGCCTCGCCCTGGGGGAACCGCCTGCATGATCACAGTATCCCAACGCCAGGGTTGCCAGGTAAGTATGATTAAACGAGAAAAATACATGAACGTCTATCAACTATGTAACATCTCGTCACCGCGATTCAGGAATTGTTGAATTTACGTGCAGCGACATCTCTTGATAACAAACTAAATAGAAATAAAAGTATCTCAGGGCGCTCCGAGAGCCACGACAGCGTGCACTGACGTCAAAAACACACTCAACTAGTCGGGGACGCGAGACCGTGTGGAGCCCTTCGTGATTTTTCAGCGCCGCTCGGAGCCGCTTCGGCAAGCCAATCGCTTGTGTCTCTATGGACTTATTTTTTCGTTTCGTTTCATTTCGTTTCATCGAGTTTGAAATCACAACGATTCTAAAGAAGTTTCACATCAAAAATTTCTCGCACTATTGTTGTTTTGGTTCGACAGTTTCGATTAACACTACAAATAAAAGTGTTACGATCGTGTAAAAATGAGTTATTTATCACTTATGCCAGATTCCACTAAAGTTATTTTAAATGTTAAACGCAATAACCCCAAATCCCATTTAAGAACACTGGTTTTGTCATTACAGTCGAAAATCAATCAGCTGTTGTGTTGAAATCACGCCATTTTACTTTATTTGCGTTGGATAGTATGGTGTTATTCCTCAAAAATCAATGAGTATTCCTTCAAGTAACTTTAAATTATCTTCAGTACAATATATTATTTATTTAGTGGAATTGAGCCTTAGCAAATAATCGGGTAATTAATTGTTTTGACAACAACGGCTGCATGTTTCATTATTGTGTCCAACTTGAATGATTTTAAATAGATTTTTCGATACATAAAATACAGTTTAACGATTATTAAAATCGATTCTGTTTTTGAATCGTAAGAATGATTTGAGATTTCAAATGTGTTAGAATTAAGCTAAATGGAAAACTAATCACGTCGGCTCGTTGGAAAACGAAGATAATTAAAATTATTTCTTTTCATTTTAATCGCACAAAGACATTTCTCAAAAAATGTTCTTATTCGTTCCTTTTGCGTGCGACGACGGGTTCTATTACGCCCCAACTCCCGACCCTATTCTTTGGAACGGAAGGTAAAGTTCTCTAAAGTTGACTAAATCTCAACCGTCTGTTATAATTGACAAGTGAACCATCAGTGTGGATAGTTCCAGTTCTTCGGAGAATGCGTTAGTGAGAGGCACGCTTCGGTATCCTTTACGCAGGCACAACAGCGGGAAAGTCGCTTGACCTATGAAGTTCGGCTCGCCAAATATATCTTCGTCTTGTACCACGAAACGGATCAAGGCCAGTTCTGGGTTCGCAACTTCGAACTCGCAGATGTCGTTCCACAAAGGGTTCAGTCCGTTATCAGCTGAAAATTAAATTTAATATCTTGTTTAGTACCTATCATGTTCTTGTAAGACTAGTTAATTATTTTTTTTATTGCTTAGATGGGTAGTCGAGCTCACAGCCCACCTGGTGTTAAGTCGTTACTGGAGCCCATAGACATCTAAAATGTAAATGCGCCACCCACCTTGAGATATAAGTTCTAAGGTCTCAGTATAGTTACAACGGCTACCCCACCCTTCAAACCGAAACGCATTACTGCTTCACGGCAGAAATAGGCGGGGTGATTGTATCTACCCGTGCGGACTCACAAGAGGTTCTACCACCAGTGACTACGCAAATTATAATTTTGCGGGTTTGATTTTAATTACACGATGTTATTCCTTCACCGTGGAAGTCAAACGTGAACATTCGACAAGTACGTATTTCATTAGAAAAATTGGTACTGCGCCTGCGCGATTCGAACACCGGTGCATCGCTACATACGAATGCCCCGGACGTCTTATCCTTCAGGCCACGACGACAGGACAATTGTCATAGTTACTAAGTTCTGTAGCGACAGATGGTTTTGCGGGTTCATTGATATTTGGAACTTGTCATGAAGGATTTTAACTTTTAAAATTTCTCTAAAGTAATAATTCTTTAAAAGTTCTAAATACACAAATGCGCTCTAAGATCAAGTTATCAAACTGAGTATAAGAAGAAATAGCTAAATCTAACGTGAAAATCAAAATTAAAACTCTCCACTATTTAGTTACTTTTTTAAATTTCATGTACGCACTTTGCGGTTTGAAGCGGTAATCTATCAATAGCTTCGTTGTTTTTTTAGATATCGAGGTTTATTGTTGTCGTTCGAAGGGTTAATAAATTGAAAAAAAAAATGGTTTTTTTGAGAAAAAGAAATCATAACATAATTTACATAAAATAAAGCTTTTGACGTAGACTGCCAGATGTGCTCATCGGTGATAGGTAACTGATTACCGAATTACATCGTTTGAGATACGAAACTGATCTCTATTGCGTCGAAATAAAGACTACTTAACCCTTGAAACTGACAATAATAACTGCTTCGCGGACTTTAGTCACTTTAAATTCTCTGATATGTGACAAATGATTTTGTGTAATAACATGAAGAGACTACGATGTACTCACACACTGTTTTAGTGACGAGTTTGACGCCGCTGTCGTAGTCCGCCCCGATGATCTCGACTTCTACAAAGGGACTGGCCGTGCCGCGACCCGTCTTGCACAGATGCCTCGCCCCGATAACACGCAACATCACAGTTACCGGCTTCACTTTGCCCTCGATCGATTTTTTATCGCACGGATTGTATCCTTCCTCGAACATAAACTGTGGCTTCAAGATAAAGCCACAGCCGCCGTTCTGTTTAAACTTGCCCATGTTGACCTGCATCGGTTTGTCGGGCGTTTGGTAATTCAAAGCGACCATTTGAGAGCCGCAGTTCCAGAACGGCACCGGATTGTAGTTCGACGAATCGATTCTCTGGCCTTTAGGGTAGATACGGCTAAGTTGCGTCGTGTGGTACTTGACGAAGAACGTGTTCTCTTGCTGAGACATAAGGCGTTCGGCTTTGGTCTCGGGAAACGAGGACATCTCGTTGTAAACAAAGCCCTTGATGCGTAGACGTTCGATGTTGAAGGTGACTGAGCGGCAGTAGATGATGAGGTCCGATATCTCTTTGGCGATGCGCCATGTTCGTTCCATTTTCCTGTGGTGGAGCGAGCGAGCGCTAGCACTGTGCGCGGCCTCTTCGATGGCCGAGAGCCATTCGAGCGCGGACTCGCGGGTGGCGGCTGCCATGTCGAACGGCGAGTACATGGCGGGGCTCTGGACACGCACCAGCCACCGCGCCGCGCCTCCCCCGTCGCCCACCACCAATTCAACGATAGCGCCGAGCACGTCCAGCACGCCTTTCTGCAACGATCCCAGGGCGGCTGATTCGTTTTCTAGACCGCTCTGCAACAATGCGCACATTTGCATTTTGTATTTACGACAATTATTTATTTATTTACTAGCGACCAGCCCTCACTTCGCTTCGGAAACATTAAAATTGATTATTGGTCACCCGCGGTTAATGTCATACCGCGGGTGACGTCGCGGAGCGAAGCTAGTCTAAAAAAGTAGCCTAAGTTACTCCTTATATCATCAGCTACCTATCAGTGAAAGTCTCATCAAAATCGGGCCAGCCGTTCCAGAGATTAGCCGGAACAAACAAACAGACAAAAATTGTAAGAAATGTTATTTTGATGTATGTACCGTATATATATTCATATGAATGTAGTAAAAAGCGGTTATTTCAATATTACAAACAGACACTCCAATTTTATTTATATGTATAGATAACTTTCTATACTTGACAGTATAAAGGCGGACTTAATGCCATAGGAATTCTCTAACAGTCTACCTTATGGGAGTGCAGAGATTAACATTGGTAGGTGTAGTGTGATAGTACTTAAACATATTTATATTATATATAACATACATAATATTTATAAATACAAATACTCGTACTTAAATAAAGACATATACATAAATAAATATATTAATACGTGAAACAAAAACTTTGTACCCGTTTTTACGAAAATTGCGCGGAAGGAGGAGTATGAAATTTCTCACTCTTACAGAAAATATAAAGAAGGAGTGCTGAATGTTAATATATATTTTTTAAATTATGCATAGAAATACATTAAATCATTAAAAAAAAATATTACACAAACTACCATGTATTTGACACAACACATATACGTGCAGGGTGTTCCAGAAAGAATGGATAATCCTGAAACACCTCATAGTAGAGCTGGGGCCTAAAAGATAAATAAATAAACATTTCTTAAGTAGTACCCAAATTAAAAATAAAGAAAAAAACCAAAATTTCATGATTAAAATTTAAGTTTAGATTAACTTTTATAAAAAATTACACTAGCTACTAATATGATTTCCTGCATATTCCTTAGTATAGTCCATGTAGAATATTATAACACCAAAAGCCTATGGATTTCATTTATTTGGAGCTGTTGTATATTCCAGAAACGCACAGCAGTATGGAAAATATGACCTTTTTTTTTAAATTTTGTGTCCCTAATAGCTCTACTATGAGGTGTTTCAGGATTATCCATTCTTTCTGGAACACCCTGTATATTCTACGTTTATTGTCAAACTTTTCTTTATTGTTTAAAGTCTGTTCTCAAATTGAGAATAGATTAATATTTTATGTCTTAAATATTATTTATCTATAGCGAAATCTGTGACTATAGAAGTATAATAATCTTTGACAATAGAACCATAATAATGTTCAATTAATCATAGTCGAATTTCGACTACTGGGGGACCACTAAGTACATCTAAGCTCTTTATTATTGCTTTGACGGTTTTTATGATTTAACCTTTTATAATAGCACTAGCGGCTTGCCCCAGCTTCGCTTGGGAAGTAGCGCACGCAATGTAAAGAATTTTAGGTAATGTTTTTACACATTGGGTTTCATTATTGGAGTTTCAGTAAGGACCTCTAATTTTTTTGAAAATATAATAAATATAAGCCTATGTCACCCGGAGATACCGCAGCTTTCCAACACTGAAAGATTTTTTTAAATCGGTTCAGTAGTTTCGGAGCCTATTCAATACAAACAAACAAACAAATCTTACCTCCTTATAATATTAGTATAGATTTACGTCAATCACAATGCTACATTAGATTTCACGTGAGTTACAAAAGTACATTACAACAAATCACACAATAATCTATACATAATCATATATGTACGTAGCGTATTAAATTAATTCAATGTTATTACAAAACACATAAATTGTTATATACCGATAACACTATGTTAAAACACTAACTATTTAAATGACTAAAGTGAAGAAACTTTTGCTAAATATTTAAGCGTATAAAAAATTAAACACATAAAAATCGCTAAGCATGTAATACTTGGGCCGAGTGTAAGGAAGTTGTTCTCGAAACGGAAAACTGCCCATAGTACTAGAGTTTCCTGATACAATTTATATATGTAAAAATATATCGCTATTGCCCATGGTCACGGAAACACGCGTGAGTCTACCGACGGACCGATCGTGCTAATTATTTTTTTGTTGTGTTTGTTATTGTCAGGAGAAGGTTCATGTGAAAAAAAATCAGAAAATTGCGCGGAAAATTAGAAAATTTTAAAACTACTTAACCGCCATATTAAATGTTCACCATTTAAACTGTCTAACGTAACTTTGTGGCGTTTCAAATAACATTGACCGAATGCGTGCTGAAAAAATCGTTAAAGAGGGTGTAAAAAAAACTGAATTTCACAGTTCACAGCAAATCATTGTCATTGGACCAATGAATGTTGTCTGCCAATATTGCAAGGCATTTAAGTTTAAAAATGAAGGTCCTGGATTGTATTGTGCGAGCGTTCAAGTCAAACTGACGCCATTGGTACTGACTTGTACTTGATTGGCACCAGAGCCATTATATTCATTGGTTTCCATTCACATTCATTAGTCAACTCTAAATATTTTTTGACTCATATCCAGGAATACAATAATTGATTTCAAAGGACGTCATTTGGAGCAACAAAAGTTATATAAGAAAATTTTATATTAAGTTTCAAGGTATATGATGAATTTACAAAATAATGAACTTTTACTAACATGTATCTGATGCAAAATACGTTGGCAGGTTTTAATTGAAATAGTGTATCAATTGAAAGGGCGTGAAGTACATTTGTAGCTCTATGAATTGCCAGAAGCAGCCAGAAGTGAATGTGTTTAAAAAAGTTGATAGGGGAATGCCAGTGCTAACAACGTATTTTGAGGAGTCAAGGGGGAGAGCCTCATGGTGGTACTACAAACAATTTGCTATACAATATTCTATATTAAATAATTTTCTCAGATTCAGATTTATATAAAAGAAAATTCAATAAAATAAATAATAAATTACCTATAATTGCCGCCCTTGTCTCCGAAGCGAAACAAGGGCGGGTCACTGGTATTAAATAATGTTTTTTACTAGACTGAAAAAAACGGTCAGTATTCATGTCGAATCAAATATAGGAATCTATCGTTTCGCGGGTGGATTGTGTGACTAATTGGTGCCGCGATATCGCCTAATTGATTCGAGGCATGTACATATTTGTGGGTAGTTATCCCCAGAAAGAGACAAAAGGAGATTTGTGATTCTATTGGAACCAAAATATTCTAACTATGTAGGCTTTTCATTTTTTTGGCTGTAAAACGATTTAGCATAATGGTGTATTTTAGATAGCTCTATCGTCATTATATCGTTACGGGAGAATTGTAATCGAGTGATTCGATTAATCGTTATCGACACAGGCTTAGCTCATATAAACAAAAGACCAACGTTTTCCACTAACGTCAAGGAGACAGTAAACTATTTTCAATTTCGAAAACATCCAGCTTACACTCTGTACGACTACTTCATCACCAATATTATAACAACTACAATATACGAACGAGCATATATAAATATGCCCTTGTCTTTGCCACATTCAATTGTTGAGTGCGTGTGAAATTTCGCTTATTATTAAAACATTCACAGCTCATACATTTTAAGTGAGCTATTCCAAGCTCGAACTTCTATTTTAGGAGACTTTTTAAATTATTGGCAAAAACAACTTACGACCACAAATTAAAAGTATATAAGCACATTTCATTTTTTTTTAAACGAACAATATGAAAAAACTAATATATATACAAAATACATTGAAAAATTACTGACGTCATATTATATGAAATTATCATAATCAATTCGCTTCTGCCTAGGATACTAGTCGAGGATAGATAGAAGTTCGAACAGGCCGCTCTCGTACCTGTGTTCCGTAACATCCTCTGCGTATTGTATACAAAAAGAATACTAACGGTCACGTCGGGTGTGTGTGGAACCTCAATCTCAAGCACGTAGTTGGCCGGGAACCAGTGATGACGTTTGCCGCCGTAGTCGCCCCGCCACCAGCCCTCGTCCGGCTTGTCGACGTTTGTAATGATGGCGTGCTTGCAGAAGGACAACTCGTCATCTTGACGAGCCCGATAATCGTAAAGCGCTTTAACGGTCACCTGAAATCGTTTTCATATTATTCTGTAACGCAAACAAATCTGAATTTGTTGCAAAATGTATTTCGTCATATCATAATACATAATATTATACTGGGTGTTAGGAGATCGCTTCCGAAAACGAAAACAGGCGATAGTACTAACTAATGACACCTTTGATGACGGGACGGAAAAAAAAATCGATCCTGATTAAAGAAATCATATTTTTAAAACGTTTTATTAGCATTGTTTACGCTCCATCATGTTAGTACAGCTAAATGAAACGATTGTTTCATAAAAAAAATACATCACTTTTCTTTGAAAAAAACCAGCAATGAAACACAAAATCAAAAACAGCTGATGCTCGGATCAACGAACGTCCGGGCGCGGCGAGAGCGCGGCACTTATACCGGGCTCCATAAAATTTACAACTTTGTAGGTACATAATTTTCGTTTTCCAAAGCGGTCTCCTAAAACCCAGTTTAAATCTACAGGTAAAATGCTAGAAAATTATAAATTAATGTTTGTATGTTCGTCTTCTATGTATTCGCGTATCGTTCGTCGGGACGGTAGACAGCAAGAGCTATCAATGTAAATGAATGTTTCATATTTATTTTTACATCGAAGAGTGCTGTCTTACATTTAACCTATCAATTTGCAGAAACATTAAATTTATAACTTTAAAATGGAATTTTAACACGAGTTGTAGAGTTCCGTTAATTTTGCTTTGATCGTAGTACGATACCCTGAAATGCCCACTACTGGAAGTACATACTTTTACGTGGGGTAGGGAGTATTTTAAAGCCGCACAGATATATATCACCTGTCAATTCCGGTTCCGAACCTGACCTGCTTTCCGGTCGAAAGGATCGCATCTACATATGGGTCATTATACAATAAAATGGAGATCTCTTCAGTGTCTTATGGTGAGCAGCGACTTTGACGTTGTCATTTCTATGAGTTTTGATAGCCACTTAAAACCAAGTGAGGCCAGAGCTCAATTTTTAAATATTTTTAATACAAAAATTAAACACGATCGAATAAATGTTAAAATTACCAAAACAATCATGTTGATCGTTACATTTTCCACAACTATTTATTACAAAGCGAGCGAGTTATGTTTTAAAATCAAGAATAGAGAATAAATGCACTACAAAAAAAAATTAACGATTGACATATTATAATCGATTAACTATCTACCCAGCTTCTTAGGAAAAGCTATATATACCACATTACATATCGCTGCACAGGTTAGGGAGAAGTTTTTATGTAAAAGAAGTTATTATAGTATGCCGTTAAAATAACAGAATAACTACTTCATGCTAGATAATTTTTAATTTTACGTATAAGTACTAACCTAATAACAATTACATAGCAATAATCATTTAACGAAAAGTATACTAATTCTTAAGACGCTTACGCTAATAAAGCATATAAAATACAAAATAAACATCGATAAAATGTTGGATTTTGAATTTAAAAAAAGAACTACTATAATATTCTATTTGTCACGAAGAAAGTGTTATCTGTGCCTAATGCGTTTTTTACAGTCTCACCTATATATGTATATATAATCCGATATATATTTTTCATTTACAGTTCTGCAAATAATTTTGGTGTTAGTTAATTGATTAATATAATATATATTATTTTTAATTACAGGTTTTTATTAGTACCATCCTTGTTTAGCTATCCGTATCGCCTGCCAGGCGTTTAGTGCAGGACATAAATCTCTCCTCCCATAGCTTTATATAGCGAGTTTTTTTTCTAATACTAATACTACTAGTAATTATTAGTACTAATTACTAAGCTACATATGAAATGAAAAATAGCCTTTTCTTTATTTTAAAATTATTTTATAGTGTATCAAATTAGAGGATCAATCTCAAAACCAAACCAAGCACAAGCCCTTGACGTTGAAACGAAGACAACTATTGGGCATACTTCCGTGTTGTCTCAAAAACATCGATACCGATTTCAGCATATTTTATGTTAAATTACGTACAACGAAAAAAGCATTTAATGACGTTTTTGTTAGCTTGACATGTATCTAACTATAGAAGACGGATTAACTTGAATAATTTACACACAATAATGTTATTATTTTTTTGGCGTTAAATCGTGACCTTGATGCCCAAAATAAAGTTTTTTTTTTTTTTTCAATTTTCCATTTAGGTCGAGTTTTATTATAATAAGTTTTTAGCTATGAAATGCCATTTTATAAAACCGTCCATTTGAAAGATTATGTATGCCTGGCAATAAATTCTAATTATATTTATAAAATATAGAATTATATTTTCAAAGTCTGTCTGCTTCGTAATCTGAGGTTCGGTCCAGGGCTCAAAAAAAAATGACTTTTCGTTGCCTAACAAACACAGAAACGAAGGGATTTTGAAACGCTTCGAAACTTGCAACGAAAAATCCATTATGATAGTCGTAGCTGTCATTACGCTAGTTATACCTTGGTCCAACACTAAGGCAATAAATACTTTTTGGTGGTCTAGTGCCGGAATAATTAATCTTGTTCTCGTCTTCGTCTTTCCAATACACCCTGTACGTACGTATTTTTATAATAGACACAAATGTGCATTTTATTTGTTACACATTTTTTTTTCATTTCCATAGCAACAGGATTACACAGTTAAAGGTATTTTAATTTAAAAAAAAACGAAAGTGAATCCGTGTTGGATGACGATGCAAACATTTTGAAGTCGTGTATAATACTAGTATTTACAAGCGGTTTCATTCACATTAATGTAGTAAGATCTATCCTTACTACTAGTATAGCACTATTACTAGTATAATATATTTTTTACTGGATGAAAGGTCCTCTGTCTTTTTCTGTACATGGAATGTAATGAAACTTTGCATACTTTTGCATTCACGATGATAGATTGAGTAGTGACAAAGTGTACAACAAACAAACTCTCTTTCGCATTTATAATATTATTATTATGGATTTATGATCTTACGTATGAATACGATATGTTTTAATATATGCAATACGTACCTTGGACGTGAATGACGTGGGATCCATGTATCCCGGTGTCCCATAGACAGTATTATCGTCTGGTTCCTTAAAATTAACATACATAATATGACATCTTCGCAAATAACGTAAGCTATTGATTTTGATTGGAATATAAATAAATACAGGCCTCAAGCTACAAAAATCGTTTCATTTCACGCACATGGTATAATTTAACATTGTTCACGGTGAACTTTCACGGTGAATGAATATAGTAAAAATCAAACCAGAAAAATAATAATTCGCCCAATTAATAGTGGTAGGAAGTCTCGTGAGTCCGCACGGGTGGGTACCACCACCGCCCTGCCTATTTCTACCGTGATGCAGTAATGCGTTTCGGTTTCAAAACTGAGGCAGCCGTTGCACTGTACAAACTGAGACCGAACAGAAACTGAACTCATGTCTCAAGATGGCATTAGCCACTTATCACCACGTGGGCTGTAAGCTCGTCCACCCATCTATGCAATATATAGTTATTGTACGTAGTTAGCTCGTCACTTACAGAGACAAGTCTTCTGACGGTTTCTTCGCTGATCGGATACCAGAGTTTTACTTTTTTATACAGCGGATGGTTCTCGTAGTACGAGACTAATTCAATGAGGCTCTCGAACTTGACTGTACCGATTGTGTACAGGCGACCCTCTTGTTTAACCCTGCAATGCTTTATCTCCTTCTCAGTCCTGAAGAAAAAAAGAACACATTCGAAAGTTACTGCACATGAATTATCGTATATATAATATCCAAGACTACTTAGCTGTACCCGTCCGCTTCGCTGGCCATTTAAAATTAACATTATTTTTTTCTCACCCCCACAAAGATTCTCATCATTAACGCCCCCGCAACTGGTGTAGGGAGTCCAACACTCATATAAATATTAGCCTATCCATTAAGTACTCGTATTTTCTACATGGATACCAAGTTTCAAGTCAATTGCATGCACGGTTCAGTGGTTATAATCGAACATCCGTAAAAACCACTGTATTTATATATTAGTATAGATTGTCTGCTCTTTCAAAAACAATGTACAAACTAAACACAAGCAAAGCTCTATTACGAACTAATCATGTTATAAGCATTTCAATTGACAGCTAATGATCATTAAAAATATCAAAATGATAGGCTCAATTGTAGACTTGAAATTAGGATACCTGAAACTAATTGCGAAGCTCCCTTGTTCCTTTTCGCTGGGGCGTACTAGGAAAGCGCCGTCGGTGTTGGTCTTCCGCAGTAATTCTTCGGCTTGAGTACGCGTGCAGTGCGCGTGGAACCATTCCTTGCCTTCATGCTTGTTAGGCTGAGGCACTGGCTCCTTTAACGTTATCAGGAACTCCTTGCGATAATAATTTATTTATTACTAAGTATTTAGTTACGATTTCAGTAGCCATCACCCAGATATATAATATTATTATAAATATTGTGTAAAATATTACATATACAGTCAAACCTGGGTAAGTGAGAACTGGATAAGTGAGAAAACTCTATAAGTGAGAGTAATAGCCAGGGCCCGTCATTTTAAGCTCCCAAAACCTCTATTAGCGAGAAACAGAAACCTCTGTAAGAGAGTCGTTTTTCTCTCATGGACCTCCGTAAGTGAGACTGCTACGTATCTATACCTCTATAAGCGACAGTCGAACTTTATTTATTTATATTATTTAGGAGGAACAAATGACAAAACAAATTACAAATTTAACATCTGCTATTTTATAACTAATTCTTAACTTTCGTGGAACTTCCTACCATTGTTTTTGTATTGTTTTCTCGTCAATATTGAAACTATTCTATTTAATGGAACCTAATAACGTTGTTATTTTATCGCATTCTTTTCGAATGGACACGTGTGCCTGTGTACCGTCCTGTTTGTCGGACTTACACAGTTTATCGTTAATTAATTGCGAAGGAAAGTTCTGTTCTGCATCATGTCAAAACGGAAAATTAAAGTACTGTCATTAAGTGATAAACTTAAAATAGTGAATGCGTTTGAATCCGGAAAATCGCGAAATGAAATTCAGAGGGTGCATTAGTGAGAAACTCGGGTTAGTGAGAAACCTCTATAAGCGAGAATGAGATAGTGCTCCCTTGAACTCTCGCTTATCCAGGTTTGACTGTATATAATTTACATGTTAGTAAAACAGGGTTTGCTTACATATTATTTTTATAAAATAAATAAATAAAAACTGAAACAAAATTAAATTAAACCAAAATTAAATGTGTTCTTATAATAATTTTTTTTTTTAATAATCAATAACAAGTGTGATATTATTTACATATTTTCTTTCATTGATTACAATAATTCTGTGGTTTTCCTTGTGAAATTTTCCCGTGTTATATTACGTTAAATCAATTTCGCATTAATATTAATGTATATGCAGGAAAATAACAAAAGGTCAACTGATGCAAGTCCCCATTAACATTCAAAGAAAATGCATGCATGCAACCCTGCTACCTTGCAGAAAACTCATGCATATTTCATGCGATCATGTTAATAAATGCTAAACTATTTATTGTCTTACTTGACTCCTCAGAGGATGTGACCTATAATGGGTGATGAGGTTGTACAGGCTGTCGAAACACATACTATCTATCAGATAGAACTTGGTGACCCCCCGTTCCTGTTTGAGCTTGATGCGGCAGTGATTTACTTTCCCTTGCCGCCAGAATGATAGACAGTAGTCACCGACAAAAGTAACGCTCTCCCTCACCAGAAAGGTTCCATCGCCAAGATGGGCGTGGGCTCTCAGCAAATCTTCGGCTTCTTGTCGATTCCCTGCCAGCTTCCCGTGGAACCAACATTCTGCGAAATGTAATTCATCTTGTGGTACAATAGCGTTTTCCGCATCTGAGTCTCCGTCACTTTCAGTGTCGGTTTCTTCTTGACTGTTGTAGCTCTCTGTATAGTAAAGTTTGTTCTCGGTGAGCACGAAGGCGTGAGGCTTCCATTCTTTGTCGACAGGATCTTCCAAATGCAATATACCATTTTTGATCGAATTTCGTAGGTCTAAATCTTTTCCTTCTTCTTGACGTACTGCGAAAGAACTTTCTTCAGCACCTTCAGGTAATTTTTTATGTTTCAGGATTATTTTTCTGCGTAAGTCATGAGGAGAGGGAAGTGATGTTTCATTCTTATCCATTGGATGAACAAGAAGAAGGTCACCGAATACGTCTTGAAATGCGCTCGCCATTCGTCTTTGCTGTGGGAGTGAGCAGTTGTCTTCGATAGACAAAATTAATGGATATTCAGATGTGATGAATGCATGTTCTTTTATTGTTCGCAGTACATCCATAAACCTTATTTTCGTTGTCAGTGTGTGCCCGTGATAAATAAAAGGTGTGCCGTCAGGACCATCCCAACAATCTAGCTCAATACAACGACAGCCTGACCTCAAGCACCGCACGTAGGCCTCCAGTGATGATTCACTTGAAAACTGGTCACCTGTCAGATACCTACAATAACACAATATGTAGAACCACTTAATGCATGATATGCAATCCACGAAAAGTTTCATCAATATAATAACATTTATGCTTACGTGTTATGAGAAGAAGATATCCAATAGTGTGACAAAGGCCTGGTCATATCTTGTGTAACCTTATCATACTGACTGTCATAGATGGAATTCTGCTTGGAGTACAGCATCTCGACAAACTGCAATTAGGTAATTTAAAGAAAAATTTAAAAAAAGTTTGAATATCTCTATTAGTGGAATGAGAAATATTGTAATTGATTATTTAGAAATAATTTATACATTATATTTGGTATAAGAATACAGCTTTAGATAACGAGAATAGAACAGCTTGCAAAGCAGGCGCTCATAATTTAAATGTGTTATCATCATGAAAACGCTGAGCGTACATACCACCTGGTTGCTCCTGGACATCAGTAGTATCCATGGCAAAAAAAAAGTGGGGAAGCCCATTGAGTGTACTGGGCATGCTGCAGTTTCTTAAAGCCATAGCATGCCCAGTACAACAACCTCTTTCCTACTATAAGTATCATACTATAAGTAGTAGGAAAGAGGTTTGCATTTATGGTGGGCAGCAACAGGGAGAACTGAGGCCTTCCATAAAGACTCAGAGGCTCGAAATTATAGGTAAGACCAGAATCACCTACAATCTTAATAACCGTCTTATGTATAAAGTAAAATGGCAGTAGCAGGTCACAGAAAACAAAATGGAAGCAAAACTTTGTAGAAAAAGTATTTTCACCATGCAAGAAGTACTACTTCACACTGCTGAGTTAATTTACCTCGCTTAAAGTGAAATAAGGTTCATAGATGTCTCTTTGTGGATCTCTTAAGTAATCACGGATGAACTGTGAGGCTTGTACTTCATCATCACCAAGGTTATCATGCTGTTCATCTCTAAGGAAATTTTGAAACTCTCTAAGAGTAATAGTAGTACCATTAGAACAATAGACTGAGTATTTATCAAATATGTCCTGAACATTCTGAAAAAAATATATTTTACATACATCACTGTCTATAAGTTTATATTAAAATATTATAATGTGGACAAGGAGTTAAATGCATAAAAAATTACTTTCTTATTAATTCAGTGAATGTGGCATTGCCTGATTTCTAAGCCAATATGGTTCTTAATGCATTCATAATATATTGTTTGTTTATGAGAGTATAATAAAAGGTCACAGATTTTTTCACGACTTCTGATGAAGCCATCATTAAGATAATTTATGTGAGACATGGATTAATTTGAGTTACTATCACTACATCCATATTATAATCTTCCTAAACAGCTCTTACCCTCTAATAGAATAGTTGACAGTTTTTTGAGGAAGCAACATAATATCTAATACTATATAATATTGCCCACCAGAAAAATGTATTAAATAATTTACAGTTTTAAAAAATGTACAGTTTTAAAAAATTTGCAACCAAAAACATCAAGACATCATGTCTTCTACCCTAGAACAATCAAAGGTTTCAAACTATTGATGGACTGATCCATATTTCAGATTAAGAAACTAATGGCTTCTCGTTATACCTATAAGCTTTGATGATTACATACCTTGTGAGCCAAGAGCTCATCTACTCATTTATCTTAATAAATAACAAGTTTGATGTTTGAATAAGTTTAATTAGTAACATTTAAAGAAATACTAGATTTGTTGTTTATGATAACCTACTTTTTAGTAAATTAGATGAATACTTACATTCTCATCAAAAATTAGCTTCTGATAAAGAACAGCAAAATCATCAAAGCCAATCTCCCCTCTTTTTTCAGTGTCAACATCTTGGAATACATCTCGAAGCTTACTTGTTGAAATTTTACAATTAATTTTTGGTAGAAAAGCTTTGACCTCTTTTAATGTTATTCTAAAATGATTTTTGTATATTACATTTACAATATATATGCATTTTCAAGCTAATTAAATTGAAATAAGAAAATTAATATAACAATAGGTTTTTCATATTTACTCACACTAAATAATGAAAATATGTAACAGACAATTGAAAGACTAATAAAGCAATATAACTTGAGTTTAACTTAATATTACATTGCAAGCTTTGCATTGTTTTCTATTACAATTTATTTTACTTTATGATCATTTGGTAATAGTTTGTTACTTTTACATACCTATTACTAAAAATGTGTTGACAAAGCCTGCCTTACAATAAATTACATTACAATATGTTCCATTTATGTAAAAAAGCTAATTAAGTTTACTTTCATCAATTACTACTTACTGAGATCTATATATACTCTAGTTTACTGGAAAATAATAACAATTGCTGCTAATGTACCAAAATAGGCAAGAAAGAAACATAATTAATCATTGAAATCACATATGGAATGGTAAAATAACAATTACTGGCAATTTTTACATTCACATTTTTAAAAATAACTCACTTTTCATGGGAGTTTTCAATAGAATAGAATTCTTTCCGGAGCCATCTTTCAATCTGTAGAGGATATGATGCACTGACAGCTTCTGCTATTAGATACAGTACACCTTTCACCCAAGCTTCACACTCTTTATCTGTTTGAGCTGAAAGATTGTAAATAGTGACTCAGATCCATTTATAGAGGAAACATAAAATTAACAGAACTCAGTCCGCGCACTCACACATTTAGAAATGTTTATAAACTACTTCAACATACCAACAAATGATGCACAGCGAAGTTTAAATTCAGTTCCATAATAAATGGTAAAGCATTTTGAACTTTCAAGACGTTTGGTTTCTTCAGGCCAACGCTCAAAGTCTTTGGATGATTTTCCAGTGCGAACTTCTTTGACATCACGGATATCGAGAGCCCCTTCGTAGCCCTGTCTCTGAGGGGCATTGATTCGAGACCAAAGAACTTGATGGGTCTCTCTTCTCACGCAAAGTGCACGCCTTTCGGGTCTCTTACGAGGGAAGAATTTTAAAACGGTAGAGCCTCTTTCTATGTAGGAGATAAGCTGGTCTGCCTCGTGTATGAGCCTATCTTTGGCCCCGTTGAAGCAGACCGACTTCATTGCACTTCCGCCCTCACCGCCGGATGCAAGCAAACTGTGGCGAAAGTGAACAACGCATGAAATAAAAGAGCGACTGCTAATATTTCTCTACATATAAATAAGGCACCCGAGTTTAAAATACATTATTACTGGCTATTTCTACATTACACACACTTTGATATTTAGTTTGTTTGACATTTCCAAACCAAATGAGATGCATAGATTATACACTTAATATATAAATGATGAGATGGTTGAGACGGGGATGATTACGTTCCGTTTTAGCTGGTTTTAGCATTCAATTCTTTGACTGACATTTCTTACGTCAAGAGGCTCAATTATAAACTTTTTCAATTTATTGAAATCTAAATTTTATGACAGTATGAACCTATAGTTTTGTATTGTTTTTTTTTACATGTTGATAAGTTTGAGACGTTCTATTAAATAATGATAGCCCAATTAAAAAAAAAGTACTATGTTAAATAAATAAAGATCATTTTTTTATGATTGAATGCTTTTACTGGTGGCCCGGATGCCTTTCCAGTTTTACTTGGACAGGTGAGCGAGCAAAGGCTCAACCAGGAAATTAAGATCATGGGATCCCGCCAACTTACTAAAAAATATAAACGATATTGGCGGTAAAATTGAAATAGATAGACCTTACATTTTAAACCTTTACCCTTGATATTTTAGTAGTACATTAGTAGTTATTCACAATATAGATATATGCTCATTCGCAAATAACCCATCACCGTATGTATGTTTGTTATAAGCATGTATTTATTGATAAAGATTTCTATACCGCAGATTTTCATAGTTTTAGTATACTTTTTTTTAATCTCTCTTCAAATCAATCAGCTAATGTGTAGTGTTAATGAATATATCGCTTAATGTTTTTCTTAAATAGGCAGACGAATCATGATCCACTTGATGTTATGCGATCGAAGACCAAAACAAAACAATTCTTTTTTGGATATCGATTCTAATAATATTGTGTTAATTAAGTACAGAAGTGTAACGTAGAAAGGTCATTGATGAATTTCAAAACATAGTAGTAATTGTAATCAAATAGATTTAATACTTAGAGTATGTATGTAATTTGTAATAAATTGAAAGGCAAACGTGTGTTTTGAAATGGAAAACCTATATGCATACATATACGTTTTTATTTTGTGATGATACCTATGTGTAGATTTTTTTTTGTTTACACGACCTATTGTTATATTGTATATTTGGGCCGTTGTATACCGTTGTTGATTCTTTTCGAATCTCGTTTAAAGCAGGTCAATCAATAGTGTTAACCACAGTGTAAGCTTAAATGAGCAGAGTTAATTCCAGACACGCACATGAAATAAATGTTTTTTTTCAAGGCATTAGCGCAAATACAAATATCAAAATTTTGAGTATAAGCTTACATAAATAGGAAAAGACAAAACCTTAAGTAACATAAGTAAATTTTTATTCTTTTATTGTCAACCTATTTCATTTTCAATTTTTTTCCGTTTATTTCCGTTTTCTGTATAATGTCTGCCTTCACGACTAATCTTTAGAACCGGTACGTAAGTATCTTAAGAAAGCCTTAGCACGCTTCTTCGACTTACTCGTCGTTTATTACCAAGAGTTACTAATTAAAATGAACTAATCTATAGACACAATCCACTGAGTTTCTCGGCCGATCTTCTCAGGAGGTCGTGATTACGATCCGGTGGTAGATCCGAAGAAGAAGAAGAAGAAGGGTCGTCGTACCCCCTTACGGGGGCACGGAACGGGCCTCGGGGCAAACCCCACTGCCCGGGCAGAAACTCCCTGCCACTTAGGGCAGGGGTGGACTGATGAAGGGAGGAATGAGAGGGAGGGTTCGTATGCGTATGCGCGTGGAGGTAGATCCGACGGCGAAACACTGCTCTTTATAGGGCTAGTGTTTGCAAATTCTCTCAGGTTGAGTCCGTGAGGTCACCTACCCGTCCGCGCGTAGCTGTAATAGCCTCGCTACCAGCAAATAGGTAAGATAAAAAACGCTAATAGTCATAAGTATAGTGTGTTAAAAATAAATAGGTAATTGGACATTTTTTGTAAACCGAGGAATAAATGATTCAGTTTGAATAGAAATAATATTACAGTAACAGAACGACGTCAATGCGAGAATTGTAATATTGCACCTAAGATGTTTTACTTATAAATAGTTGCCATATAGGTATAATATTCTCTTGTCTGTCTCAGTTTCAAGGTCCCAAAGGATATATTTTTTCATTGTCTTATCTGTACCTATTCAATGTTAAAGTTTAAATTGTTCTATTTTTTTTTTATAATTTAGGTTTTAAAACTTTATTTCAATCTAAGTATTCTTGGTAAAACTACCTCTTAGATTAATATTACTATTTATTTTTTATTTTAGTTTATTTCGGACTTCATTTTTTATTTAATTAGTCTGTGAAATATCTGGTATTTAATTTTTAAATCCTGTTATGAAGACAAATATGCATAAATAATGTCAATAAACAGTTGTTGAGTAGATGATATAAGTAAGTATGTATATCGCACTTTACAAACACGATTTATTCCTTATAACAAATGTGAAAGGACTTTTAAAAAAACAAGACAACAAAATTGTCACTCCACTTTTTCACTCCATGAAATTAGAGACACATAATATAGGTATTCCCTGCTTGCAATTATTATAAGGCAACAACCATCAAATCAATGGTTTTCTATAAGCAGGATAACTTTGAAAATCTATATTAATAAAAATGAATTGCTGTTCGTTAGTCTCGCTAAAACTCGAGAACGGCTGAACCGATTTGGCTAATTTTGGTCTTGAATTATTTGAGGTTGAATTGAATTGAATTGAATTGACTTGAATTATTTGAAGTCGTCGTGGCCTAAAGGATAAGACGTCCGGTGCATTCGTATCTAGCGATGCACCGGTGTTCGAATCCCGCAGGCGGGCACCAATTTTTCTAATGAAATACGTACTTCACAAATGTTCACGATTGACTTCCACGGTGAAGGAATAATATCGTGTAATAAAAATCAAACCCGCAAAATTATGATTTGCGTAATTACTGGTGGTAGGACCTCTTGTGAGTCCGCACGGGTAGGTACCACCGCCCCGCCTATTTCTGCCGTGAAGCAGAAATGCGTTTCGGTTTGAAGGGTGGGGCAGCCGTTGTAACTATACTGAGACCTTGGAACTTGTATCTCAAGGTGTGTGGCGCATTTACGTTGTAGATGTCTATGGGCTCCAGTAACCACTTAACACCAGGTGGGCTGTGAGCTCGTCAACACATGTAAGCAATAAAAAAAAGGAAGTCCAGAGAAGGTTTGAAAGGTAGATAAATATGAAAATGCTCGGAATTAAATAATAATAACAATTTTGTTTTTCCTTTGATGTGTCCCCCGTTGGACGGATTCCTTTTGTTTGTTTTAAGTTTATTTTACACAAAAGTTTAGGCCTTTTATTTATCGATTGAGGCACAACGAAGTCTGCCGGGTCAGCTAGTTATTTGATAGTTTACAGTTACTAGTTATATGGCAAAAGGTAAAAATTACAACATACTTGGATCACTGACGCACGCCACAATATTTTACATTACGTTAACTTTCACCTGTGGAAAATAATACAACTATGCATCTACGGTACTTAGGTATATCCATATTTATGAAATACCTAAATCAATACGAAGAGCAAAATGGTGAAAAACTGGGCGGTTCCACTGGTTTTAATGTAATAGGTTTCTGCCACCCCTAGGCGAGGTTTATGCGTCATCACACTAATATCTTACCTCCCACTTGGCAGCCTTAGTACCGATTTCGTCGAGCGTTTCCTCCTCTGTTCCCTACATTTCAATAAATTTTATAATTCACAAACAACCGTAACACAACGCTATTTTTTTCTTAATCTGTCGGACACTGCCAATATCAGTGTCTCAGCTACGTTCAATAACATGAGACGGAAATGTGATAAGATCTATGAGTCGTTCTTGCAAAGCGTATCGTATCGTATGTCGTATCACTCTTGTCAGAGCGGTCGTGGTCGTCATCCAGCCTCATTGTTGTGGGCAGATGTTATGCGCCTCACGAGCAATCGCCACTCCTCCCGGTTTGTGTCCTTTTTTTGCAAAGCAGTACTGGAATACTGTATTCCCCGCAGCTAAAATTCTTTCACTTTTGTTACGTAGTGAGAGTATTGTATTTTTCAAATATGCAAAAATATCGGTCACCCGAGAACCTTTTATCGAAACAGAATAATCAGAAATGTTCCGATTTCTAATCAGAAATATTCCATTAGAACTAACACTTTCGTTGAATAGAAATTTGGACGAAAAACAATTTTAGGAGTGTTCACCTAGTACATGCCTGTCCACCTCATGATATGTCCCTTTATGCAGCATTAGTAATAATAAATTCTCTAACTATCTACTAATATATTAATTATTTTACAAAATCATAATCCTCAAATCAGTTCGAAATGAAAAAAGGTGCCACATTATAAAGTCCAGTGGTTGAAATTTACCCCAAAGGCAGCACAAATTTATCCATCTTTTTTCACAAAATAAATATACTTGGGATTTACATTTTATTTAGGATCTCTTCTAGTATATTATAAATCATTATCCCCGAAACTTAACAAGTAAATAATATTTTACGTAGGTTTAACGGAGACACCCACACGCCCAAACACGGAGTCGCCCCTTCGTAATTCGACATCGCTTTGTCTTTGGCTACTAATACCCACCTGTTGACGCAAATGCTTTTCAGAGAAATCGGAGAATTATGATAGCCCACTGAGTTTCTCGTCGGATTTCTCAGTGGATCGCGTTTCCGATCTGGTGGTAGATTCTGCGAAGCACTGCTCTTGCTAGGGCTAGTGTTACCAACACTCCCGGTTTGAGCCCCGTGAGCTCCTCTACACGCCAAGGAGAAGCTTAAGCAGCCTCTCAAAGCTACCAGCATAGGAAAAAAAAAGGTATAATTATGTTTTTAGATTTTCGCAAAACGTATTTCGTTAGGAATATTAAATGAAATCGCATTAGGATGGCATATTTTCTATTACGAGTAAAAATACCTAGAAAATATAATTAAGCGTACTATGCATTAAAAAAAACCTTTTTCATCTAAGTCTATCTAGAAAAACGCAAACCCAAGATATTATAGTATTTAAATGCAGTTATAGTTTTCAAGACAAATAAGTAAATAATGTGTGGTCAAGTACAAAATTAATGCAACTAAGAGGCATTGTTGGGGATATCAGTAGATTTACGCAAAACAAATCTGTATTCAATAACGTAGTCTAAAAATTGCTATTATTTAATATGTACCTAGTCCAGCCATAAGTTCTGTTCCAAATGAAAATGTATTTTTTTAAATGATGTAATGTAATATTGTTAAACTTTATACCAACATATTTATTAAAGCCTCAGCAAAATATAAAAAAAATATTCTAATCGAAATGGCCACCTTTGGCTTTTGTACAGGCCTTTCATCTGTTTGGCCACGAATCTATGGATTTACGCACTGTTTTCAAAAGAAATTTCGACACTGCTTGCTCCAAAGATTTTTCAAGAGGCTCAATGTCGCCGTGTCGTTTAGAGCAGGCCATGTCCTCTAAAACTGACCATAATTTGAAGTCTAAAGGGTTGAGGTCTGGGCTAGATGAGGGCTAGTCTTCAGCTCTTATAAAGCTGGGAACATTGGTTTCAAGCCAGGCTTGGGTAGTTCGTGTCTTGTGACCAGGTGCAGAGTCCTCCTAGAAAGTCTACGGTATATTTTTAAAAAGTGTATTGCTGAGAGGTTTCACAACATGATCCATGACTGTATCTTTATAGTTTTGTTACTCCTTGATAAGACACGCTCACTAAACCATCACTGGCGCAGGATGATGACCACGTTGTACCTTACCGACCACTTGAGCAGGTTTTCACCATTGCTTTAAGGCCACAGACATGAGACCCACCTTGAATGATGACGTCACAGTCCCGATGGTATTTTTTAATGGTTGCTCCACCGATTAGTCGATAATGCTATAGTACTTGACAGCGGTTGCGTGTATTGTCAGCCGCATGTGTAGGAACCTCCACTTTGCCTTTTTTGTCGTACTTTTTTTTGGTTTGAAATCTGTTGGAGATATTTTATAATAGGGCGAAAGTCCGAGGATTTCCTCCTGACAAACAAAAGCCAAGTCTTATAGCTCAAATGGAACAGACAATTTGTTGATTCGAATGGTATATACCTACATATATAAATAATTTTATATTACGGATTTTTGTCACTTAGAGCTGACTATAGCCTTTCAAGCGTAGATATTGTTATATGTATTTATAATATAAAATTTCAGCTTCAGCTAGTACAATTACGTGTCATTTTGGTCTATCCACAAAGGCATGACCTGCACGTTACAACTTTTATAAATCGGTCGGTTAAATAAAAATTTCAAGATTTTACTGCAGTAATGATGAACTCCGTAAAATCAGCACAGAAACTGGATTTTCGAAAGTTTTGACACCTTTTTTATTGCTTTATAGGGAAAAATGAGCTCACGATCCACCTGTGCTTAAGTGGTTACCGAAACCTATGGTAAGTCTACTGTATTATACATATAACGGCTATCCCACCTTTCAAACTGGAACGCACTACTTCGCCGGTAAAAACGGGACTAGCGATCTCATATAAAGGTAATTCGCTCTAACAACAATTAGTAATAAAAAAATGAACTTTTCGTTTTTTTAAACTATTTTTGATATTGATTAAGATAGCCGTTCGTAAACAGACGCGAATTAAGTAGGTACATTCACTTGTAAATAGCATTTTTTACTAAATTGTTAAATGCCATTCATTGATTTTTTTAAAATAATGCAATGTAATAAATGAATCCAGATCTTGAGTTATTCCTGATTGCGGTTATATTTGATCATTGGGCCAACACTTTATTAAATTAATAAATATCATAGTCAAAGTTCCGATTCGACCGTTGATTCTACTCATAAATATAGAATAATAAATATCCGTACACTGGAATAGTCGGTGGGAAGGAAAGTAATCTTTAGATGCAGCTTAAAAAAATATATAATTTTAGGTAAGTGCGGTTATAGTAATAATTCAAGTTGGTACGCATACCAGTACATTGAAAATATTTATTTACTGTTCTATTGTAACACACTCTATGGGTATTTAAAGAATATGACAAATACAACACCATAAGACTACCCGCGCACTAGGCAGCCAGGTTGCGGCAGCTCACTATATGGCGTTGTATGGGAGCCCACGCACATAAGCAGCCCGGAACTCTTGGCTGCGGCAGCCAATACAACGCGCCTGTTGCAAGGCAGCCAGAGCGAGTGTTGGCGAATGTATGTGGCTGCTGTTAGTCCCCGCGCACTTACTGTAGCAGCCAACGCATTTTCTTTTTGCCAAACGTTAGTTATATGACATAACATGCTTGTACAATTTTTGGTATTTAAAAAAATCGTTTTGGGTATGTATGAACATCTTTTAAATAGTTATAAAATAAGCCCTTTGAATGCCGTTCTAGAAAAAGAGGATGAATCCAGTGTACTTTCTTTGCTTTGCGTTTTTTACGAGATAAAGTCCAAATCGCTTGATTGGCTGGTATAACTGGCTGTTCAAATATTTCGCCTAGTGCGCGGGTAGCCTAAAACAACCACGACCCCGCATTTAGAACATCACTGTAAACAATATTTACTACTAAATATGACACAATAGATCATTTGAAATTATGGGGGAAGGTCTTTAAATAAAACAACAATATCAGAGCTTTATTTATTTATTAAAAAGAAGTACACTTACAATTATCAGAAAATATTTCGTTCTCCATTACAAATGTCCATCTTTACATAGATCGGAATTTGCTAAATCAAGAAAAAAAATATACTATTAAATAATAAATATAAAGTAAACGTTTTAACCATGCAATGTATAGCAGTGCATATAAAGAAAATATTTTTTGAGGTTTGAAAATGCAGTACCATTTTGCAAAATTAAGTTTTTTTTTCAAGTCTATTAAAATTGTTAAGTGAATATCCTGCCACTCCAGCAGCCAATAGGCTTCTATAATACTACTCTTAAGTAGAAACAGCCGATACATAATCAATTGTAATACGTTTCCTATTAATTTGGTGGTTCGTTAACTTCACAATAAAATTATAAGAAAAAAAAATGGATATGAAAAATAGAAAAAAAAAAATTTAATTAAAAAACACAACCGTTGTCGACGGTCACATGCCTGCTGTTTTGGGTCTTGCAGCTGACTTGTAAGTACACATAAAAGGCCCAATACAAATTCAGATCTACGTGACCAAAGTACAAAATGAGCGTTTGCGCTTTTCGGACAAAAAAAAAAAACACAAATTCGCACAATACACGACAGTCGATGTAATCCAAAATAAACGTGTTCGTGCTCCAAAATGATCGTTTTGGTCGACACTACCGTCGTTAGTCGCGAAACGCTCATCGATGGACGGCGCCGTCATCATACCAATAATCCACAAAACATTTGATCGTTACACATTGATAGCTTGGAATGTTTGTTCGGGCGGCTAAATCTTAGCGTGCAGCCATTAGGCGCTCCGGAAATACTATAGATTATGATTATTATACGAAATGGTTTAATTGCTAAGTTATCTTGGAAAAAAAAAACACTAAATAGAGCGGCGCGATTGACGCGGTCCCCTCATAGGTTCGCTTTGAAAATGAGATCGTTTAACAATCCGAGTTGTCGTTACATACCCACAATAGAAGAAAAAGAAACGGTATGTTTTATTCATAATTAAGCCATTACATCTGTTTTATTGATGTTAATTAATTTGAATCTACCGTTCATTTACGTAGATAGGTTAGGCGTTCATATTAAAAAAAAAATGTTGCAGGCAACGATCGAACACCGGACCAATACACCTCAGAATCATAATTCCACCATTACTATTACATATAAACACTACGTTTATTATTATATAAATACTAATGAAATGTAATAAAACGGCTTACGTGATCATTCTCGACAATGACTTAAATCTACATGATTAATTATTTAACTCCGACGCATCGCTGTTATGATATGCAGGATGTAATAGAACAAGATCTCGAAATTAAAGACAATAATTGTCTTTATATTTAATATATTATTTATATAAAATCATCTTTATATAATATATAATAAATTATTTATCCCATGCAATTCTACTGCTGATCGTACATAACACAATAAGTGATTGGCTGACGCCGCGAAAGAGACTTGGACGAGGTTCCATCGCTTGTTGCATACTGGGTGCGGTTGTTGACCCCGAATTTTGTACGCATTCATTGCGGGATCACGAAATACTGAATCTATATAACCTTCGGGTTATATTCCTAATTCTGTTTTCGAATAACGAGATGTGGTGTAGTGTATTGACACCGGAAGTCCTATTACATCCTGTATATTACGTGTAGAACATACATGTGTACTACTACAAAAATACTACGAATAAAAATGCGTTCACACAAAAGGGAGTATATAATGATTAAACTTGTTTATAATAACTATCTGAAATCTTCAGTGTGATTAATATATGTTTATTATTATAAGATTTAAAAAAAACCTCTGTTCGAGAAAAAGGTTCCTAATGAACCCCGTACAGGGACATAGCCCAGTACGATGCAATCCAATTCAATCTTATCTTGGACAAACATAGAATCAAATGTCCGTAAGTACAAGTCCTGATCGGGACGATGTTTCCTAAGTACGTAAACAGTGCTCGCAGCACATTTACTGGTACACAATCCGAATACGAATACGTGGTAATACATCAACCTGACTAACAAACATTGAATTGATTATTATATATATACGGATATGAATGAATACATATAGTCGAGAATGTCACGTTTTTTTAGCGAACTACTCCATGTATTCGTAATCGTGGCCGCAACTGCAGCGGTTGCCATTACCTGGGCCGCCAAAGAAGTATTCGCCGTTGTCGCCATTACCGCCGTCGCCGTTGTTGTCGCGCTCATTAAACTGATTGTTTATTGGAACGTTGTTCTCCCTGCTGAACCCGTTGATATAACCGAAACTAAAGCTGAAGCCGTACGCGTTGGTCACGTAGCCCAGGTCGTCGCCGTGCCTGATGGGTATGCTATTGGTGTAGCCGGAGCCGTATTCCGGCTCGGGCTCTGGCTCGGGCACAGACATAGGCCCAGCGTTCAGTGCTAGCTAGGAATCGGGCTCGGAGGCTTGCATCACCTCCTCGAAGGCTTGGTCGAGGCAGTGCTTCAGCTCAGCGTAGGACACGACCAGGACGCTTTGCTCGTCGCGAGACATCAGCTCCACCTTCATAACCGATTCATTCGTTACTCATACGTGCAGTAGGTACAAGAGAGGAGAGAGAGAGAGGGGGGAGGAGAGAGAGAGAGAGGGGGGGAGGAGAGAGAGAGAGAGGGGGGGAGGAGAGAGAGAGAGAGGGGGGGAGGAGAGAGAGAGAGAGGAGAGAGAGAAAACATACTTTATTGCACACCAAAACACAATTAACATCAAAAGACAGTCAACAAGCAGATACGTTCGTACAATAGGCGGCGGTATAAGCACTTTCTCGAATATGTGATTATAATGTTTTGATTGACAAAACGAAAATCTTGTATTTTGTAAAATATCACGATAGATTACGAGTTAATTCTGTGTGCGTTTAGAATTTAATTTTACTTTATAAGAAACGTGGCTTAATATCATTTATTTCTTTTATTTTATTTTATTACTAGCTTTAGCCCGCGACTCCGTCCGTGTGAAATAGTTACTTTGACATAACGCTAAATTTTACCCCCACTTCATTTACGTAGAAAGTGAAAATATTTTTGAATTATAGAATGTTAAGGAGCTATTTAAACTCCTATTTTGAAACATTCTTTATTGGTGCTCCACTTGTATTGGCCTTACCGTGATGTTATTATAGCCTATAGCTTTCCTCAATAAATGGGTTATCTAACACTGAAATAATTTTTCAAATCGGACTGGTAGTTCCTGAGATTAGCGCTTTCAAACAAACAAACTCTTCAGCTTTATAATATTATTAGTATAGATTATATTTTTTTCGAGAATGAATTGACATTTCACATCACTATTGCAATATGTTAAAACGGCCATCATAGCGTGCCGATAGAATCAGGGATAGGGATAATACCTTCGCAGCAGTTCCTCCGTCGAGCTGGTTCAGGCAGTGCGTTAGGTGCGCTTGGTCCAGCCAAGGACGGCCGTCAGTCGTCACTGAATGGAACAGATAATCACGGAACAGCTTCAGCATGTAGCGATCTCCGGTCTCCGACCAAGCAGGATCCAGATTCAATCTGTTAAGAGACAATTTTCAAAACCTCGTTTTCTTCTACAATAGTCAATCTAGTATATACAGGGTGTTACAAAACTACCCATAAAGCCGAAAGGAGGTTAAATGGGGCCTTATAACGAGTCCATTTACAATGTTTAAGAACCGTAGTAATGATGTATAAAATACACCCAAAAAATATATACATATTTTCAATGATGTGCAAACCCTATTACAGTAAAATTAAAGAGTAAACTACTACTACATTTCTACCTAATTCGCGGAACGATTTAAATTGCTATCTTCATGGCCTATGCATAGCATCATACTGTAATACTCCGAGTTAGAAAGCATCGTTATTTAGCAAAAAATATTGAAAAAAACTCTAAACAGTTGTAGGATATTGATTAGACGCTTTAAAATTGACATCTTTTTTTTACTTGACTTTTTTTTGAAGCCAGTACTTGAGTATAATGACATCCTTGTATTGAGGTAGCAAACATTTATGAATGACAAATAGAAAAACTATTAAAGTAGACAATTATTAGGTAAAATAGGTACGTAGGGCTTTCTGTTAAATAATCTGGTTCTACGACATGACAGCTTACTAGGGTTGACAAAACTTTTGGCTTTGATAATTAATTATATTTTTAAGGGGTATTTTGTAACACGTTGTATATACTAATTGATTTATTAGTGTCCGTTATATCGTGATCTGATGTTTTTTATCAACTTACTCTGGACGCTCGTTGACAATGCCAAGCTTGATTAATATGCGGAGGAGACGACCGTTATCTATCTCCTGGGACAGCTGATCTTCAAACGCATCAGCGCGTCTCTCCAGTGCCTCCACCTGTTTTGAAATTATCATTTCATATTGAGTAAGCCCCTCCCGATAATGCCACTCGGTTCATTTTGCCGCCAGGATGAATAAGAAAATTATTTCGAATTAATTAAAGTCTATGCGGGAATTGTACGCGCCGGAATTAAAGTTGACGTATCTATGAGCTGTAATAACTAAACCTATTGTAAAATTTACATAATTTCTGCGTGATACGTAATTCGATAAGTTTGATAAGCACGTTATCTATTGAAAATCCAAATCAATACTTTTCAAAACAGATTTTTCGTAATAATGAATTTATGAAATAATTAGGAATCCATAAAACTGCTAAATGCTAAATTTCAGATAGGTAGGTGAGTTACAACATGTCTCTTATTATGTAGGAATACGTCCTGTGTGTGTATATAATGCGCCCTGGGACGAGTGTGACGTACAACAAAGGTATTAGTCATCGATACATGCTGAAACATGAATGTAAAAACACAGAAAATCAATACCGTTTTATTCATTTATTTAAACATAACATATCTGTATTAAAATATCGGTCACAATGTGTTTTATTTACTTATAACATTTCGTAAACAAGACGAAGACAAAACTTGTGCGCAAACCGCGTGTCTTCATTTTCTACTGAGAATTGGACCCTAAGATGTGCAAACCGCAAATGAGTTGATACTTGCGAGATTCGGTGCTGCAGGAACATGCCGCGGATCTCATCAGACCATCACAACTACACTAGCTAAGCTCAGAAACAAAACAAAAACTTCCAGAATCTGAGGAGCACGATCGCAAGAGGAATAATAGACAATTTTACAATTTTGTTTTTTTAATTATTTTTTATCGCTTAGATGTGTGGACGAACTCACAGCCCACCTGGTGTTAAGAGGTTACTGAAGCCCATAGACATCTACAACGTAAATGTGCCACCCACCTTGAGATATAAGTTCTAAGGTCTCAAGTATAGTTACAACGGCTGCCCCACCCTTCAAACCGAAACGCATTACTGCTTCACCGCAGAAATAGGCGGGGCGGTGGTACCTACCCGTGCGGACTCACAAGAGGTCCTACCACCAGTGATTACACAAATTATAATTTTGCGGGTTTGGTTTTTATTACACGATGTTATTAACAAATGTTATTTACAAAAACACAAAAACAGGCTTTCGAAGTTGATGGTGTTCAGGGTTCCCAGATACTACATACACCAACCTCGGTAAGAACGCGCCTCTCAGTAGACTAGTTGGGGAATCAAACAATTTGCATAGCAAGCATTCTCTGGACGTTTTTGCTGGCACTGTCGTCAGTTAGTTTTAGACGAGAACACTACAACCTTGCTAAATGAGCTTTTTCAATTAAGTAATAGCGTATTTGGTAGTAAATGTGTAATAATGTAATGTCTTGTTGTAATGTTATATATAGTTTTTTTTTTATACAACAAACCGCTTTTTTTTATCAATGCATACCGTCGGTACCTATAATTGTGTTAGCATTTAGTGTGAAATCAATGTATATGATACTTGTAATGTTCTGTGCTGATGTATGTCATGTTGGTACCCAATAAATAAAATAAAATATAAAACTAATAAAATTAAGTTTCTTTTTTTTGTCCTACCTATGCTGATTGATAGCCTTGAGAGGCTATTTCAGCTTCACCCTAACGTATATAGGTGAGCTCACGGGGCTCAAACCGAATTGTTGCTAACACTGGCCCTAGCAAGAACAGTGCTTCGCCGAATCTACCACCGGATCGGATCATGACCCACTGAGAAGATCTGGCGAGAAACTCAGTGGGCTGTGAAATTAAGGTCAATTGAATTATAATACAAACTTAACAAAAATAAGAAGCAAAAAGGACGATCTTACCTGAGTATAGAACCTAGCTCCGATCATAGGCATAAGGTCGATAACGGAACGACGCGCAGGCGAGGATGACAGCAGATACCTAAAGTTGCATAATAAAATATTATATTTTCGTAACGAAAAAAAAAAACCGAATCTTAATTAAATTCATTAAATCTAGGCTTTATAGATTAAGTAATTGAAAAACATTTCTATGCGCTTATATATTTTAAGCAACAATTTCCTAAGCATCTAATTCACAGTTACCGGAATAAATGCTGTAGAATTACGTTTATAAAGAGACATACACTAGAACCGTACCGTAACTTATCGATTGTTAATAATAAAAAAAACAAATTCCATACAGAATTAGGTTCTTCAGATCCGCAGAGTAGGTCCTAGCGACGAGTTCCATGGACGCTGCGAGGTTGTCGCAATGTATGGTGCGACAGGCTAGAGCCAGTGCCAGCCGGCCCAAAGCGGTCAGATCGTCTTGCTGAGCCTATGCATTGACACGTACTTCGTTATATCTATACTAATATATTATAGATCTACAATGGTTTTTACGGATATTCCGTTATAACTACTGAACCGTGCATCCGATTGACTTGAAACTTGGTATGTATGCAGAAAATACCCCATTTCATATATCCCATATATGAAAATATTAAATATCTTCCGCCATTGTTTACTGCATAGCTTTTCAGGTTAATAAACATATTATTATATTGGAACAAATTCTTTAAAAGATTTTATAGAGCAAACCTATTAGAGCAAATTTAAATTTCAATCATTTTCAACTTAGAAATCTAAACAAAACGATCAACGTAATTTAAAAAAACAACAACAAACATTGCCTTAGGTCAAGAAAGTGACATTCAAACGTTCCGTAAACTCTTATGTTAAATTCATGTATTATCTATAAAATATCTACTCTTTTATAAGGGTGACATTGTTATAAATTTATTCAAAAGTTGTTCAAATCACAATGAATAAATTTTCAATGCACTAGTTCTTTGAAAATAGAATATTTTATGCAAAAACGCCATTACACGATCTTTTGATATAGTGTTCTTGTTAGTAAAATAAAAGGTTGTATTTACAATCTCGTTAATGTTTTTAGAATTCATTTTAAAAAATTATAATAAAATAAACAAGCATCGGATTTATAGAACACTTTCCCTGCTTATTTATCGAGGTTCTTGTATGTAATCGATATTTTTAATGTCTTACGTTATAAGATCAATAACTATTCGTTTCGTTTGATAGTGCACACTTAAATGGAACAATTATATGATTTAAAAAAAATTACTATCATAAATATTGAAATCGTCTTTATTTTATAGATATAACTAGCTGACCCGGCAAACGTTGTTTTGCCATAAATAAGTTTTTAGGGAATTACTAGGGTAGAAAAAAAAATGTAAGTGTGTAAGGATGTGGTAAATGAGTGAAAGAGGCATGTAGCGCCTTGAACGATGAGGGAATATAAAAATAACAAAACCTCATTTAACCACATAATCCATAATTATAACAACAATAAATTTGTCCAAAAAAATTAAAAATAAACGTTAAGGGTGGACAACCTTAATGAAAAATAGATAGTAGCCGATTCTCAGACCTACTGAACATGCATATGAAATTTCATAAAAATCGGTCAAATCGTTTCAGAGGAGTATGGTAACTTAACGTTGTGACACGAGAATTTTATAATATATAAGATTAATATTTCTTTTCGTTTCGTTTGATAATACACAGTTAAATGGAATAAGTATATGATTTAAAGAAAATATGTACTTTAATAAATATCGAAATAGTTTTTATTTTGTACTTTTTACTGATGGTAGGACCTCTTGTTAGTCCGCGCGGGTAGGTACCACCATCCTACCTTTTTCTGCCGTGAAGCAGTAATGCGTTTCGGTTTGAAGGGTGAGACAGCTGTTGACTATACTGTAACTATACTGAGATCATAGAACTTATTTCTCAAGGTGGGTGGCGCATTTAAGATGTCTATGGACTCCAGTAACCACTTAACACCAGGTGGGCTGTGAGGTCGTCCGACCGTCTAAGCAATAAAAAAAAGAAAAAGATAATTGTGAATCGTATGAAATTATAATTTACCTGTACTACATCATTGGTGTTGCTGTGTAGAGCATCAGCAGCACCGCACCATGCAATTCGGACTCGACATCCGTTCATGATCACCTTGGTCGGCTCCAGGCTCCTATATTATAAAATCGCAGACTATTGACAAAGTTTTACATGCGGCGCAAAAAAGACACTCTCGATTCACCAATAACCTTTTATAAAAAAAATAACGCCTAACTCCGATCTTGGTCAGTACATTCCAAACTTTACGGAGTTTCGTTGTTATTGATTTTTGTTCCGACACTAGATTTAATTTATTAAATTACTGAAACATTACATTGCAGATCGCAAACCTTGGTATGCACTTATTAATATTTCTCACAAACGAGTCGACTATTATCAAAGCTGGCAATGTGACTTTTGGACAATTATTCGTAAATCAGAAAAACGAATTATTGACTTTGTATTCCATTGGCAGTCACAAAACTTTTCTGAACGACATCTTAGATAAATAACAGGTTAAGTTAATACTTTATTTAATGCAGGTTTTGAACCGTATTCTTTGAAGGAGACGATTATATTCAAATCAATCTGTATCGCCATATCAATAACATTTTTTTGTCCAAATGCACAGATTGCCACCTTTGATAATAGACGACTCAAATACAATGCTGTTGAAGTTAAAGTTTCAAACCTGCAAATAGTTTGTGTAATGAATAAAAAACCAGGCTGACACAACGAGTTAGCGTCAGCGAAATCAGGATTAGTATCAAATTCGATTTATGAAGTCCATATAGATAGTAATTATTTTTACAATGTTCTTCTAGTGGACAATACTGTCGGCTTATGAAAAATAAACAAACAATATGTCTTTTTAAATCGGCAGTATTGACTCTTATTGGTCAAGGTCGCACATACAATTTTACTTTCAGATTGTTAATAACAATGTAAAATTAAACGTCACAACAGTTCATTCTTTGTTTTTTTTCGTATGAACTCACTTACAAATAAATGTTTTTTTTTTTTTAAATTCAGTCCGTTTGCAATATTTTGAGAGATTTATTTATGAGAAATGTACAATTACATTTTTGTTCAACTGCAATTTCTTTATTATGAATTTGTACAATGCCGTGAAAGATAATTTTTCATTATAATCTACTAAATAAAATAGTAATATAAGATGGCGTGTCAGTCTTCGAATTACTAAAACTGCTTTGAAAGTTTAAATTCGTGTGTATGTTGTAGTAAATTCCGTCTGTGTGTGTACATGTACACTCAAATGCTGTCTCGAATTTCGATGAATAACACTTCAGTCGCCTGTGTGTGACAACAAAATCTGTGGAGTATTCAAAACTTCGAAATTTCTGAACACGCTTAAGTAGTTTTGAAGATATCTAAGACTCGCGAAAGCCGAAGAAAACATTACATTACGTAGTTTGTATTTAACTTAGTTCTAGCTACAAGACTTAACCAAGCCGAGACTGGCATCCATTGATGTATTATTTTTTTTGATATATCAAGGCTGGCATCACGATCGTACGTAAGGATTCGCGAAACCATTATTGTTATATGCAATTATTAATAATGAAATTATTTCAGGTTGGTTATTTTACAATTTGACATTTACTATATAAGCAGTTTCAATTAATTAACTGAGATAAACTAAAATTGTTGCCTTCTTAATTTCACAAAAAGCTGGTTTACGTTGCGAATATATTTTAAATTTTTGTTCATGACACAATTCTCCCTTCCTGTTGGGGGTTGGTGCGCTTCTTATTTTAAGCCATAAAAATCAATTTACGAACATAAGATTTAAGTCTTTAATTAGTAAATTTATGTCTGAGCAGTGAGTGAACGCCGATAATTAACGCTCAACATTGCAAGTATTCGCATTAAGTCTACAATGAATTCGTACCTGCAGGCGAGTCCGGCTGTATGTATGGCGCGCAAGCCGGCCGTCAGTTGCACGAGCAGACTCCACAACACAGCTTCCGGAAGCAAAGCACCGCATGCGACCGCACGGAGCATGGCATTTTTCTAACAAATCGAGTTTTTTTTATTGTACTTAATTTGATGCCATTATAGTCGAATATGCGTAAATTTAAATATAAAGGAGACAAAGAGAAACGGTGTTCCATGAAACAAGCTTCCACATAAGTATGACGTCGAAAGCGTAACAATAGGAATGTCGATGTTTTCAAAAACAATTATTCATATATAAACCTTCAATTAACGCAAAATAAATTAGCCAAAGCGGTCGACCCGATCTCGTGTGATGTTGTGTTATATATAGATGTGGCCATTGACTTATATGTACACTTATGGACAAATTTAGAGGATTGAAAAAAAAGGTCTAATTATTGTTTGTACTGGCCACAAACATTAAAATTGTATTAAACTGTATTGTAATTGCATTAAACTGTATTAACAAATATAAATTAAAAAAGAACATGTTAATAGTAAGCCGAACTAAAAATAATATAACCCTTTTTTAACTTGCTTGATTCTGATCAGAATATTAGGTCAAAGTTATCAAATTATTGTACTGTCATCTGTCTATATCAACAGTATAGATTTTCAAGTTCATCAAACGCCTTGAAGCTAGTGAAGGTCGCATCAAAATATTCTGTTAACTAAAGAGGTATAATAAATACATGTTAAGATCGCTCTAGACGGTAGGCCGCGTATGTTAGAATTGAGGCGACTAAAATCCCCCGTCTCTCACACACCCGCGTCTCAGCCTCGGATGAATTAGCTCAACAGAGTCAAGCGTAAGGCATGGGGACGCATTCCACGGAAGCTCATCTTTGCCCCACGGCCGTCCCCTCACTGGACGCCACAATGGTGGTCATCACAACCATTGGTAGTCCGGTCGGCTATACACGCCGCGCCTCCAATAATGCCTCTAACGCCCAAAACGCATCACTGGGCTAGAAACAGCGTGGACCAGAGAGTTCGATCATCCGTGACTCGGTTGCTCTTACTCAAAACATGTGTAGACATTTTACACGTCGTCTTATTGGGTAACCCAAATCGACATACGCTGGGAATCCGAAACATTTGGACGGCCAGGATCGGAGCGAGTAACCTATCCTGACCTCCAATTTCAACGGCAGCGGTTTGGTGTGAACAGAGAACATCGCTTTTTCTCGCGTTCCGGGATATGCTTTTGCGAGATGGAAATACGTGTCAAGCTAAAACGCATTAAAAAAGAAAGTTTAGAGATTTTTTTCTTGATTTTAAATCCCAAACTTTATCTTGTTTTTATAGATATTGGAGAGAATTGCGTTCTTTCATACCGCGAACAATTTTGCCCACCTATTGTTACATGTTTACTAGAGCCATTAGACAGGGTGTATGCCATATGCACCTTGAGACATGACTTCGAAATCTCAATTGTATTGTATAACGACCGCCCTACCCTTCAAACAGAAACCCAAAACAGTTTCGCTGCAAAAATAGATAGAAAAGTATCTACCAGAGTGCTTTCATATTGCGCTTTTATATTTTTGCCTTGACTGCGTTGTTTGCTGTCTTAACCGTGAAATATACAAATTAACTAAGAATGCTAACAAGGCAAAAGACCACTCGCAAGTTATAAGAACCGTTACCATAAGTGAATCTGGACACACCTATAAACTTGTCGCCTAAACAGAAAAATGTAACCAGAGATGATCAGTTCATCGGTATCAGAGCTTACATACCGTAACTTAACTTCTGCCGTAGTAAGAATGATGCTTTAAGAAATTCCAGGAATTCAGTGCGAACAAAAACTATGAGAAGAAGTTTGAAATCGGCCTGAAGAAATTCACACTTGCGTGCCACAGGTTTCTAGCTACATAGCCTCGAGTATCCGGTAGTTAAGCTTTGCTCATATCACGAAGTTTGGAGTCAGGTTCTAGTCATAGATGAGTCAGATCTACCTGAAGCCAGATGACGAAAAGATTAGAGTAGGCTCGCTCTGGAGAGAAGTATGTTCGGTTAGACCGTAGGTGTCGGACACCTTCCAAAAATTTGAAGTAAATGGAAGGGTTTGGCAGCGCGGTCGCCCGAATTAAGCCCAATAATAACGTAAGGGATAATTTTCGAAAAGAAAATCAACTGTAATCCCGCTAATTTAAGAGACCTTAGAAACGTATTATAGGCAGTATGGAAAGCAATCTCTTATCAATTTACTATAATATTAAATGGTTCGCAAGGAGTCTAGAAGTTCGAACAGCTCGAGGGCGGCAACACTAAGTACTGATTATGTATGTATATATGTATGTATGTAAGTACTGATTACCCAAGCTATATAAGCCGTTAGTTAAGCATTTATGAAAAAAAAAGATGAATTCATACAGTAAAACAAAGTGTACTTACTGTATTACAAATAATCAAACACAAATTATTATAATAAAGTTAACTATCCTAATATCCATTATATTATGTTAAATGCACATTTTGCGTTCCTCTAAAGTTGTCCACGAGTGTATATGTAGGTTTATATTGTCATTATTGCTGAGAGAGCAAGGAAATCACATCATTTATATTGAAATATTAATTATAAATAGATAGCAATGAACGTTTCTAGGCTGACAAGGATTTATTATTCAGAACGAGTATGAGAACTCTGCTTACCCAGTTTACTACTATTACTCCCCTCTCTAATTAATACATTGAGTAAAGGTTGATATCACAACCCTATTTTTGCAGAAAAGGATTGGAATTTGTATTTAGGTTTGAGTGGTTGGTATACGAGTATTATAAATCTTGTTATTTTAAGATGAGAGCTTTTTCGTGGCGTTTTTAATGTTCGATGTATTTGACTTTTTTTTAGGTAGAACATTCTGTGGTACCTGATCTATTCGCCATACGGATATGTTCTTACTCACAAAAATCCAATTTTCAGTCACCGATGCATCAGGGGAAGGACTTTAGTATGTTAAGAATCAATGAGTAACAATCAATTATTTTGATCAGAAAATCTTTCATTGCTAACTAATAGTTAATATACTAAAAGCATAGAAAACGAATTTCCCAAGAGAAAAAAAACGTGTGGCACTCGGGAACTGCCGCGGTAAAGCTATTGCATAGTATTTTTTATCAACTTATGCAATTATAATTAGATAATGATATTTTAATATTAAAACAATAATAAAACAAGACCACGCTATATTAAACATTAATAAAAGCAAAACATTAACTGTCCCCTTCACACTCATAACCTAGACCGCGCGAGAGAGAGATGGGCAGACTTTTCATGATGCGCATGCAGTGTGACGTCACGCCACGCTCTTATTCACAAACACTACACAAGCGCAACGTCTGAATGTGTTGAACGCGAGCTACATAGTAGGCGTAGTGGGGTGACAGGTTATTTTCGTTACGAAATTTCTTGATTCAGTCGCCGCGCTTAAAGCCCGAGATAAAATCTATGCAATAGCTTAATAAATAATCATAACATCATTAACGCTACACAAACCTGATGGGTATACGGACGCGGTGCATCCGGGTCCGAAGAGAACGGATCATGATAAGCAGCTCCACCCTCGGCGGAGTTGTTTCCGTTTCCGGACAAATACTTGTTCATCAGAGTCACAGCGGCTGGATGATACTGGTACACCAGGACCAGTGCTATTGGATTGATATTTTCGAATAATTTCATAATTCGTCTTCCAATAACTACGGTATTGGGATTTGGTCAATAAACATCCTAGATGTGTGGACGAGCTCACAGCCCACCTGGTGTTAACTGGTTACTGGAACCCATAGACATCTATAACGTAAATGCGCCACACACCTTGAGATATAAGTTCTGAGGTCTCAGCATAGTTACAACGACCCCACTCTTCTAACCGAAACGCATTACTGCTTCACGGCAGAAATAGGCGGGGCGGTGGAACCTACCCGTGCGGACTCACAGGAGGTCCTACCACCAGTAAAAAGAAAAACAGACAGAAAACCTTGTTATTTGACTTATTGATATTGATTGTACTGTATCTATAGATAGCAACATCGAGGGGTTGTAATAGTTTCACCGAACGTATAGGCGAGCTCACAGGTCTCAGACTTAGACAATTTGCTAACAACCGAATCGGAATCGCGACCCACTGAGAAGATACGACGAGAAACTCAGTGGGCTGTGTCTGTGAGTTGCACTACGAAACCTTCATTGGATTCCACGGAATCTTGGTAAAAACTATTTAATGTATATCGAATTATTTGTCTAATTTTTTTTTGGTCTAAGCTACATGTCTTTCGTGTATGTAGATATATTCTAAATTTTAGTGGCTTATTAAGATTTGAGAGACTAAGGGCACATACTAATCATGTGAACATTGGACATTTATTTTAACATTATTGGACATTAATTATATAAAATTTACTAGCAGTTAATTCGTCAGAACAATACTGTTTTAAAATGTAACGCAACTTGAAATATGTCACCTGAATACAGACTCATTTGCATGAAGTCACTCAGGACAAAACATTTTCATTAAAAAAAAAACGATAATAAAACTGAAATTCAAAAGGCTTAAGATGCATAGCGGTCATTTTTGAATTTCAAAACAGCAGAACAATAACCCGATAATGTGATTAACATGGGTTCAAATGGTTTTAAATTTTAAACGTAGTGATGGTGGAAAATTTTGTAACATTAATAAAGTGCTAGGTCTTCATGAAGACATTTCATTATAAGCTAAGGCAGGTATATAAAGTAAATCTGTGAAAAAAATTGTGAACCACACTTATCCCATATTAGTCGCCGCAAATAAATTCCTTTTGGATTAAGCATAAACCACAAGCGAGGGGTATTTTTTCTTTTAATTGATCGTTTGAATTTGTCGCCCACATTTACATTTAGGTAGGTATTATACGTAAACATTTTTTGTTTTTACAAGATAATGACAATGTGTGCATTTAAAACATTTGAAATTGTTTAAAATATTCGTCATAGTATTTTTCATTGTAAATATAGGGTGTCTCAAAAATTAACGCAAGATTTGAATTTGCCATTTGCACAAAGTTGGCAACCCTAAAAAACGGCAATTTGAAAGCTGACAGTTAAGGTTAGTTAATAAAAATGGAACGTTGGAAACATAATTGGACCATACTTTTTGAAAAAGAATCTGTTCAAACAGCGACTGTTAATAGTGCTCGATATCGCGACATTATAACACAGTTCATTCTGCCTAAATTGGATGATGTTGAAGTAGCTATATGTGATTTCAACAAGACGGTGCCACATACCATGCAGCACTTGAAGTAATCCAATTACTATATAAGCATAAGGCTTTTCCAGGTCGTGTAATCTCTCGTATTGGCCCCCTAGATCCTGTGATTTAACACCATTACATTTCTTTTGATGGGGAACGGTCGGTGCTCGATATCGCAACATGATAACACAGTTCATTCTGCCTAAATTGGATGTTGATGTGGCTAATATGTGGTTTCAACAAGACGGTGCCACATGCCATACAGCACGTAAAACAATCCTATTGCTACATAAGCATAAGACCTTTCCAGGTCGTGTAATCTCTCGTTCCGGTGATCAGAATCGGTCCCCTAGATCGTGTGATTTAACACCATTACATTTCTGTTTATGGGGCTATTTGTAATCATAGTTATAGGTGAACAAATCCACGACCACCCGTACATTAAAGGATAAGATTCAATGCTGCATCAAAGAAATTCAACTACATTTTTGCATAATATGTAAGTGCATGCAAGACCATGGAGGCAATTTGCCCGATGTGTTATTCCATAAATAACCCTATCCTACGTATTTTATGATACAATAGAAAAATAACAATCAAAAGACTAAAAACTGTGTTTTCTATTTAATTCAAACCTTGCGTTAATTTTTTTATTATTTAAAAACGCCCTTTACTATGATTTGAAATATTAACGGAAGTAGATTTAATAAAAAAAAATGTAATTTCAGAGTTATAGTCCTTAGTGTTGTATTATATTGTGATCTTCCTACCAGCATAAGAGAACTTTTTTCGTCGTGAAAGCCTCCTGCTTTAATGTAATTTTAATTATAATGAATAAGAACTGTTATCATTAATATGATGATGATTATTAATTAAAGCCCAAACCTTAATACATTAGATAAATATAAAAATAATAGATAATTATATTTTCATTATTTAAAATTATCTATTTAAAAAAAAACTGCCAATATGTGCAGACAATGACTTGCACAAAATACTAATAACGCTATTAACTTACATATAGTAGTTAATTTAGCTGAGACCTGACTGTTAAAACGTTAAAATACTAAATGTTTCGAAAAAAAGATGCATTTACATAAAAAAACATTTATATTAAAATAACAATGTAGACCGAGCAATGGATTATGCTTGGAAATGTAATCATTTTGTTTTAAGTTGCTAAATTTACTCACATATATCGTTAAAAGCCTTGGTGCTGAAATATTCTTCCAGACGCACAATGTTCGGGTGGTCGATCTGCTTCCACATTTCAAGACGCTTGGAGGCCGGCGACGTGTAAGAATGGAGCCTCCTTAGAGCCACATAATCACCGTTCTGACGGTTAGTAGCGCGGTACGATGTCGACATCGAATGCGTCACGGCACCCTCCAGGGGTACCAGCTCGGCGTACATGTCCACGCTGTCCGGTATATCTGTTACACACAGAACTTACCGATCAACTAGACTTTTTGGCGGGAACGCAAGGAGTGAAGTTTTGTGATTTGTTTTATTTTGTCTATTTAGTGTTTATTCTGATTTAAATGTGTAACAGTGGTGGTTTATTAACTGTTTAATATCTGTGAAAGTGCACAAATGTGGGAAAATTAAACAAAGGCGCTGGATGTAACTTCTCGGGATCCTTCAAAAAGTCCACTGAAAAAATCTCAGTAAATGACCACCATTATACTGAGATTATATTTCATCCCATATCATTACATTTAATTTCGTCCCAGTTGATTAATGTCGCAAATTAATCATCTTCATTTCATTTCACTCCATATTATCATTTTTCATAAAAATAAGAATAATAAATTAAAATAAAATATGACTTAAAGGTCTTAGTTACTAGGTCAGAAAATCCCTTCAAAAAAACCGATCAACTAACAACAACAAACGCATATTCATAATTTAATGATCCATTAAAATTTCTATTTCATTGGAGGCATTTTACAACAGAATAGCGTTAGACACTGGATTTCATTATGACGTATTTACTGAGTAATAATTGAAAGCATCTTTTGCGATATAACTTTTGTTCGGAGCATATCTATACATTGTTTTTCGATGACATCTATGAGACGATGCCATTAGAGTGATATCAGTCTTAATAATCACTCATAAGAAAAAATATCTATTTTTCATATTTCCGTATTAATAAAAAGGGAATCAAATTAAGTCGAAAACCCCTTTACGTGCCGGGTCGTTCGTTTGTTAGAACCGATGTACCTGGAAACTGATTGAGATCAGGCTGCAAATAAACATCATCATTCCTGTCGTAGATCTCAGACCGTATTGTTTCGGGATTGTAAAAAGTCGCCGCTAGACCTGCGAACAATGAAAATTCAAACTGTTGTTGTTTTTTTTTCTAAACAAACATGAAACAGTTTTAAAAATATTTTAAAGAGGTAGGTAGGTAGGTAAATGAAATATCCCCATACGCTTCAATATCAACTTTTATATTCATAGCAATGTTCTTTAAACGATTTTCGTAGCAACGTTTATCGAAGGAGCGCTTTAGCAGTAGCGCGCTATTCAATAGTAGTAATGTCGCTCTGCGAGTTTCGCTCACTGATAATATTAGCAAAGCTTAAAGTCATGTAAAGGTATGCTTAAACGAGCAGGCGCTTCGCGGAAATTATTCCCTTAAAATTTAAACATTGCGCGCCATGCTTTACTTTAATAAGCTCTCTTATGGTTATTGACATCTCGACGTGTATAGAAGATTTAACGAGCAATTGTGTGGTTATAGTTCAGAGCGTAAACTGATCCCACTTTGTTGTACATTCAGATTCTAAACGATGTCTAAAGGAGAGCTCGAAAAGGGTTCGTTTATCATAAATGGCACATGATTTACATCATGTAAGGCCGCTTTTTATTTATAAATTCAAATTCACATCGGTGCCTTATTCCTGAAGGTAATTAATGCAACCGAGTATTAGACCAACAGATTCGAATGGAAACTAAAATAATATCTAAAGTGCAAAAATTAGATCAATAATTTTATTTGTATGATCTTACAGAGTTTAATAATATTAATGACTATCATTTATTACGCTTTTACATTTGGGCACGCGACGCTCCTATAGAAATAGCAAAGCATAGCTCGGTCAATTTAACAAATAAATTGACTAGCCGAGCTGTTGAAATAATCTTATTCATTCGCTTAGCAAGATGCTTTGTTTTAGTGCTGAGTTTCGCTGATTTTTGCAAGTCTAATGATCCAGGGGTCAGGGCTAGTAGGATGTGGATGACTACGTCGCCCCTTATATAAATCACATGACGTGATTAATATTAAACAAAGCCATCCTTTTGACGCATGACAAATAACGTTCAGGTATTCAAAAGATTTAAAATTGATAGCATAATGAAATTGACACATGCTAATATTGCGAAACGAATGAGATTGAACAATATTGAAGGATCCTTTGTGTATTAAATACTGTATTGTCTCCCCCCTGGATGTTCGAAGTATATTTGAAATGAATCAAGCATTTGTTTTTATAAATTCATTCTAAACGATGTACTATAATTATAATGTTACGCAGGTTGCTTCTAATAAGATTAAAGAACATCGCAATGAATATATTGAAGCCTCCTTTTTTTTTTTATTATTTCATGTTAAAAAGGGACCTACCACCCTCGTTTATTTGTTATTTCATTGTATACTGAAACAATTTAACCAGAACAATAATGGTGGCACAACACAGGAATATATGATTCAAATCGAATTCTTGTCTTAATTATGTTGTCCCAATATTTTTGCCTCTACAATAAAAACATCTGCTTCTAGACTTTGCTCTCGTCTTTTTTCAATGTAGACAGTCAAGCATATATGGCCTATCTGACGGTAAGTGGTTACCATCAATGATGAACATCAGCCATGGGAGAAGCACTGCCTACACAAGTAGCACATAGATTTCTTTATCATATATATATAACGCATAGCAAATTAGTGATAATGATTATGAGATTATGTTTGCTTAGATCGGCAAATGGTTCTACGCCTCATCTAATCATCCATCACTAGAGCCAACAGAGTAACGTGACTACCAATGCCACATTGACGAATCTCGAATAGACTATCGTAATTTTCAATCGAAAATTGCATAATTAGTTCGCGGCAGAAATAGGCAATGCGGTTGGACTAAGCAAACACAATCACTGTTAGTAAAACTTGAAATACCTGTGACAGAATTGAAATTGTATCAGCATTAAAATAGATATTTTTTATTAATAAATCTTTTTATATATATATGATTATACTGATCGTTACAAATGTATATTTAAATTTCAATTCTGTTAATAGGTAAGTGTATTGCATCGACAACACGAACCTTGTTTGTTGGTGGACGGCCCTGGCTGCGGTAAGGCCCCAGCGTACATCTGCGAAGCATACGGAGACACCATCGGCGGCCCTACTGCGTTTAGACATGGCTCAGACGGACCTGGTTGGTGGAAATCTTAAAAACGCTTTGAATATGCCTGATAAATCGTTTCAATAAAACTATTATTTTACACATAAACATAAATATCCACTGACACTAATCAATAATAGAGTTTACGTTATTTAATAAGTAAAATAATATATGTAAACCTCAAGTTATTCTTATTCGTACATGCAACATTTAAATAATATTTATGATTTATTAAATAAATATTTAAACAATTAAGTTATCTAAATAATACTGTATAAAGTAAATAAGCATGTTTCCAGCGTCGTGTGAGGTGTCGTAATCGGCTCTGTAACTATTTAAAAAAATATGACATAAGCTATGATGAAACAGCTCAGAACTATCAATAAAAATTAGTAAATAATCTAAAATACACAATAAATTACAAAAAAAAAACCAACCTAATATTTTATCGATTTCTATTTATTAATTTAGATACACAGATATTATAGAAAATAGTATACAACCAAACCAAATAAAATGATTTTGTTTCTACAGATGGACACCAAAATCATGCGTAAAAGGCTTGCTTACATGGGTATACCAATGGATATGGTCTTGCGGTGCTCAGCAGAGAGTAGTCCATGCACGGTTCTTCTGGTATTGTTAGCCATACAAAACGAAATAAAGGAAACTTATATATATCAAGAAACAATTTTATTATTTAGTTTGCTAACACCGGGCATAGACCATAGAATCTAATTAAGAATTTCGTTAATTGCATTATTGATATTCGTACTCCATGCCCCTTCAGTGGTGAGTTGCATTGGCGTTCGTAAGCGGAAGCACGTGAATAATTTAAAAACAGTTTTCAAAAGAAGCATACTTTATCTCGAGTCCTTTTTCTGTGGCGTACCGGTTTGAAAGAACAATTTTATGTATTGTATTTTTCATTTAAGTACATTTACTATTAATGCTAACATATATATTATATTTCATAATAATGTCCGTTTCTTCTTTTTATTCGTGTATTCATGTTATGTTCTATACATATTATTATTTGGTTGGTTGTTGATTTGAGTGGACCGACATACGCGCATTGCAAACGCGTCGAATCAATAGTTCGTCAAACCCAGACACCCCTCGGAGAGAAACATAGAAACATACTATATCCATAGTCACTGTCTAGACAAGGGGGTTGCAGGTACTAAACCAGACATGGTTAGCTTATTAAGGTATGCTCGAAGTTTGTTATATTGAAATACATCGTCAACGACGATCAACAAGTATGTGTGAAACTTTGCATAATAATTATTAAGAATTCTAGACAGATTCGGTGATGTTGTTCTTTATATCATATCGATATTTATTTACATGAAATTACATTTAAATTTAACGTAAAATCATGTATCATTTGAATCCACATTTTTTGTTCGTAAAACGAGTTTAATGATGTAAAAACTTTATCAAACACACAAGGTGGGTTGTAGTCAAAAGGAAATAACTTAATTCTGATCCCTTAAAGCAATTAGGTTTCTTTTTGAGTAACACAAAAAAATATAAATAGGAGGCTAACGATGCAATCCGCAGTTCTAATAAAAGTAATTAAACACCGAGAAGTTACTGAACAAACAATTCCAAGAAATTTGTAGTGTTACCGGAGAATGGCTGATATTTCAATAAAATTTCTCATGAATATTGTTTGTTATTGCTATTTCTCATGAATACGAGTATGATTGAAATATGATGACAGATCCGACATTGCAGGTTTTGTGTGATCTTTGTTTGTCCGTTAAATTACGTTACTAAGTGACAATTTCATAATTTTATTAGGCTTTACTATAACTGGAAACTACTACTACTAGAAAAATGTAGCTATAGGCATAAAGTGTATTTTGTTCATAATATTAGTTGGGTATTAAGTATTAAAAGTATTAACTTATCGTGGATTTGATGACTTACCCATGGAAGCCGATGAATTAAGACCGCTAGTGGTATTGAGGCTGTCTGAATTGGTCGAGTAGAAATAGGTAGTTCCTCCCACGTTCTCCTGTGAAAATTTAACTGCATAATCGTTTGCATAAATGTCAATGGAAATGGTCTTGTCTTATTTTGTACAGTGAATTCCTATTAAAGCACGCTGATTCGTTTTGGATAATTACAAAAGGCCATGCGTACTTATGTTTGTGTTCTTTTTGTGACTACTTGTGTGTACTACATGTATTCTATATTTCAATTTCCCCACGATTGTGTTGGAGGCACACTGCTTACTATTCGCAAACGACCTCTTTCTATCGGCAATATAAGGGTGGAGTTTTTTTAAATATGTTGACAGAGCGTTACAGTGGAGCAAGGAAAATAAGATGATTTAAATGTATACAAGTATAACATGATAAACTAATACCGAGCAAATACTTCGCACCACCGATGTTTTTTTAGATATTGCGGTAAAACACTCAGTCGTAGTCATCTCGAGACAAATTCAATTATTTGGAATTCTGATGAAGTCACACTGGAAAAAGCACCAAGCTAATTCAGTAGATTTTTTTTATCATTTTTTATCATTGCTAGCTGTTGATGTATCCTTCATCTTAAGCACTTCGGGTACAATGAATGTGTAATTGAGAGAACTCTTCTCGAACTGCATCGAACCGTAGGCTTTAAGCCGGGGGCAAGAGGAGAGCTCACGTCCAACTGCAGCCCTTGCATGAGGCGGCTTCCCTTAGTGAACCATTTCGGATGTGGCCGCGTGGCGCCAATGTACTGCGGCGCGGCGCAGAGCTTAAAGAACGACCGGTGGTGGTGATTGATTCGACTAGCTGGTTTTCATTCGAGGTATCCGGGAACACCTGCAGCACTAGCATGACTGGCCGAAATAGATTAGCTTTCGTCGCCGCCCCGTCGATCAGATGTTCACGATGCGCGTCTGCACTGTTTATCGTCACGCCCCTACTACCTCTCCCGGATGCAGGATCTTTTAGTGAGCCATTAAACCATTATCTTTCACTTGCGATATTCCTTCTTCAAAGTTCTACTACAGTCTACCGTAACATGTGTACCCTCGCGCCACGGATATCACAGCAGAAGATTCAACACGCAGCATAAAACAAATTTACCTACATATTTTCAAAATTCTAATATTAGGAGGTCCTTACTTATGAAGTTGGCCTTTTGTGCGGAAAAATTAAAACACCAAAAAAATATGAAAATCATTTATTAAAAAAAAGTATTGATTCCTTTATTGAAAAAAAAATTGTATGTGAGGAGACTCAGTAAGTATTGTAAATAAAGTAAATATTCTTTATACTGCCTCATGTGACTTATACTGATGTTTTTTTTCCAAAGTCCGGAAAAGTGGTAATCTGCTGGAGCAAGGGCCGGGGAGAACGACGAGAGATTAACTAAGGCTGGCCGGATATTCGTCCCGTTCGAGTTCCATGTCGGAAGCGTTCAAGCCAATAAGGAGTGGTGCCTTCGTCGTATTCACTCCGTACCTGCTATTGATGTTGAGAGCCATTTGTGCGGCATTGCTACTGAGACGGAACTAGTTTTCCATAATTACCGATATTTTTATCACGTCCATTAACTTGTCTTTGCAGTCATTTTCATCAGGAAGCAAGAAACAGTGGAGCTGTCGACTTATACTGGTGCGCCGTACCAAATACAGGCTCAACAGATGTACATAATATGTATATATCGTATTTTCCTCATTTCATTAGATATATGACCCCACGCCGCAAATTATGTTCTCGTTAAATGATAAATATACGTTTTGTGACATTATTCCACGACCGTTCCAAGTTAGCAACGAATTGGTTTTTGGTTTTGTATCTGTCTGTACCAATAAAAAACCTGTGATTTGCGTAACTTGTGATACCCCGTAGGAGCGGGACGTTGTAGGATGATTTGTTTTGTGGATATACCACCCAGAGTAGAACCCTAGTGGACACTCTGTCTCACACATGTCGTGATTGTTGCAAATAAGACGGAGTAACTCTCTGGCATCTGCTCACCCTCGCAATTATAACCTCCAAGTGTAAATACGTAAGAACCGATAAATAGAAGACAAACGCATGGAATTTACCATTTTAAGATGTTATAAAAGCAGACTTTTTTTCGGTAGGCGCGTTTTTTCTGACCTTGAATCAAGGTCTTTGATGTATTATTGTAGGATCCGAAATTGAACTTGTTTCTCCTTCGCTAGTATAAGGATGACCCCATAATGGATTTACTACATATCAAGAAAAATTTATCTGTGACTATTTAATCACAAAAAATGGGTAAAGGACCTCAAACACTTCCAGTCTCTTTTTTTTTACCGCTTTTGAAAATTTTAGGTTCGAGATCTGATCAATGGTATACAGCAGTAAACAATTTGTGAAATCTAACCATTTTATGATAATTATTAAAATGATAAATTAAAATTTTTAAACTTTATAATTCCTGAAGCCGTTTGAAGAGCTGTTGAAACAAATTTAGTAGCCTAAAAACGTGCACAAATGAAGTTTTTTCCATCAGAATATCTTCTGATCATGGACTCTATAAATCTGTTGTAACATTAATGATAGACTAACCTGATGGACAGTTGAAGCATTCGCCATTGGTATAGGAGGTGGTGGTGGACCCTCAGGTGATTCTGGGGGAAGCATATTCGGTGGCGGAACATAGTAGTTCATCGGAATAAATTCGCTCACCAATACCTGTGTAGTAAACTATTATTATACATATATATATATATTAATATGTAAAGCAAAAACTTTGTATCCCTTTTTACGAAAATTTCACAGATAGAGGAGTATGAAATTTTCCACACTTATAGAGAATATAGAGAAGAAGTGCACAATGCTAATTATTTTTTAAATCATGCATAAAAGATACAGGTAGTAAAAGAATTTTATTCGTGTAGTCTCAGGTCGGGATATAAAGTTACAAAAAGGCTTGAAGAAAGTCTTTCGATTAAAATAGGATGCACCCAGTATCGCCTTTGTCTTTTTCTCCGATGTCTCAGTTTTCTGTATAAAATTAATAAGCAAATTGCTTCCTCCACGTCCATTCTCAATCAATGTTGATGCCAGACTCTCGCGCGTACATTCTGTCATGTGAACGTTACCACCGCGCGGTGACGCGCGGTACCGCGCGATCATATGAACTTAGCCTTAGTCTTTGGTCAAATTGAGAATAGATGAATATTATTTGTCTTTATTATTATTAATGTATAGTGTGGTTTTGGCGAAATCTGTGATTATATTATATAAGTATAATAGTATTTGTCAATAGAACCATAATAATCTTTAAACATTAAATTTCAATTGATTAAAATCAAATTTTGACTACTGCGGGACCACTAGTTATATTTAACTGGTGACTTTAAGTTAAATTGTAATCCAACATTTAAACATGGCAATATAAAAGTGGTTGTATGTATGTATGAATGTTCCCAATACTCTTAGAAATGGCTGAACTGATTTTAATGAAATTTTCAGATATACTCCAGACTGGAATTGTGGGTGATAATAAAAATATTGGTAGTGCTTGAATCAAAGTTAAATAAAAAAACAGCCAACAAAGCAGGCAAGGTTTGACTAATGTATAAACTTACAATAAAATTTCATTCATTTTTAGAACTGAATGGATTATTTCAATTACATACATATTTTTATTTAGCCAGAGGAAAAATCGCATTCATACTTTTAAATCTGTAATTTGAGTATTCACATCTAAGAATTGGTTGTTTTCTATAAAATCAAAAAATAGCTTTGTTGTCCATTACCACAAAGGTATAGTATAGGTAATAATCTGATTTATATATAAATTAAATAAGAATTGAATAATAAATTTTGATTTAAAGAGACATACATGACATAGTGCTTTGATAATTTTTCATGTCTGCTTTTATGTAGGTAGGTTCACATTTGTTTCAATAACAGTTAGGGTCTTAAGAATAATGTCTGATGAAATTAGATTTTATGATAATTTCAGCTACCAGTATCCAGTAAACATGACAAATTTACTCAGTTTTAACTTTTATCATCAAAATCATACATATTTCTGTACCTTTGCTGCTCACATGACTAGCAGCTTTATGATAAGCATGTGTATGTCACTGTGTCTTACAACTTTTCAGATGCCTCTTCACATCCTTTTGTCTCAGGACTAAGGCAACAACACATTTACACTTACCATAATGAAATAAAAAAAAAAATAGTTGGTACCTACTATCCAGACATATGGGATAAGTCCCAAAAAAGAAAAACCCATTTTAGGTTTTTTATTTTTCTTGTAGGCAGACAGGCCTACTGCCAATCTGATGATGAGTGGTTACCATCGTACATAATCATCAGGAATGCCCAGGGCACAGCCAAGCTGTTGTCTACCTTTTTTTATATAATGTAGTGTAGGCTTCAAGTTCATACACATCTGCACATAATATTGACGCTTGAAAATCAAATGTGACTAAGCGACAATTACTGCCTTGTACATAAATGATAGGCAATAACCATATTCGATGCGCAATAAAAATATATTTCTAGGTCTATTAAAATCATTTCAATCCTACAGTTAGATTCGTTAAAATAGAATTTTTTTCAGGTATATTTTAAATTAATTTCAACTATAAATTAGTCTTCTGTAAGATTCACGCATTGTCGCTTAGTCACATTTGCCTTTCAAGCGTCGATATGTATTTCTGACATTATGATGCAACTTAATATTCAAAATGTCAAAGATATATGTTAGGTGGAATTAATCATAAGAAATATTTATTTTCCTAAAATGTTATTTGAAAATATTACCTTCTTAACACCTGGTGGTGAGGAATCCAAAGTGAGCTTCCCTATAGCATGGTTAAGAGAGCGTGTGGGCGTCGAAGTTGAGCGACTCTAAAATTTATGACAATTAAAAAAAATCGCTTTCTTAAAATAATAATAAAAATTTAAAAAACAATGTCTTACCATGTATGTAACTAGCTTCGATTCTTGTGGAAGCCCGTTAGGCGGTGCGTATGGTAGAAATATTGATGGATCCATAATTTCAAAACTGCAGTGCGTCTGTGCAGTCTGCTGCAAAGAAGAAAAAACATAGTCAATAAATCAATAAAAGTAGCGTAGGTACCTACTTCACAGTTTTGTTCCCAACTTATGTAGGTAGTAAGCACTTTAAAATTGACCTACCTTAATTTATGATTCTTTTCGATTCACAGTTATTCATGACAATGAGAGTACCCCAACATGTCGTTATTAAGGGTTCAATTTCAACCAGACATATTTGGAAAGCTAGAATACTATATTAAATACGTGATAGAAATCAAACCCTCAAAATCTAAAAACTACGTATTTCATTGTCTCAAAAGACGGGGCTTAAAGGCAATCTTTATTGATTCATTCACACAAAACACTGGGGCAGCAATTTTAATACAAAATTCACGGACTCTCAGAGACGGGGACACGAAGACAATAGAGACATTAAACAGGAACAGGTAAGAGATGAGTCCTAATACGTCGGTGAAGGTAGTGTGTACCAGTGTACGTACACTACAGTGAAACAGTCTTCCATAGACTAAAAAACATTACCCATGTAAAATGTAAGTCAACATTATAGAATCTAGTACAATCCGGCGTCTGTGAATTCGTTAGCATAACAATTTAATGATTTTCGACTTATTCTGATAAATTTACCCGTATTGGAATGAATCTGTTGTTTATGTGCAGTAAAAGATAAGAAACTGAAAAATACATAATAAGGTTTTTGTTAATTAAGTTGGTCTGAATCATCAATTTCTTGCATTAATTATTACAAAATATTTTAGTTTTCAAATAAAGTTTTTATGATTAAAAATACATTATCTAGGGCCGGTTTAATTAAAACATCATGCTAAGAAAAGAGTTAGTTATTTTTATATTTCACCTTGTTAGGTATTGTTAAGATTATATTTAATCTCGCCTTTTTTCTAGTTTTCTCATAATAGGTTGAAACCGTGCTACCAAGATCTAATGGTCGATTTTATAGCCGCCACTCATGATAAAAGGAGTTATAGGTTATTATTTTCATTTGAAAGTTTTCATCATTATATGTATGGTTTTATTTTTATTTTTAAAATATAGTTGATTTTAAAATTTTACTAATTAAAATATAAAAAAAATACTGTAAAACATCCATTATCCACTTTTTAGAGCATGGCATTCCAGCCTTCTAAAAGGCTTGCTTCGAACTATCTTGTGAGACGATGAGTTTAGATGGGATAAAAAATGACCCAGAAGTGGCTTAGCGGGGAAATTAATGTAATTCTAAGTCATTCACTCCATTTCATGACAAAAAGAGCATGACCCATTTACGAAGCCTTCAATAGTCTCTTACACTATATGATGTAATGGAAAAGCTTGTAAGGCCATACCAACAATGAAGCATTTTCTATCTTTAAATGCGCGATTGTATCAGAGTCTATTAACTGCTATCAGTGAGCTTTTTATTTTTTGAACTAGTCTATGGGCCAATATGTGCTGGCGACCAGCAGATTCTTAGTAAAAACGTGTCAATGTCATTCTGCAACGATTAGGGAAGATACGTGAATACGGTAGTAGTACCCTAGCCAGTTTTTTGCTGAAGATGATATATAGTGGGAAAGAGAGAGCCCTACTATCTCTATACCGATCTGATGTTACTTAAAGAGAAGGCATACATTTTGTAATAATTTTTTTTCAGTTTAAGCATTTAATAAATAATAAAATAAGTTTTCAAAAAGTTCAAGTATCCAATAGGTTCAATTAAATTGAAAACAGTAATCACATCAGTGAGAGCTTTGGGAAAATTAAACATAATTGCATTGGGTTTTTAAAAAAATGCATTGAACTGTTTACAAATGCCCACCACGTTGTTGAGAGTTAATTAATTTAATTTTATCCAACTATTGCTCTGATGTCTTATGTCATATAATTTCAGTCCATTTAAAATTTCACATAACAGACACGCCTTCCGTCCTTTTTACAAAAAAAAATCTATGGGCTCTGTTTTCTTTGCCTTTCTACAGAACAAATCAAACAAACAACAATCTGTTTTGTCAACTGTCATTTTTGATGAGTAATTTTGAGCAAGCAGTAACTGCAGTCCTATGATCAGCTCTAAACTTATCTGTAGTAAATGAGTAGCATATTCTGCGTTTGATTGTTTTCTATCATAGCTCTGTAGTGTATGGGAAGAAGAATACAAACCATTATTTTAATTAACATAAAACTATACATACTCACCATCTCTTTCAATTTATAGTGGGTAGGTACATGATTAATAACACTATATTTTCACGTTTACTTTCATTGTATATCGATTATTTATTGTTTATTTCGTAGTGAAAATGGAGGCGTCTTATCAAGGAGGTGTGTCATACGATGAGAATGGAGATAACTTTCAACGACTTTCTCAAACTATCGCCAGTAATATTAAGAAAATATCCCAAAATGGTAAGTGTTATTTTGAATGCTGAAATGTGAGATTAACGTATGTGAATCTAAGCCTAATATTAGAGAGATACAAAATTACTAGGAAAAGTCAAATCAATTAGAAAATTTACTGATTAGAATCGTTCTTACTAAAGTTTTTCTAACATGTGTTTCAATATTTAATGTTTTAAGTTCTAAGTTAGACTACAAAACCCATAGATAGCACTGAGAATGCTGCCACCTTCAGGCTCCTGGAGTCTCAAGTGTTTTGAATAATGTTGGCTGTCTCACCATTCACTCTGGAACTTGAGACTACTTTGAGGCTAAAAGAGACAGGATCTTTCTATCATGCTTTTTTTCTAAAATGTTGAATTCGCTCATCGCCAAGTGATCTCCTTGCTATCATTATATGCCCCACTCTTACTTTATTATACCAATTTTATTTGAGCTGTCAATATTCATCTGAAATAATAATAATAATAAGGATTAACTTTGTACAACTGACGACCGCCAGTCTGGCGTCCCGAGGGGGAGGGTGATGGGAGAGATGTGCTCCGCACTAAACGCTTCACTTTCCCCCCTTTGCCTTGTCATGAGTTCTGTCTCATGCGAGGTTTGGACATTGGTTGTTGAGCGACAGGAGGTTTTAGTCAGTTCGACTCTGACATACCCTGCTCAGTATCCCCAGAAAATGGTGGAAGTCTGGTGATTTCCTGCTGACCAAAAAAAAAAAATGTTTTGTTTAGATTTATTGACTAAATGGTGTCTTAAAATTATTTAACTTGAATAATGCATATACAGTCAAAACCGTTTACTGCGACATCGTTTAATACGACATGCCGGTTATAATAACCAAGAACAAAGGTCCCGGCTGAATGCTATATGACCGCCTTATTAAAAATATTGCTTTCTACGACATTGCTTATAACGACATACCTCATAAAACGACCACATTTAACTAATATTTCGGAGAATTAGATCTGTTAGAACGACCGACTAAGCTGTATTGTAAACAATTTGAATAGGTATCCACATTTGTCTTCAATGGCTATTAAAATCAGGAAAGAAAACAATAGGATTTAGTTTAGTGTAGGGTCTTTTCTAATTCTTAGAAACAAAACACGTGCATGCAGTAGAGTCAAAGCCCGCTTCTTCATATCGCTTCAGTTAGTTTGTTACTTATCTATACACAAGACGCACCAAAACTTTGTGGAGTTATTCGTGAAACTTTCAAAATGTCGCAAAGAAAAAGAAAACAAATTAATATTGAAGAAAAATCGCGTATTATGTAAATATATTTTTCCAATAATTCCCTATCGATTTGTTTGTACTTTCACGATACACATTATATACATCACCGGTTGTTACGACTATCGGTTTTTACGACTTAATATGAGCAGTCCCTTCGATGTCGTTATAACAGATTTTGACTGTAGTTGCTATTTGTAAGTAAACAAATATAAATATTAAGAAAAAAGTTTTATGAAGTTAGATAAAATATATTAAAATTAGGATAATGTTTGTCCTTAAACATATGCAAAGAAAAAATCAGTCTACATCAAAAGTAAAGTATGCTTTATTGTACACCAATATCTGAACTTTTACTACATACATAATTGTTATGTATGTAGCTATATGTAATAATAAAAATAAAATAACACATGCACATGTGTACCAATCATATAAAATAAATAAAGATACAAAACGTTAAACAAAAGAACAGTGGTGAAATCACAAAGAGAGGCCTCTTGAAAATAGCCAATATGTGAGCAAGAATTTTTGAATGAAAGGAATTTACTGAGGTGTACTTATCAAATAAAAAAGAAAAACAGAATAGTATTTTAGTATTTACAAAATTCATCATTAAAAATGCATTTTGATAGTTATGTTTATACCAAAGCATTTGAAGTCTTATGTAGAGCACAGCATATGCCAGTTTGATTTGAACAATTCTTTATGCATTTTTTTTTCTACCTATGCTGATAGCCTTGAGAGGCTATTTCAGCTTCACCCTAACGTTTGTAGGTGAGCTCGCGGGGCTCAACCGGAGAGTTGCTAACACTGACCCTAGCAAGAGCAGTGCTTCGCAGAATCTACCACCGGATCGGAAACGCGACCCACTGAGAAGATCCAGCGAGAAACTCAGTGGGCTGTGTCTATGGGTTTTTTGCATTTTGTCATTCAGTTATTTATGAAGAATCTTAAATAATTAATAACTAACATAAGTACTTTTAATAAATTTCAATATATAAAATAATAAAGCCTTTTGTTCAGACAACAGATTTACAATTATCTTTCTTATACTACTGCACTTTTATGTATTTAACACAATTAAAATTATTCACATATTTGGTGCTTCTTTACTTTCTGTAAATCCATAGGCTGTTGGCAAAGGCCTCCTCCAACCTACTTTATACTGATCTCTTTTGATCTTGTGTAATTGTTTTAAAAATTTTGCAATTGTTTTCTTATGTGGTTGGAGGATTGTGCTCCTTTTCTCCTGCAAGGACTTGTGGCTTGCAGGAAATTGTGTTATTTCTTTTGTTTGGTTTTCATAATTTGGTTGGATTATCCGTTTGGCGGCTGTTATTGGTTTTTATGTGTGAGGATATGAGTGGGAGGGTTTGATCGGATTCTCATCAAATCGAAGGCGTTTGTCCTGTGTGTTGTAGTAGCAAAGGCTTTCTCTTTTATGTAACTTCCTAAGTAACCGATATATAGATTCATTTTAAGCTCTGTATATGTAGTTTACTTCCATAAATAAATTAAAGTCTCTTTTAAAGTACTCTTTAACAGTTTGAAATAGTTCTAACATCGATTTTTCGAAATTGTTAATATGAATTATGGCAATGACTTTGAGAAATTACTCTTATAATACTCATATACATAATATAATATAACTACATTAGTTGTAGATGTAGTAGTAAAGAACTAGAAATAATATTACAGTGGTCTCCACAAATAAACAAAACCCATAAAAACTTGCTAGAATGTGCTATTTTGCAATGTGAAATTTAATTAATAATAAATTGCCTTTGGAATAACATTACAAATTAAATTTTATTTATATTTGAATCCTAAGAAGTATATCCGTATTTCACAATTCGTAATTTAGTAGTATACATACATTGGAAAATGAAATGAATTGATTGTATAAGGAAAAAGCAAATGAGAAAAATAGCTAAAACTTTTCACTTACTACCTATACAATTACAGTTGTACATTTTCCTTGTACATAAATCATGTTTTTATGTAGTTGAACTTCATTAGTGCTTATCAGGACTGTTAATATGACGGCTCTGTTAATTGAAATTATTATAATAATGATAAGAAACATTAAAATTTAAAATTAAAATTTGCTAATCTTTAAGTTTTTTAGTAATTTTCAAAACTAAAAATGTTCCCTGAAATCTGAACTATTATTTTATATACTATATTTCTACTATATAGTAAACAAAGGCAATCGTTTAAATACATTATCCATAAAATACATTATTCATAGGTAGATGAGCCCAGAAATCCAAAGGAATGCCACCATTCACAATAGGGCATAGTGTGGATCTCTCAATTATATTGTATAAAAGTTAACCCTTCAAACAGGATTAAATTAATGCTTTGTGGCAGAAATAGGAACTCATTATAATGTATTATAATGTATCATTAGTAATTAAGCCTTTTTTTTCTGATTTTCATTTATACCTAGATTGTATTTCTTCATGGTTGTACATGCTCTTTTTTATTTAAGTTGGTGAATGAACTTACAAAGCTGTTACTGAAACCTATTGAGCAATATGAATGCTGTCATCCACTTTGAATCATTAGGTTCACATCTCAATTGTATTGCACAATGGCTGTTCAACCTTTCCATACTGTAACACATAAGTTTAACTGGCAGAAATAAGCAAGAGGGTAGCACCTACCCATGCAAGCTCACAATATTCCTTCAATATTTAATTTAGATATACCTCAAGTCTCGAGTGAAGTGTGTGGGATATGGTAATCATTAAATATTAGGTGGGTTTTGAGTTTCTTTATCTCTCTATACAATAAAAATAATCATGGAAATCATTCAATAATATCTGATCTATATTGGAATTTACCAAAGGATCTGATGATACTATCCAATGGTAAAAGTACTTGGGGTATTGTTACATAAGTTTCAAAGTAAGCAGTATTATCGAAATACCCTTGCACCTAAACTGTAAACTTATCAATTATATTGATGGATCATAATTAAAAATGAAAGTATCACTGGTTAATACAGTAGGATGCAACCATTAAGTTGTAACATTATACCACCTACTACATTTTTAATTAACAATTAGGAGATGTTAATCAATATTTTGTTGTACTCATCCCAGAACCATAATTATTTTCAGTATCCTCAATGTCAAAGATGGTCAATCAGTTACAAACACCTCAAGACTCCCAAGAGCTTAGGGCTCAGTTGTAAGTTTTCCTTTCATACTCTGCATTTTATTTCTTTTGTGTTTAATTTAATTAAAAACATTGGCATATTAATTTGCCTTGTTTATTTCACATTAAGCAGTATCATCAGCTTAGAAATTATAATTGCAATATACTTGATAGAGATTTAGCATATTGTTTTCTAAACATATCTTAACTTAAGAATAACTTTTTCATGACAGACGCCAAATACAAAATTACACTCAGAAGCTGGCAAAGGACACTTCCTCTTTGTTAATGGAGTTGATGAGAATGCCTAAAGATAATGCTGCCAACAAACTTACCAGAGAACGACTCAGTGATGAGTATATTGCCACTCTTAATAGTTTCCAGGTGTGTGCTTAATTTATTAAATATCGTTATTGTGACGTTAATATATTGTTAACTAGCGACCCGCCCTCGCTTCGCTTCGGAAACATTAAATTTTATTATTGATAGCCGAGTCCCGCGATGTTACCCGCGGTTATTGTCGTATCGCGGGTGACACCGCGGGGCGAAGCTAGTTATACATATAAACATTCCTCTTCAATCACTGTTTATTATTATCTAAAAAACCGCATCAAAATCCGTCGCGTAGCTTTAAAGAATTAAGCATACATAGGGATATAGGGACAGAGAAAGCGACTTGGTTTTATACTATGTAGTGATTTACAAAATATTTTAAATTATGAAATTTTAGTTTTTAGAAAAGTTACAGTTAGTTTAAACATAAAATCTCGATTAAGTATCAATTATATAAGTATAAAGTATCCAGTGGTAAATTAAGTATACAAAACTAAAGAAAGTTAAATAGCGCATAATAGTATACAAAAAAATAGTATAATAAAAAAGAAAATAAAGTATAACTCATGTTAAGTAATAGGGAGTAAAATAGTAATAACTTGGAAGACTAGTTCATTCAAGTATTTCTTAAGAAAATGAGAAGATAAAATTATAAGCATTAGGTAATTGGCCAGTTCTGTCTATAAGTAATCTTAGCGATGGGTAATGCAGAATTTCATATTTTTCAGAAAGTTTTAATGTTTACGCAAATGTTAGGAGTAAAATTAAAAAATTAAATCAATATTAATATTCAATAATCTACAAACATTAGGTATCGCCAAATAATAATATATTATCTATCTATTACAAATGATAATATATAAAACGGCTAGACGCATCTCTAAAATAGTGCACAGTCAAGAATTTGTTATTCATTGAATTTTATGGTTAAAAAAATTCTTTTACTATTTATTTTAATCTAATCGTCTAAAACATAATATAAATTTGTTTAGAATTTATTTGTCCTGCAGTATTTTTTTCATTAGCATAACTGTATAGCAACCCTTTATTAAGTCCAAACATATTATAATATGGGAATATGTACTTGCTGTTATTTCTAACATTCTATTATATGTATCTTTATTTTTTAGACTAGAAAATATATTTTTTATTTATTTTTTCAGGCAACACAACGACTCGTTGCGCAAAAGACAAAAGAAGATGTGAAAAAAGCAAAGGCTCAGTCTATAAATATTGGGGATCCTTTCGCTATGGGGAGTAAGTATAAACTTTTTCTCACATTACTAAAAAGTACTAAAAGTACTAAAGTAAAAAAAGTATGTACTAAAAAGTAAAAGTCATATATCTATTACAAAATAGAAAAGAGATTACAATACAACGTGAACTGTTCCATCAGACAGGTAGTAGTAGAACTGGCGATCCCTAGCACGACATGAAAGAATAAGTCACGTTTGAGAAATTAAATTTCACCATTCCTTTTTTTTGTATTGCTCGCAATTTAATACAATTCAAAATAACTAAGGCTCGGGGTCAACTTTCTAGAGGGAACGAACACGAAATATAAATCTAACAAAAACGAGTGTGTGTATGCGTGTGTGTGTGTGTGTGTGTAAACAAGTATGTTTGTGCAATAGTTCAGTAATTAATAATCTTATGCTTCGACTCCTGGGATCTTTTGCAAATAGTCTGTAGTCTATTATTCGTCTACAAATCAAGTCCACGTGTGACCTGAAATAGCGTTTGGATTAGACCAGCAGTACATCAGGCTATTAGAAAATTTTAGTTTTCTCTTCGGAAATGGTCTCCTAAAAATTTGAATTAATAACGAATTAAATTTACTGGTGGTAGGACATCTTTTACTGGTGGTAGGACCTCTTGTGTGTCCGCGCGGGTAGGCACCACCACCCTGCCTATTTCTGCCGTGAAGCAGTAATGCGTTTCGGCTTGAAGTGTGGGGCAGCCGTTGTAACTATACTTGAGACCTTAGAACTTATATCTCGCGGTGGGTGGCGCATTTACGTTGTAGATGTCTATGGGCTCCAGTAACCTTAACACCAGGTGGGCTGTGAGCTCGTCCACCCATCTAAGCAATAAAAAAAAATCATAGAATTTCAACATACGGAAAATTTGACCTATTTACATAATTATGATGTTGTTTGTGTAGACAGTAACAAAGATTTGGTAGAGATGACCGAGACAGATGTCCGTAAGCAGGAGCAAATGAATATGCAAGCTGAACGTTCTCTCATCGAATTGGAGGAACGCGAAAGAGATATTCGGCAACTTGAGGTATATATATATTTCATAATTTAACTAAACTCCAAAAGAAATATTATAATCAGATCTATTAAATTTTATTATTCGCCCAGTATCGATCATGATAAAAAGAGGTCTTTTTAATATAAAACAAAAAATTAATTTAATGAATTTGAATTCTAAAATGAATGCCATTAATGTCTTATATTAATGTAATTAATACATTAAATTAATTACGAAAATTGCGCAGATGGAGGAGTATGAAATTTTCTCCGCTTATAGAGAATATAGAGAAGGAATGCAGAATCCTATTTTTTTTAAATAATGTATAAACTATACACTAAATCGATAAAAACTATTTCACTCTTTTGTTTATTGTTAAAGTCTGTGGTCAAATTGAGAATAGATTAACATTGTTTGTCTTTAATACATACTACTTATCTATAGTGTACCCTTGGCGAAATCTGTGGTTATAGGAGTAATGTCATTGACAATAGAACCATCATAATGTTCAAACTTTTAAAATAAATAATTATAGTCGAATTTCGACTACTGGGCGGCCACTAGTTAAAATAATTGTATTTAAGGAATATCAAATCTGACCGTTCGTTTTAGAGTGACATACTAACCGTTAACGACATCTTCAAAGAGCTGAGTACAATGATACACGCTCAAGGCGAAGTTGTGGACTCCATAGAGTCTAGTGTTGAATACACGGCACAGAACGTCGAGAGCGCCACACAGCAACTCCGGGAGGCTGGGAATTACAAAGTAAATATTATATTAATACTTTATTTTAACAGTAATCTATATTACACAAAAAGAAAAACATACATCAGACATATTTATTTTAATACTAGCTGTCCCGGCAGACTTCGTAGTGCCTCAATCGATAAATAAAAGACCTAAACTTTTGTATAAAATAAATTTTTTTTTTTTTAAATTTAATTCCGAGCATTTTCATATTTATCTACCTTTTAAACCTTCGCTGGACTTCCACAAATAATTCAAGACCAAAATTAGCCAAATCGGTCCAGCCGTTCTCGAGTTTTAGCGAGACTAACGAACAGCTATTGATTTTTATATATATATAGACTAGCGGACCCGACAGACGTTGTCCTGAAACAATCATTTAAGTCGGTCCAGCCATTTAGTTGTAATATAGATAAATAGTCTAGATACCGACTGCAGCGCCATCTACCGGGCTGATTTGTGAATCTAAACCATCCAGGGCGCCACCCAAGCGCATACAAAAAAATTATTCAAATCGGTCCAGCCGTTTAGGAGGAGGAGTTCAGTGACAAACACACGCATAGAAGAAATATGGTATTTTCGCATTAAAAGTGTACAATTTCCAAAAATATTCGAAATTGAGTTAATATGCGGAATCATTTGGTATGACCAGTATTTTTCTCATAAATACTGTCCAAAGTTTTTTTTACTTTACCTATGTTTTGACTACTATTAACAAAATTAATACATAATTTTATCTTACTTTAAAAGACAGATAGTGTAGCTGGTAAAAAATAAAATATATTTATAAAATAAAAAAATGTTGCAAAGATGATTAATATTAAAAATATCACATGTTATAGACCTTTAAAACACTCTCCTGTAAAATTAGTAAGTTTTGAGATTATACAGCTTTAATGCGAGAATACTATATATCAATAAAGATAAAAATATTAATTATTGAAAACTTGTGGTACGTTTTTGTTGTTTACGTGTATTAACTTTTTTTTCCAGAACAAACTGAGGAAGAAGAAAGTCTACCTGGCGATAATATTGATCATTGTGGTGTCAATAATCTTGATCGTTTTGTTCCACAACTAAACACGTTGCAGCTCCGAGATGATGATATGATTGCTTTTGAAAAACGTAAATGTCTTTTAAAATAAATAAATATACGTGGATTAAAATAAATAATGACATGTTTTGTACTATTTTCTAATATACAGTTGTAATGTGAATTGTGATACATAATAGAAAATACAGAATTCTTCGCAATCCATCATGTAGAAGGATTGACACTAAGTAAGAACACAAAACAATTCCGTAGGTTTAGTTTATAATTTGTTTTCGATGTGTCGTATATGTAATACATTTTTTTTAATGACCAATAATTCGTAGACTATATTAAAAAAATTCGGACTGTTCCTTTAACGTTTGCTACAACAAAAATAAATTTGCAAAAAATACTACGTACAAAAAACTTATGTTCGTTAATATACACAAGGGATTATTAATTGCTTTTTATTATAATAAATAAATAGCAAAACTGGTAGCAGCGTTTTGAAGACATCTCGATATAGAAAGTATAATATCATGTAAAATAGATATTTACGTCATTTGAAAGCAGCTTCGATTTTTGTACATTATTTAGCCACCAGCGTTCTGCTGTTATTGTATATATACGATCATTTAGTCATAAACTTTATTAATATATTATTATCACTTACGTAACATGCATAGCATATTCATTACGTGGCTGCAGTTAAACTCAGGTCTTTTCTAAGGTGCGTAATGACCGTGACCAAAAGGGGGGGGGGACTATACGCGAAACTTTGTAGATGAGGATGATGATGATGATCTAACGACTGGACCTTGTTTGCGATATGCTTTATATGTATACGGAGAAAAGTTTCAATAGCATCAAAACTGCAGAATTGATTGGGGCATGACCATTTAACAAATAACCATATAATGTCCATATTTTAATGCCATTTTCCGTTATGAGGTTTTCACTAGTCGTAGAATGGAACACTTTCCACCTACTAAGCAGACAGACGTGATCACGAGAGTTATAAAGTTTTCCGAATAGATTGTAACTTGATATGTTTACTCAGAATTGAGGGTTCTAAGAAAATCCTATTTTTTTCGTTATTGTAGATCACTAGCTTATTGGTTTTTTTCCTACGTATTCTGGTAACTTCGAGGGGTTATACTATAGATTCTACGAAATTAGTAGGTGAGCTCACGGAGCTCTAACCTGACGACGTTGCTAACACTAACCCCTTACAAGAGCAGTGCTTCACAGAATCTACCACCGGATCGAAATCGCGATCCACTAAGAAGATTCGACGAGAAACTCAGTGGGCTGGTGTTCTATTCTACATTGAGAAATACATGTTGTTTTGTCCACGTCATTTGGGTCATCGTATCCCCCACACACCCCTGGAAAGACCTCAGTTTAGCTGTAAGACTGAAGTTAATATTAGTTCTAAGTAGTTTACTCTTAAGGTGCTTCTGCAAAGATTGGATTGTATTAGGATCGGTCCCGTTTTCAAAATATCCTAAGCGAATAGAAAATAACAGGAGGATCTATATAACGCTTCAAAATATATAATATCAGTGTGATTCATAAAATAAAAACATAAAATGACTTTGATTTGAAGAATTGAAAGTACAAGTTTTGTTTTTAGAATTTATATTATTCTTAAATTTGTTGGGTTATAATAATATAATATCTATTGTTTATGGAACGAGGTTAAGCCGAGCCAGTGGCCGACGATTTATTATCGTAATTATATTATTATTATTTGAATAAAATGTTAAATAAATCATATATGATTGATCTAAATAAAGACGTGGAAGCATCTCAAGATTATTGATTGATTATAATTTAAAATTAATTGAGAAATTGTAAAATTAATAATGAATTGTTCATCACGTAATAATATCTTTGCTGTGGTGCATTAAAAATATTTAAACTAGTGAATTGTTTATATTGTTTTGCCATTAAAATGATTTTCAAGCGTCGCATTTGCCGTCAGCTACCTAAACATGATTATTTGAAATAATTTTTTCTGTATATTTTGTTCGGACATGGATATTATATAAATATACCTTGTAAACAATTAAGCTACCTAGTAATTTATAAGTCATGAGAATAAAATAAGATTTAATCATAGTAAAACAGATTGGTAGCGATTTCATGATCACAAACATCCGGTGGAGACTGGTAAAGTTGACAACAATAAAACATAGGTAGGTACAGAGAATAAAGGTTAGGCTACTATTGCGAAGACATTAAAATATGTATGTACGTCTTGACTGAAGGATATTCACGAAAGAGCATCATATTACGAAGCGAGGTCATTAAACTATTTTAATATAATTTATTGAATTCTTGATTTACGTATTGAATTTCCGGATATATAAATTTATATAAAAATTGCATACCAATTTTGTCCGGTGACAGACCCCGCAGGGTGTCCTATCCGCCTTTGATTAGAATCTTCCATCGGCTGCATAAGTGAGATGTTTGCTTACAAGATGTAACAAGAGAGAATGAGAAAGAAAGAGAGACAACATCAAAGAGAAGTTCCATACATTTGACAATATTTATTCGAGTCAGATTTTCAAGAAATGTTTCTCATACGTATATCGCTACGGGTAAATTCGTTTGGCTATTAACAATATTAGTTATGGCTAATCCATTTTCTTGATCTTATCCCTGCACTTAACCAAATCTTGAATGTACATCGTAATAGTTTCCTTTCAAGTTCCTACATCAGTATGACTTTATATTTCCTATTTTCTCTCTTCGGTTTGAAAAATCATATTTTACGAAACGTTAGCAATGATGTTCTTTACAAATTGTACGATTTTCATTCGTATTTATATTATATAATAAATTTGTCTTCTTTAAATTTTAGTTATAGTTTATATATTTAGTTATATGTATATTGAACGTTATTTAAACATTTTATTCATGCAGACAAAAAAACTTATAATGCGGAATGAAAATCTATATAATAAAAAAATGTTTTTGACTTTTTGTGTGTTCTGTTTGGTTTTGATGCTTGTTGTGTTGATTATGAAGACGAAATAATTGTTGTAGTCTAAATCAATTAACTATTGGGACCGGAAATTGATAACTTAGTAATGACTATACACTATTAAAGACCGTTTGCTTCTAAAATTGTAGACAGAGTAAGAGTAAAGTCGAGCTTCTGATATTGTGCAAATGTGCAAATATGCCCTAATTCTTGAAAATTCGGATATTATTTGTGATATTAAAAAGCCACTATTTACAAATGGTTGATTTCCTTAAGTAATGTCTTCGATAGTTCTGTTGGATCGGTTGCGAAATGTAATTACGGAAATTGTCACTTCGTCTGGCTTCGCAATTTATTTCGTCAATGTTCAGTTGGAACAATTGGAATAACAGACTGCTGAGATTTGAAAATATGCATCTCGACTTGGTATTCATTATTTGAATTTCAATGAAATTAAACTAAATGAACACTGTATACTATGTTAAATATAGCTTGATAGGCGGTATCGTTGGCAGTTTGCTGTATTTCTAAACGTAGATTAGGCTCTGTTCGAATTTTGAAAAAATTATAAATTATATTTTTTCATTAATCTGTATTTAAATTAAATCTTTAAAATTATTTTATAAAAGTTGTATTTACTGAATAAGAAACCAAAATTTTCTAATTTTTTGTAATGGCCACTCAAACTTTACCACATGATTAAAGTTCTTTACCTGTGACATCATCTAGGGCCAAAGCGACGACCTCACGAAATTATGTGTTCCATGCCGTATCGTATTAAAATCATCTCAAGCATAATGAATAACGATAACCGACAAATGACAACATTCGTGTGATTGATATTATAAATTTACTAGAATTAATAGGTTAAGTTTAATGTTATAAATCATAAATTTTACACAGAAACATACCTAGATCCGATGATCGCTTAAATTTGATTAACATTACTTATAACTAATTTTGACTTTGTTTTTTTGTAATTGTGTTTGTATATTGAAGTTCTACATATATACAAGTTATCGTGGGACCTATTTTCTATATAATCGTTACTATTTTTTTATTAATAAGCGTTATCCAAAATAAGAAAAAAACATACATGTACACTTGTTTGATATATGAGTCTACTATTATCAAAGCCGGCAATGTGACTTTTGGACAATGATTGGTAAATCAGAAAAACGATTTATTGACTTTGTATTCCATTGGCAGTCACAAAACTCTTCTGAACGACATCTTAGATAAATAACAGGTTAAGTTAATACTTTATTTAATGCAGGTTTTGAACCGTATTCTTTGAAGGAGACGATTATATTCAAATCAATCTGTATCGCCATATCAATAACATTTGATAATAGACGACTCATATAACAGTGAAATGTTCAACGTTTAGTTAAGTTTTTTATTGTTTCTTATTGAACTAAGTCGAGCTTTCCTTCGATGTTCATTTGGCTTCCTCGTTTTGTTCATTTTTGTTCTGAACATTAACCAAATATTTTTTTCTTGAAGTACCCTTTGGCATCACGTAGTTCTTTTGTTCACCGAAACGCTTATAAATAATAAAGGTTTCAATTATGGAAATTAAAAGTATTAATGAATCCAGTGCCAGGAAGCTGTTGGATCGTGACCCTTGTATTGAGGTCGTCCATTATTATCATTAACTACGAAAGTTCACTTCGACCACGGAATTCTACAGTGAGCTTAGTGCGAGTTTTTTAACGTTCTCGATAGCGTAAAAGTTAGCTCATATTTGTTGGAATGGGACGTTTGCTTACGTTTGCCGCTAGGGGCGCTGTTCCAACTTTACACAAAATTAGGTTAACTTTTACGCTATCGTGAACGTTAAAAAACTCGCACTAAGCGCACTGTTCAAACCGGGCCTTCTTTTCTAGCTGATCTTTGGCCCGATCGCTACCAAACTTCACAGGGTCACCGATTAGGTTGTTGTGAAGATTTACTGAAATTTTCATAGAAATTCGGTCCGGTCTTTTTAGAGTTATACATACATCGATACGTATCGTACGATATCGGAACGTACATACATCGATTTTTATACATAATATAGAGATGTGATGGCGAATTATCTATAGTGCGGGTCTTTATTCGTTGGCATTATGTTTGAAACTTTCAACTCAAATAAAAAATAAAATTAGATTCTGGAAATTCTTAGAAAAACTTAATTTGATGCTGTATTCATTTTTTTACATAATATTGTTTGTGTATTTTTCTTCTGTAATGTCGACATATATTCCTAGTTAAATAAACTGGATTAATTGTTATTAAACACGTAAGTAGATGTTTATTTAAACGTTAGGATTGTAATTCATCATCCATTATAGGTTAATGTTCGTTACATAATAATGTTTAACGTTTTGCATTTTAAGGTGGGTATACACGCACAGCCTGAAGCAGCGGCAGTCGACTGCATTGTTGTTGTGTTTGCTGATTCAGTCTGAGTGCTCAAGCTGCCCGTGTATGTCCGCCCTTAGCTAGCAGTTGAAATAGTACACCAACAACACCCAGTATTATATGCGTTACGGGTATAAACACACACACTGACACACAAAAGTATGTATAGTATTTACTTCCGTTTACAGGTTCAAATTTTAATGCTCGACAAAATAAATCGACAGATGAAAGGCTGTTTGGTTTAAGCGACATTTTAGCAACTTTACAGGAGAGCCATTTAAAGTTTAAAAATAGGAATAAATAAATAAATAATAATCATAACAAAAAAAAACGTCTTCAGCTATTTGAATGCAGTAAACTTAATTGAAGTTCAATTAAAAACATGGAATTGTTGATACTAATCTATACTAATATATAAATCTACAGTGGTTTTTACGGATGTTCCGTTATAACTACTGAACCATGCATCCGATTGACTTGAAACTTGGTATCCATGTAGAAAGTACATGTACTTAATGCATAGGCTAATATTTATATGAGTGTTGTACTCCCTAATAATAATGACAATAAATAATAATGTTAATTTTAAATGTCAAGCGAAGCCGGCGAGTACGGCTAGTATCAAATAAAACGGACCTTTAATTGAGTCGACTATTATCAAAGCCGGCAATGTGACTTTTGGACAATGATTGGTAAATCAGAAAAACGAATTATTGACTTTGTATTCCATTGGCAGTCACAAAACTCTTCTGAACGACATCTTAGATAAATAACAGGTTAACTATTAACCTTTATTTAATGCAGGTTTTGAACCGTATTCTTTGAAGGAGACGATTATATTCAAATCAATCTGTTTATTTATTCTTTATTTGTACACACTGTTAATATAATACAGTAATTACGATAAGATATAAAAAATGGCGAGCTTAACTCAACAATTGAGTTATCTACCAGCTAACCGTTCTCAAAGAAGGAAAGCTTTACATGAGTGGGTAGATGAGTACAATCTAATTAATTTAATTATTTATACTATAGACATTAACAATAAAAATGATAAAAATAATTTATAACTGTATTATATAAATAACTGTATTGACATATCAATATTTTTTTTTTGTCCAAATGCACTGATTGCCACCTTTGATAATAGACGACTCAATTGTAACTATAAAAGAATTATCGCTTAAACCTTACAATAGCCTTTCGCCTCTCGAAATGTTTATGATTTGTGATTAGTCGGAAAACGAATACGGTTTTAAGAAAAGAAATAGTAAACGCGGCATATTTCTAAGTAGTGTTTGTGATCGTTCGCTTAAGCCAATCATATATACTGTGTTACTGTAATTTGTGTAAGTAATAAAGTAACAATCCAAATAATATTAGCTGGTTTGTCTACTATCATTTGAGCAACATTGATTGTTACGAAATTGAAAGATATCTGAAACTGTTGGTGTTCTCGTCGGGACCATCAATTTCATGCTAAGTATTCCCAACGTTTTCCTTTTCAGCTATCTGTGTGCTTAGTGCGAGTTTTTTAACGTTCTCGATGGCGTAAAGGTTTAGGTGTTCGATTTTCCAAAAATTTAGCTTCAGATTAGAACGAAAAAAAAATTGTGTTTAGTACGAAACGTATTATTTATTTATTTCTTAAAATGTAGTTTTGTAATATTTTTTTTATTATTCTATGTACTAATTACGTTAAGCCATTTTTTCTTTCTTAATTCGGTAAATTAATCTGATGGAGATAAAAAAACGACCGTAAAAAAATGAAAAGCTTACAAAATTGTTGATTAAAACGATGTATTTTACAAGTTCGCCATTTTGTACTTGAAATTCAATGTTAATTATAATGTGTATTAAGGACTTAATTATGTAAACATTCGATCGGTGTCTGTAGAGTCGATATATAATAAACAATTACAGGCTATAGTGTTTATTTATTTTCAGTTATGTATATTATGTAACCACATATTTGATAATCTACGTTGACTATGACATCTAAATTATAGACTCTGTAAAGTAATTTTGCTCATTGTTTGTAGGTGAGTATCGAAAATTGTTTTTATGATCTATTTAAAATTAAGTGCTTCTTTAAACAGGAAATTGAAGCCTTTATGTATTGGAATAGTACAATTTTTTGTTCATATTTGGAGATTGACATTTTAAAAGGAATATTGTTGTGCTCGATTGTAGGTGTGTGTACCTACAGCCACTTGTAGCGTTTTCACTCACTCATTGATTTAGAATTTGGAATCTGTCATTTTTATATTATGATTGCTCATTGAGTTTTCTCATTGTAATACATTGCGCCAATACATTGTACAATATTTCGCGATGTTAAAATGGAGTGGGGTGATAAAAGGAACCGAATCGCTGTGATTGCATTACACAAAGTAGGTATGGAGCCAAATGCAATTTTTAAAACTCTCCATACGCTTGGTATTAGTAAAATGTTTGTGTACCGGACTACTAATAGGTGCAATGAGACCTCCTCTGTTTGTGACAGAATAAGATCTGGCCGTCCACGTAGTGCTCGTACGAAAAAGGTGGTCAAAGCAGTAAGGGAAAGAATTCGAAGAAGTCCTGTCCGAAAGCAAAATATTTTATCTCGCACCTAGAACCATGTTGCGTATTTAAAAAGATGACTTAGGGCTTGCAGCCTATAAGAGACGTACTGGTCATTTCTTAACTGATAATTTAAAAGAGAATAGGGTGGTAAAATCGAAACAATTACTGAAGCGGTATGCAAAGGGAGGTCATAGAAAATTTTTGTTTACGGATGAGAATTTTCTTACAATTGAGCAACATTTTAACAAACAAAATGACCGTATTTATGCTCAAAGCTCTAAAGAAGCTTTCCAATTAGTCGACATGCAACGTGGGCACTATCCGACTTCAGTAATAGTTTGGTGGGGTATTAGTTATGAAGGAGTGAATGAGCCATACTTTTGTGAAAAAGGTATCAAAACATCGGCACAAGTGTATCAAGATACCATTCTTGAGAAGGTAGTAAAGCCCCTTAACAACACCATGTTCAATAATCAAGAATGATCCTTCCAGCAAGACTCGGCGCCAGGTCATAAAGCTCGGTCTACGCAGTCTTGGTTGGAAACGAACGTTTCGGACCAAGATCAGAGCTGAAGACTGACCGTCGTCTATCTAGTCCCGATCTTAGTCCGCTGGATTATGATTTATGGTCAGTTTTAGAGAGTACGGCTTGCTCTAAACACCATGATAATTTGGAGTCCCTAAAACAATCCGTACGATTGGCAGTCAAAAATTTTCCCATGGAAAGAGTGCGTGCTTCTATTGATAACTAACTGGCCTCAACGTTTAAAGGATTGTATTGCAGCCAATGGAGACCACTTCGAATAAGCTTTTTATACTTTAAATTGTTTTATATTTATGTATTAAACTAACACACTGTAAAAGTAATAAATGTTATTTGCAATAGAATTATTTTTTTCCTTTGTCTCAGTATTTATGGCAAGACTAGGTATACTATAAAATATTTAATTTATCCAGTTTGGTGTCTGCTGGTAAATATGTAAAAGACGTAAGATGAAGACAGATTTTTTTTGTATTCTTTGTATATATATATATCATGTTTACATGTGCATGCACGATGCACAGTTACTAGATTCCATAAACGTGTATGCCGCTACTTTCCTCGAGAGATGACTGCAGTCCCAAATCGTTCATGGACGCGTGCTACTTGCTTACATAGAAGAAAACGTACTTTCCAGAAATTTCGAACACCGGCATAATGTTATCGCACGGTGTTCTATTTTGTTCAATGAGTTTTAAGTCGTCGTGGCCTAAAGGATAATACGTCCGGTGCATTCGTGTTGAGCGATGCACCGGTGTTTGAATCTCAGGTGGGTACCAATTTTTCTAATGAAATATGTACTCAACAAATGTTCACGATTAACTTCCACGGTGAAGGAATAACTTCGTGTAATAAAAATCAAACCCGTAAAATTATATTTTGCGTAATTACTGGTGGTAGGACCTCTTGAGAGTCCGTGCGGGTAGGTACCAACGCCCTGCCTATTTCTGCCGTGAAGCAGTAATGCGTTTCGGTTTGAAGGTTGGGGCAGCCGTTGTAACTATACTGAGACCTCAGAACTTTGTATCTCAAGGTGGGTGGCGCATTTACGTTGTAGATGTCTATGGGCTCCAGTAACCACTTAACACCAGGTGGGCTGTGAGCTCGTCCATCCAGCTAAGCAATAAAAAAAAAAGTTGAGTTCTATTTTTATTATTATCACTAACACTTTTATCGGTCGTAGTAATGAAGATTTTTAAATATCTGACAGATGAGTGATCGTCTTTTTACATTTATTTACGTTTTAAATAAACCATATATGCTTCTGATTTCTATCAGCTACGGGCTGCTTCCACTCGCGATGAAATTAATTTTTCCATACATACCTATTTAATTGTCTATTAAAATTTATGGAGCGTATTTAACAGGAGAAAGGGAAAATAAATTAGATACCATTTTAATACACACCAATATAATGTTGAGAGAACAGGTTAAATGTTAGAATATAGTATTAATATGAATAAACATTGAATACTAAATATATGCGAAAGTTATGAAGCAAAAATAACTACTAAGATCAATTAGATTTCAATCAAATCTATTCTACATGAATAATTATCACTTTAGTTTTTAATCCCAATGAAAATATCAATGGTACATGTAATCCGTTTCCTGAATATAATCCCACATCCATATCTTAATGCCTAATATTATTATGAGTTCAATACGAAACTAATCTACAAGGTTATTAAGTTTAATGAATTTAAGTCGAAGTAGAATTAATGGAGACTTGCACCGCAAAACTGGAACTTTTATGTATTGGCTGGATTCGCCTAAGATGTAGGTCGGTGACCGGTACGACGGTTCCAGTGCGTCTCCGCCAGAGCCTCGTTCGCTAATCGGCAGGGTGCACCGCGTGCAGGAGAGGTTGGCTTTGGCTCAATAGGTCTAGGTAGAGCCACTTACACCCCAAACTGAAGGAACTTAATCTATAATAAAATAAAACTTAACTAGGCAGACGATTTTAACAAAAGTACATTGAATCGTAACCTTAAATCAAAGAAAAATAATGAAATTAAACAAAATGTAAGTGTTTGAAAATAGAAAGAGATACAATAAACAACAAGGTACATAGAGTAACATTAAACGTAACAATCTCATTTGTAACATCAACACCATTATATTAATTAAACATAACAGTGTGCTGAGTGCGAGTTTTTTAACGCTTTCGATAGATACATAAATGGTATTGAGAGAGATCCGAATTAATAAATATATAAAAAAAAATTACTAAAATTCTAAATTATACACCAAATTATACAAAAACATTGTAGCCCAACTGGAATCGGATAAATCCACCGAATGGTCTTGATTTCCCCCCTTTCTGATCATTATTCGCCTTTTACGATACCCATAGATAGCTAAGGGTCGCTACTATTCGTCAATAACGGTACTGCACGGCTATCATCAATTTTAAATTATCGCATAAAGTAGCTAATCATGAATAGGTGTTAGTATTACATTGTTTTGTCCGCGGACGAATGAACCATCGGTAAAAACAGTCAACGTCAGCTACATTTTAATGTAGATACACTCGTTGGGCTTTTTTATTTTCATTTTTATTGAAATAGGAGCACTAAGAGTGTCTGCTTTGTCATTGAAAGGAACTTCAGGTCCGTTATAAACCCCGATCATGTCTGAAAATAAGGACAGATTGTGGATTAATTGAATTTAAAAGACGGTTTAAACGGTTGTATATTTATTCAAAATAGCGTGGGTAGTAAATAATTGAACTTAATTTCTTCAATCATGTATGAGTCTACAAAAATAATAAAGATGGCATATTTTGAAGCTAAATGTCTGAATATTATCTATTTTTATGTGATTATTTTCGCCTACTATTAATTGAGACTTGGTTTTATTATTGTCTCGGTAGTCGGTTTCACATTGTGATCTATAGAGGTACCGGTATGCACTTAACACCAAGAGAGCCGAGAGCTCGTCTTCTAATGCAGCACTAGGTAAGATGTATTTAATGTGTACATCGTAGTACAAGTGTATTTAAAAGCTTAAAATTATAGCACTTACTAATATGATCACATCTTCTTTGATTTTAACGATCAGAATTTTTGCGATTCGCAACTTGAACCCGTGGTGAGGCTTCCACAGTCTGGTTGACTAGAATAAAAAAATATTCTTATTAGTAGGTATTTACGAACTTAATATTACACTAATTGATTTTGTAAAAAATTGTGTCTTCATCAGTTTTTAAGAAGATTTGTAATGGCTAATAGCAAAAACATGAAAGATTAAAAACAAAGATACTGTACCTAACGTTATAAAGTTTGAGATACCAGTGATAGAAGTGGTGCGGGTGACGGGTCTTATAAATACTAGGTACACCCAGGGGGGTTAGGGGACGAATGGCTTCTAGAACATTCCAATCGCGCATGCGTGTCTGTCGTCCCGGTAAGTCTAGAACCTTTTCAGACCTAATCGATATAGGTTTCAATTTGAGCGCCAGACGGTGGAGGCGCACACCCCCTTTCTCAGCCCCCTTGTCCAGTGCCCAGATACAAGTACTTTTAGATGTACCTTTGTTGTTTAACGCAAACAACGCAACAACAACAAAAAACAATCCTTACTATGTTATTATAAAATTTACAAAGTCCTTTAAAAGTTAATTAGTTCATTTTATATGATTGATGTATCATGTCCTAAAATATATCCTGTATTCGTATCAGGAACGATGCCGGTATTCAAATTACGCAAGCAGATACCAATTTTTGGAGGGAAGAACCCATCGCCTACCTGATGTTACGTAGTTCTTATAGACATCGGGTTGTGGATGCCGATATTTGTATTGCTATCTTGTGTTTTGAGATTGATCACCTGGTTTTAAGTAATGTAGCAGTAGAACGCAGATTGGCTGTGTCCCTGGCATTGCTGAAGGCTACGAGCGATGATAACTGCTTACCATTAGGTACCATATAATTTGTCTGCTTAATAGCTATAAAAAAGTTACCAGAGTCCATAGATGTCACAACGTGAATTCCACTTCCCCATTGGAATGTGAGTTTGAATTCTCAGTTATAGGTATTGTGTAACGACTTCTCTACCTTGGAAACTGGAACAAATGATTTCTTCATGGTCAAAATTGACAGGATCACAATATGGTACACGTGTGAACTTAGACTATAAGTATTGAAGATAGAAACTTTCTAGAGTTAGTAGTTAAGAATATAGGTGAGGATACGTCTACAACGCATGGGTGATAAGCCAGTAGTATAACAGATCACAGCCTAACTAACTGATCATATACTAATAGACGTATCTTTTGTTTCATACTCGTATCAAGCAACCCGACTGCAGGCAGGTACCTATTTTTCAAAGGAAATACGCACATTTTTTTGGTCAGGAGGAAATCGCCGAATAATGTGGTATAATATAAGTCAAAGATGCAAAATCTATTAATTTGCGTGGGGGCCTACTGGTGGCCATTTTAAAACTCGCACAAGTATATGAGTGCCACAATCCTGTCTATTTCTGTAACTACCGAATATTATATTCTTTTTAAGTTCTTTTTACTATTAAATTGTAATTCAGAATAAGTAACATGAACTAAGTTTCAGCAGTGGTGGTGGGGTGCCAGCTTATTTATTTCTACTGCCAAAAAAAATTGACTGTTTTGGATTACGAAAGACATTATGAAACACAATTGAGACGTTGACCGTGTAAACAGTTAGAGGCCTTAGTCCCTTTTCAGATAATCAAGGACTTGTAGAACTGTGATCTACGACAATCGACTTTATGGCTAACAATTTTCTCACGAAGCAATCGATGATAGTAGATCATAGCTCGATAATCTGGCAGGAACTAGGGAACAACACCTAGGGGTCATAAGGTGGTGGGCTCGTGCCCAGAGCAGCTACCTTCACATAAGTCACAAGCAAATTAGTGTTGGGACTCACAGTTGAACAGTAACAGTTCTTGAGATGGAGACATAAACTTTTATCTAGTTTAATGATTTTACAGAAAAAGTTACAATAGTTTTGGTTAAAAGCAACACGACAGAATTTTGTTAATACGCGTCGCTTTGAACTTTACAATTACCTAGTAGCCGTGTCTTTCAAAGATTTTCTACGCACATATTTATGTCTATATTAAAATATGATGACCATGTAATCCACCGCGATGAGTCCGACGATGGCGCAACTTGACTGCGATTTCAGTCATGGACCTCATATCTTTGGGTACCTACAGTAAATAAACGAACCAACCAAAATGCCGTGTATTAAATATTAATAAACAATGATGTATCATTTTGAAAGATATCAAAAGACTCTCGATTAATTACTAATGAATTACTATTCTATCAAAACCTTAATTTAAGTTGTAGGAATAAGTTAATTTGTGCCTTAAAGTACTAAATAATAAAACAAAATATGGTTGCGACACCTCAGTTTAATCATTCTACTAGTAAAACCCACAATGAGATACGATAATTAGTAAATATGAATGGAATATAATATTAGTTTGATTAAATATATTATGTAATTCTAATATAACAAAATGTGCGTGTGATTGTTTAAAAATGTCTTATAACTATAGATTATGATGTTATAATGCTTAATTCCACATTAAAAGCCGTCTCGAACTACTTATTACTTGTTAATTGAAATGCTTAATTACGAGAATTACTTGACTAAAGTTGCTCTATTATTAATAAGAATATGAGATTAATAGACATAGACATCAAATGTAATACATCATTGAAGTATTATTCATCGCTCGCATGACCTGGACAGACCTAACCGATCCATCAAAAATAAATAATAAACTAGAGACGCGATGGTGCACTCGGCTTGTTGTTATTGTTGGAGCACGAGTGACACGCGGAGCTGAGTCCGCCGCGTCTCCGCCAGAGCCTCGTTCGCTATTCGGCAGGGTGCGCCGCGGGCAGGAGAGGTTGACTTTGGCTCAAGAGGTCCAGGATGAGCCACTTACACCCCTAACTAATTGAACTTTACATACAGCCTATCAATACATGTACATAGGCAGCATTGTAACAACTACTCGAGCGGGATCAAATTGATCCTTGACGTTTTTATTTTTATTTAAATAACAAAATTTTATTTTCTTCTTTCAAAATCTCTTTTTGTTCAGGATCCAGACCGGGCCGAGACATGAATTCGGCAACGTATTGAATCATATTTCTTGATCGATAATCTATATTGGCTACTGTGATCAGAAGCAGTCTTCGTATCATCCGCGTAGACATTGGTCCTGTAATTTCAGAGTAAGATAGTATTAAAATATTAATCGATCCACGAAAACTCGTAACTGACTAAATAAATAAGTTAAGAAAAAGGAGAAAAAGGCACTGAGCTGTTTAGTGTTTGCCAACTTATAAAGTATTTATTTACTAAACTATGTAGGTACTCGGGTCTAGATTCTGTTCGTTATTTAGTTTATTTGTTTTATATTATGTACGGAGTAGAAATATGGATATTTCTTGTTCATTATCATTATCATATCTCCTAACAGCAATGATAGTTTCAGGAACAGTTCCCTTACACTCTTTATATTTAATTGAATGTATAGAATATTTAAGACAATTGCAAAAACGTAATATAAACTCATTAAGAAAGAAATAAGTAAACAATTTACTAACGTATTATATTTTGTTGAGGTCCATACTGTATGCCATATTGTGTGTTCGAAAGGTTGTCTGCAATCATTGTAGCTTCAGCACGGGCATCGTCAGGCAGCACAGCAGTTATTGTTTTCTGTAAAATAATCAGCGTAAAGTTAATTTTCAATTGTTCTTAATTTAATTATTTAATGGCTTAAGAAGCACTAGGTACCTTCCATAAGAGCGGTCCGATTGAAACTAAAGGGGCATCTCAGTGGACCGTTCTTAGTATGGCGACGGATCAATAGCCACACCCTGGAGGATTCACAAAAGTCGTTTGACACATGCGCATTCCGAATTTTCAACATATAACAACTTTTCGAGAGTTCTGTTTTGAAATTTTTCAAACAAACAATAGCGTTATGCCTAACTATCTAAATAAATGCTACAGCAAATCGATAAAAGAGTTTCAGTTATCAGACTTTCACAAATCAAAGAAATTAAAAAAAAAGAACAAATACGGCTTGATCATGTCTTTTTATGGAACATCTAGTTACTAGCACAAATTAGAAGAGAACTTATCAATAAAACAAATTCACCTGTTTTAGTTTTAATAGAATACCTGCTGGTCTTGAATAAATCAGAATTTGGAAAGCTCAATTTTTTTTCTAAGCGCTGTTTTCTGATTAACTCAGAACAACGCCATCTAGGGACATTTTCCATAAAATTCTTCAAATTGAAAAATACTGGCCACTTTTGAAATATTTTGGTAGAAGCCTATTTAATTTTCTTCTTATCCTTTTTATTTTATGAATATGGTAATCGGATTAATATGATGCTACCAGTGTAATGTTAATAAATATATTATATTTAGTTAAATAAAATACATGTCTACATATTATGATATATAAAAATTTAAATTTATACCTATCGGAATAAGGTGTTGTTGATTTATTTGGGATTATAATCAAATGGGATAAAATTAAACGAATATATATAACATGAGATGAAATGAAATAGTCTCAGTAAAATAGTGGAAATTTCCTGAGTCTTCAGTGAGCTTTTAGGAAGAATCTGAGAAATCACATAGCGACTTACTTTAATTTTCTCACATTTGTCCTCTTTCATATATACTAAACGGTTACGGTACCGATGACGCTATTCAATGAAAGAGGAAATTTCAACGACACTAGGCATACCTACTCCAAGCTGTATCTATAATAATAATAATAATAATAATAATAGCCTTTTTATTCCTAAACATAGGGTTACAAGAGGTCCCTAAGTTCGGTGTGCCTTTTGGCATAGGCCTCCTCCAATTCCTTCCAATGGGTCCTATCCCTTGCTACTCTCAGCCAGAATGGTCCCGCTGTCTGCTTCAAGTCATCTTCCCATCTCCTGATTTGACGACCCCTACTTCGTTTGCCGTCTCTTGGTTGCCAGAGGGTGACTTGCTTGCTCCATTTGTTAGTGGGGTGGCGTAGCATATGCCCAGCCCATCTCCATTTTTGGACGTCTATCCGGGTGAGAATGTCTGTGAGTTTCGTTCTTGTTCTTATGTCTACGTTCCTGACTCTATCTTTGATTTTTAACCCTAGCATGCTTCTTTCCATGGCACGTTGGCATTTTATTAGCTTTTCCCTGTGGTTAAGTGTCAATGACCAAGTTTCGCAGCCATAAGTAAGAACTGGTAGAATACAGGTCTCGAATGTTTTCTTTTTGATGTGATTGCCTAGATCCTTACTTTTCACTATTTCCTTCAGTGACCAGTATTTTCTCCAACCTTGGGCTATTCGCCTGGTTATTTCCTTGGTCATTACATCTGAAGGGGATATAATCTGGCCTAAGTAATTATATTCTTTGACATATTCGATCTTGATGCCATCTACCATAATGTCTATTTCCCTTGAGTTTGTCATCAATTTTGTTTTACTGGCATTGATTTCCAGACCAGCTTCCTTACTTATATTGGCTAGGCTCTGCATCATTAGTTCTATTGCCGCAGGATTCTCTTCAAGAAGCACCAGATCATCGGCAAATCTTAGGTGGTTTAGGCGAGCTCCATTTATATTTAGACCTAAGTGGTCCCAGTTTAGCTGTCTAAAGATGTGCTCGAGTACGGCGTTAAATAGTGTAGGGGAGAGAGGATCGCCTTGGCGTACACCCTTTTTGATAGGAAATGACTCTCCTGTTGATTCAAGTTTGATACTGGCCTTGCTAGATTTATATATACTCTTGAGTATTTCTATATAGTTGCTCTGGACTCCTTGTTGTTCAAGACTCCGCCATATGTATTGGTGCCTGAGGCTATCGAATGCCTTTGAGTAATCTATGAACGCCAAGTATATTTGTTTATTGTATTCATTATACTTCTGTATCAACTGTTTTATTGTGTGAATATGATCTATTGTGCTGAAGCCTTTTCTGAATCCTGCCTGCTCTGCGGGTTGGCTTTCATTTAGCGTTAATGATATTCTTTCCAGGATCACTTTAGCAAATACTTTATATATGTTTGATATTAGAGAAATTGGCCTATAGTTCCCAATCTCGTCTCTAGTGCCTTTTTTATGTAGTAAAATTATGTGACACTCGGTCCATTCTTCTGGGATTTGCCTTGTTTGTAGGATTTCATTGAAGAGTTTTGCCAGCACAGGACTGATTTCCTCTAAAGTTCCCTTAAGCATTTCGTTAGGTATCTTGTCCGGCCCTGGAGCTTTCTCGAGTTTTTGGGATTTTATTGCCTTGGTTACCTCTGAGGCAAGGATCTCTGGCACTTCGTCTACTTTGTTTTCATTTGGTTCGTAAACTTCCGGAATTGTGTCCAACCCTGAACCTAATTTATCAGAATACAATAGGCGGTAATAGTCCGTGGCTAGTTTCAGTATTGAGAGTCGGTTAATTAAGTTAGATTCGCGTTGGTTCAGTTTCAATATCCATTCTTTCCCATGTTCGCTTAGTTGCTTCAGAGCCTTTTTTGTTCCTCCTGTTCTTTTTATATTTTCTTCTAAAACACTATTTCTTTTCTCTCTACGGTCTTTTCTTATATTCTCCTTAATTTTCTTGCTAAGGTTTGCAATTTTTTGGCGTCTTTCTTTATCCCCTTTATTTGATATTAGTGTTCTTCTTTTATCCAATAGTTCTAGTGTCTCCTTGCTTAAATAGCTTTCTTTGCTCCTGGGTTTGCTGACTAGCATCTCTTTCAATTTGTTTTGTAATCTTCTGTATTTAATCCCAGTTTCTGCGTCGGAAGCAATAATTTCTTTGAGTGATTCTGTTGTGGGAGAATTAATGGAATGACTGTGTTCTGACATTTGATACAGCTTATTATTATTTGCTAGGTTTTTCCTGGATCTTTTGGATTGGTTTAAGCTTAGGCAGCTTCTCACCATACGGTGGTCTGTGTTAAAGTTAAGGTTTTTAACTATGTTGGTATCTGTGAACGCGCTTGCTTTGTTAGTTATAATAAAATCTATTTCAGTTTTGAATTTTGCACCTGGGGAGGACCACGTCCATTTGCTTTTAGTCTTTTTGTGAAAACGTGAGTTCATTAAAATAAGGTTATTTTCCATCATGAACTCTACTAGTTTCTGTCCATTTTGGCTTCTTTTGCCATGCCCAAACTTCCCGATTGTGGATTCTTCTCCATTTTGTCTTTCTCCAACCTGTGCGTTAAAGTCGCCCATGATTATTATATTGTTATTGTAGTGCGGTTTTATTGCTTCTGCGATACTCTCATAAAAATATTCTATGTCTGATATCCCTGCTTGTTCTGTTGGGGCATATATTTGGAAGATGGCCCATTTTTTCTTGTATTCCGGAAATTTAAAATGAGCTACCGCAATTCTGTCAGATACTCCTTCAAAACCCATAATGTTTTTCTTTAGCCTAGACTTAATAAGGAAGCCTACTCCTTTTTGTCCGGTGTGTTCTCCTTTGTGAAACATGATATAGTCGTTCCTCTCTTCTATTCCTTCTCCTGGCCTTCTCATCTCGCTGATGCCTATTATGTCCCATTTTATGTTGGATATGGCTATTTCTAATTCTTTTAGGCTCTCTTCCGTTCTTAGTGTCCGAGTATTCAGTGTGCAGACATGTATATTTTTATGTTCGGTGTTCTTTTTATCTTGTTTTGTCTGTATTGTTTTCTTTTTGTGCATATTTTTTCTGGATAGGTTTGCATTAGGTTGTTTCGAGTTGTAATATTTTGATTTAGATGGAGGGTGTTTGTCTTCTTCCCCCACGGTGACAAGCCGGCTTGGGGTGCTTGTTATAAATGTTGTGTTTGGTAATGTGGTTGTTGGGATTGTTTGGATCCGGGTGCCGCATATTAGTTTTTTGAGGGATTTGATAATGAAGCGGATCTCCCGCGCTCTATATAGCTCAGTATATTTGGGCGCATTGTTTCCTTTGTCGCGGTTTTAGAAGAGGCGTTGTTCAGGGTGGTCGATGTACTTTGGGTATTACTTGCATTGACTTTCTTTTGTGATGGTGTTTTCGGTGATCTTGAAGTCTCTCGTTTCCTCTTTTCTCTGTTGCTTTCATGTGTTTTCTTTATTATCAGTTTGTCGTATTTGATGAACGCTATATTCCCTTTGTTCTTTTCCTCTTCAACTTGCCGCTGTAGTTGTTTACGTTTTTCTATTATTTCTTTAGGGTAGTCCTCTTTGATATTTATACCTTCTTGTAGGTTACGTCTATTTCGCAGAATCATGTGTTTTTTCCATGTAGTTGTGAGTGAGACTACAACAGGGCGATTTTTATCGAGCTCTTTTTTACCGATCCTGTAAGTATTATTAATTTCGAAGGTTTCAAAATGTACTCCCATTTCCAGTATAATGTCTTTTATATAGTCTACTAGCTCCGTTTCTGTTGTTGCTTTTCCTTCCTCGATGCCAAAAAAGACAAGGTTATTTTTGCGCTTCTCCTTATCAGCGAATTTCAATTTTAACTCTAGCTCACTTATTTTATTTTTGAGTTGGGTGTTTTCTTCGGTGATCGCTTTAAACTTTTCGTCTAGTGCTGCCATGACATTTTGTGTTACTGTAGTTGTTATAAGTTTAGTTTGTTGGTCTAACTTTTCATCTAATTTTGCCAATAGAATTTCCATACTTTTCTCCATGTTTGGTATTTTTTATATTGCTATGGCAGCACTTGTTTCGCTGTGACAACACTGGTTTTGTAATGGCAACACTTTTTTTGCTGTGGCAGCACTTGTTTCGATGTTTGTTATGTTGGTACTGTAGTTTCCACTCTGTAGTCTATGTACAATTTGCATCAGATGACACTTCACAGTATTTTTGTAGGGTAGAATGATTACAATATGTGGTTGATTTGTTCTCACAATTTAACACTTTTCTGTAGTTTTTTGCTAATCGTGTAATTTGTTCTTTGTTGCAAACAATAGTTCGTATGACACTCTTTGTTGGCACTTTTTTACACTGTTTATTTTTAATTTTCCGCGGAGCTCTGTGACGTGCGTATTGACTGATCGACAACCGGAACCGGAATCCCAAGCTGTATCTACTCAACAGAATAGCTGAGTGATATCAAGGTTATTATTACCCAGACAGGTCTCTTCTGACCACCAAACAACAAGACCAATTGTTGCGAATTCCGGTTAAAAGGCTCCAGTAAGAGCATCAGTTGCTTGTAATTAACCAAACCGCGGGAAAAAGACTGCACGAAGATAACTTTCATGCTCGTAGACCGCTTGCTTGAGCTCCAGCGAGAAAATTGTGTTATTGAGATTATGGGCGAATATTACAGTGAGCTTGTGAATATTTGCTCTGGGAAGAAAACACTAATCTGTAGTCCTGTTTACCGATGAGCTCCAATTTAGGGTCCATTTTTTTTATTGCCTAGATGAGTGGACGATCCACAGCCCACCTGATGTTAAGTGGTTACTGGAGCCCATAGACATCTACAACGTAATCATGCTTTACGAAGAGCATATTGAGGTCTTAGTCGCGAGAGTCACCTGAAATACCCTCAGGAAGTCCATTCATAGCACGGTGGGACAAATACAGCTTTGGTGCGAAATCGGGCTTGTCGTAGCACAGTTAGAGTCAGAAAGACCACGACTTCTGAAAGATATCGTAACTAGATGCCTAGTACCCCCCCCCATCTAACTAATGTATCCCATTCTACTTCATGGACTTATCGTTTTTCTTCATAATGACAGCTTGCACGTTGTTAAACGCGTTGGTCGATCACCAAACTAGCACTGAGGGACTCGAACTGTATACAGAAGCTGGCAGAAGTGCCGGCGCCTGTCTCCTATACCGGATATCGGATCAATGGATTAGTACAAGTCGATTTTCTTCTGTCCATATCTATCAGCCATCGTTGACATAACGGTTGGAATTGACAGTCCGGTTCTGTCAGATTACTCAGATTATAGAAATCCCTTGTACTCTGCTTTACAGACCTAATTTTTTTTCTATTCTATCAGCCCCCAGACGTCCACTGCTTTACAAAGGCCTACCTCAAACCTCGCCACATATAATATAATATAATTTTAATGTGAATATTTGAGCTTTGAACGTCCTTTCTTGTAGATATTTTTAAGGCCGGCACCAAATTATAGGTTCCCGTCGCTTTCATCTTAAGATTTGTTTTACAATATTACGACTGCGGAATAGTTGAAAAGACTGAAATCCAGTTTAAGCTAAGGAGTCAGTAATAAAACACAACATTACTACTACGACACCTCAGTTTACTTGTTCTTAGATTAAATACACACAAAGATATTGAATAAAATTTATAAGATGAATTAATTTAATTGATTGGAATATAATACTAGAACGATTAAATATGTCATTATATTGTAACTAAATGTACGTGTCACACTGTAATTGAAAACGGTTTACAACTAGAGATTATGGAATAATTCACACCAATAGCAGTATTACGCTAATTTTACCAAAGTACATATTATATTCTTAATCCTGAGACCTACATGACTAACGTAGCTGCTCCAATATATTATAATTAAATAAGAGATTATAAGACTTAAAACTAATCAGTATCATTGAAGTATTATTCGTCGTTCGCATGACCTGGACAGACCTAACCGATACATAAAAAATAAGTAATAAACTAGAGACGTGATGGTGCACTCGGCTTGTTGTTATTGTTGAGCACGAGTGACACGCGGAGCTGAGTCTCCGCCGCGTCTCCGCCAGAGCCTCGTTCGCTAGTCGGCAGGGTGCGCCGCGGGCAGGAGAGGTTGACTTTGGCTCAGGAGGTCTAGGAAGAGCCACTTACACCCCTAACTAAACGAAGTTCATATAAAAATCTACAAGTAAGTATGCATTATTTTGAAACATTGAGTTGGTCATAAAACTATGCCACTAGTACGGCAAATTATTTAGGACGGATGTTTTGGCAACGATTCCTACGGTGACAAATAAAAAGCCAGCACCGGTTCACTTGTAGTAGGACGTCTAGTGAGCCCGTACGGGTAGGATGTGTTCAGATTCGAAGGTCGGGACAGCCTCAGACATGATGTCTCAGGGTGGGTAGCGGAAGGCGGGAGGGCTCCTGTATCCGTTTAGTACTAGGTGGGTACCGTATGCAATGAAAAATCTGGTTTTAGAGTGACCAAAGGATGAAACGTATTTTTTTAAACCGATAGTTGACAGCTAAAAATTTACGTAATTGAATGTTGGTAGACGTAGATAAGCAAAAGATTCGATCTAAAGTGAAAGACGTCATTTAAAACCGGTGTGTTGCTACAACGGCCTAAATGCACGTACTAATTAACATTAGGGAATCGTTGCTTTTGTTAATTCATATGTTTTTATTGATTTCGGCCACCGATGACTCAGGATTGGACAAGGATTAGAATCTGGGATTTTTTTTTTCATTTCAAATACACAATTTATCTTGACACCCATCTGCCGGTCTTGAAACCTGTGAAAAATAAATTAATAAAATTAATGCCATTGTATAATACTCGCGTATATAGTTAAACAATGACGTATATTCATTGTAGACAGTATCTTACCTATACGTAACTGGACATTAGAACGGACCTCACAAAATCTGCAACAGAAAAATTGGACAATTGATAACTGAAAAATTGTTGAATATTCTTCAATAAACATTTAAGTAAAATTAATTTAGAGACACTCCCGTGCCGCCATGAAACAGTAATGCGTTTCGGCTTGAAGGGCGGGGCAGCTGTTGCACTGTAAAAATTGAGACTTTCGAACTATTATCTCAAGACAGCATTTACGTTGTAGATGTCTATGGACTCCGATAGTCACTTTAAACTGATTTTTTTCCATGGTGCTCGGTTTCAATATCTGAAAAGTATTATAAATAAAATCTGTAGAGTGCAATTTGGAATTAGAGAAAACAACCAGCTTATTCTGATTTTAGATATAATACAGTAATTTATTTTCAGTATGTATTGACGCAACAAAACAAAAGGAACATTAAATGTAAATAAATTTAAAACTTAAAAAAAATATAAATCTCATGGTCGAAATTCAATTATTGGGCGAAAACTAGTTATTAAAAATACACTCACTTCTTTTGTATACATCCATCGTAGGAGCTGAAAACATTGTCTGCAATACTTTTGTCTTCAGAATGCAAGAATGTCGACTAAGCGTCGATAAAACTCGGTCGGTAGGCGAGACTCGTAATTTTCTGCAAAGAAGTAGGTAATTTTATTACTGTAATTACAATATATAAAAAAAAAATAGTATTAGCTTATTGCCTTGTTTATAAATAAAATACTGCACCTTTTCTAAGAGCTATAAAATTGAAACTGAAGTACGTGTCGGTGAGCGCCATGGATCAATAATAAACTTGCCACACCCTAGAAAATTTATAAAAAGTCATTGACGCATGCGCACAAGTAACTTTGACTTTGTAAGCAAAATAAATGTATATAATTGAGAGATTATATATTTTAATTCATTTTTAATAAGTATGTAGCAATATTAATTTTTATTAAACAAAATATCCAGCTTCAATCTCAAACCTAGGTACTTATAATTCAAAAAATGGTAACACTGTTTATATAAAACGACTAGCGCGCCACCTATTGTAGTACCAACTATGACTGCTCAAGGTTTTCGCTCAATCGAAGAAAAATTCTGGAATGTATATAACACTTTAAAAAAATAGATTATGTGGAAATATTGCATGTATGTAGAGTGGGTATAAACCTATTAGTTTTAAGCAGCATTTAAATCCGCATTGTTGGACTGTGAATACAAGTACCCCGGCAACCCCAATGAGAAGTCAAAATTTTCAACCAATTTTAAGTAAAAAACAAACAACGGATGATGATGGGTATTATTTAGGATACCCAGTCTCGATCTATTTAAGACATAGTTTAGACATTTTTTAGCTATCAGACGAGAAAATATAGGATTTTTATCGTCGTTCATAAATAAAGGCAATATTAGATATCGCTGATAATGTTTTAATAAGAGTGTTCAATAAAAAGTGATATTATGTACGACGCAATGTTATTTTATTTTTCGACGTAGTCACCTTTCAGGTTTATCCACTTTGTATATATTTTTTCTAAATCTAAAAATCCCTCTTAAAAAATCTTCCTGATTCCTTAAAAAACGTGTACCGCGGCGACTAGTGCGTCATCTTCACATGCCCCTGAGATGTTCCTTTTACTGCGGAAATAGTAGCTAGGGGCGTAATCTTGGTAAAACAAAACAACTTTAATGAGTTTGCCACCCCGTTGCTTTAGTAGTATTTCCTCATGCAACTTTCTTATTTGTCCTACATACAAAGTCCCCATAATAGTGGCTTCATGACAAAGGTATTCGATCATTGCCACCCTTTGTCTGTCCTGGGAAAAACTGCCCATGATTTTACTTATTCGAATCCTTATATTTATATATAAGGCTTTATATTTCTTCGGAGTTGGAGATGACAGTCTCTTCCAAGTTATGGGGTGATTTTTCGTATCTGGGTCGTAATGGCGACGCCATTTTTGTCCTTAGTTATGAACCAAGCAAATCAGTCAATTTAAGAACACGTTCCGACACGACGCTAACATCATCATCATCATCAAGAGCCCACAGTTGTCCACTGCTGGACATAGGCCTCTCCCAATCCACCCTACTGAGCCCGGTCTATGGCTCTCCTCATCCATTTCTTGCCGGCCACCGTTCGGAGGTCATCGCACCACTTAGCCAGAGGGAGTCCCACGTTACGTCTTCCGCTGCGTGGTCTCCACTCGAGAACCCGTCTGCTCCAGCGATCGTCAGTCCTACGGGATATATGGCCAGCCCACTGCCACTTTAGCTTGCTGACTCTTTGAACTATGTCGATGACTTTAGTTCTCTGTCGAACAACCACATGCCGGATTTTATCCTTCAGAGAAACTCCGAGCATGGCTCTTTGCATGGCTCGCATTATCCCTATTTACTAAAAACCCCTCGTAGGTAGATGTTTAGGTGCACTCCCTTCTGGAGTGTCTTCATTAAAGCAGATTATACCAAACCTCACATCCATTTTCTTTGAAATTGGAGACAACCGACCAAAATAGCTTGGAACGCCGAGATTGTTCCGAGAGAAAATTTTGCAGAATTGAGCGTTCCCATTTCCATATGAACTAGGCGCATAGTCGGCGAGTACTGTTCAAAATCGAGCTTAGTTTTATAAAGCCTAAACGCTATCTCTTGGTGGGTGTTTAACATGTATTTATTTAACGCATGCATAAGTACTTAATGAAACTTTTTTATTTCAGTATTTGGTATCAAATCCTAGTTTCGGATCAAATGATCAGATTGTCACGTGATCTATTTAATTGTTTAAGTTAATAAGTATTAAATAAAGCGTTGACAAAATTAAAGTTGTATTAAAAATAGCGTCAAAGTCGCCTTGTTCATCTCCTTCGAACTTGATCTTCATGCAGGACTGATGCGTTTCTAACATTGAAAATATAACGTAGGCGTTCACAGACAGATACATAAAACTAAAAAAATGCTAGCTTTGAGTTTTATTAGAGTGATTTGCGTAAGCACTGTTGAATCATTTGTTTTTAGTGAATATGCTGGTGTCGTGGCGTGCAACCTCTTTGACAGGACATAAGACCTATAATGACTAGACATAGACAGAATAAGACAGAGATTTGAAAATAATTCGAAAAGAAATGGAACGAGGGCGTACGTGACCAGCGGCAGAGTAGTACATTTTTTGACGTCCTTAAAGAAAGACACAAAAAGACAAAAAAAGAACGAATTGACCGTTCTCATATAAGACAACAATAGAACAAACGACCGTTCAAGTGACCTTCGACCGTTCAGCTGGAAAGAATCATTAGGTTCTTTATTAGGTTGATTAATTAATTGTTTTTAAATTTACTACGCTACCCTATTTATCCGCAAAGTCAAGTGATTTAAGATGGCATCACTGTAGATAGCTTCTGAATCTATAAAGTTCAAATAAAGTTGGTTATTTTATATTATACTTTCATTTATTTTAGTAAATACATAAAAGCTGTAGATAGCGACTTGGCTATGTTCGTGCCATTGCTGATTTGTGGTCAGCATCAGCGACTACTCAACATCCATCATCATGCTATTCTCGTGCTTTCTTACAAGTTAATAAAATCATTAATTTATTGAGAAAAATGTTATAATTTCAGACCACGTATTCCTCACCAAATGGTAAAATTAGAGTAGATACTAGTGCAATCGCTCAATACTTGCAACGGGCAATGACCTAAAGCGTGTCTGGATTCTGCGCACTAACTTTTTACTATTTACAAAGTACTCTAGATAGAACGTCTATCTCACAGATGGGTTTAACTCTAGGCTCCCCAGCTTCAGGGAACATGACGCCATTTTGTGTTTTCATACAAAATGGCGTCTGCCGCCGATGTCATCGATTATTATCTATTCCAGACTTTTCTAGAATTTCAGTTTGGTTACATGTTCTTAATTACCCATTCACGATAGTTAAAATAGGAATATTGTACTTTATATTATTTTATTGTTAATTTTTACCCACTCCTTCACTTGGGTAAATGTAGAAAAAATTTATACCTTTTTTTTCTGGATAAAGAATTTTATTTTCTGGTCTACTAAAACGCGTATGCTAAATTTCATAATAATCCATGACTACCATTAAAACGTGAAAGCGTAACAAACAAACAAAGTTATTTTCGCCATACAGTATTGTAATAAGTCTTAGCAATGTGAGACATCTACTATAATTCTTATATTGATTATTATTTTTTATATTATGACATTATAATTCTTTTAATTCGGTTTTTTTCATTATTGCCAAAGAGAAAACAAAATTTCAGCTTTCGTTAATTATAACATGCACGCGTGTAACAAAAGTAACTTAGATGTGCCGGTCAATTGTTTCGTACTTTGCTAGGGTATAGTGTGGGAGGTGTAACGAACGAGAGGAACGAGCTTAAGGCCTACAAGTATTGTTGATCGAAGCTGACAAGATTTTAAATGTTAGAATCAATCCAAAAACAATCTTAGCAATGAATTCGAAGGCTGAATGATATAGTTAGTATAACGGCCGCATTGTGAATAAAGAACTATTTATTTATTTAAGTTTTCCAACAAAATAAATTATTAAACATAATACAATTGTTTTTATTACTGAAATGGTTCTTAGCCCTCAATTACAGGAAAACACAGAATTATAATCTTCTTAGTCTCCACCTTATCCCACTATGTGGGTTCGGCACAGCGAATTTTTCTATTCCATTCTCCTCTGTTAGCCGTCATCTCAACACAGAATTATAATAATCAGTACGTAATACGTAAATATTAATATTTTAAGTTAAGCTTTGTCAATTATTTAGTCGTGTGTTTAGAAGTTATTTATTGTTTAGAAGTCATCATGGCCTAAAAAGACGCCCGCTGCAATCGTATCAAGTGATGCATCGGTGTTCTTTTTTCCCCTCTAGCTATTCGCAGTAGTCTCCAGCTACGCCCGGACGGGTAGATGAGCTCACGGGCTCAACCTGAGAGAATTTGCTAACATTAGCCCTAGCAAGAGTAGTGCTTCGCGGAATCTACTGCCGGATCGGAATCGCGACCCACTGAGAAGATCAGGCGAGAAACTCAGTGGGCTGTGTTAGCTGTGGTCTGGGTTAGTTCGCTCGTCGAACTATTCGTCGTAGTCGACGAGTTCGACGAGGACAGTGACTAGTGCTTGAGAGGCCTAAAAGCACCGAGAGTGAATCCAGGGGATTCGGTGCCGCTTTGTCTTTGTCGCGTTCAGACGCTTAAAGAAGCGCCAGAACGCTACTTCGATACTTACGTATCGGTACTTGATTTAGGTCGTCGTGAAGATCTACATTCACATAACACGGTGTTCCGACGGCTATCCGCAGAAACGGGATAGGATGACCTGGAGACAGTTAATTTGTGTACGTATACAAGTTTTGTAGAGTGCCACCTTGTTATGAAGGGACAATTTACTTCGCTTGCAGATCATGGGGTAGAGTTGACCGAGTAGGAACGCGACTCGGTGGCGTATTGACTTAATGTGGGGCCAGAATGACATCTCCCTGTCGAGGGTGTCGAGATCCGCCTAAGTACTTAGTCTTCGAAGCCCGCGATAACGGCTGGCCAAAGATTTTTATGGAGCTACCGCACCTAATTGGTGACGAGATACTAGCATTAGTATCGAGAGGGCAATTGGTGTTCGAACCCCGCATGCAGGTACCAATTTTTCTGATGAAATACGTTCTTGTTAATTGTTCACGATTGATTTCCACGGTGAAGGAATAACATCGTATAATAAAAATGAAACCCGCCAAAATGTAATTTGTGTAATTACTGGTAACATCGTGTGACTTGTGAGTCCACACGGGTAGGTTACCCACACGGGTAAACTTCGGTTTGAAAGGGTGGGCACCCGTTTTACTGTAAAAACGGAGACCTAAGAACTCATGTCTCGAGGTGGGTTGCGGCATTTACGTCGTAGGTGTCTATTAGCTCCGGTAACCACTTAACACCAGATGGGCCGTGAGGTTGTCCACTCACATGACCCAAAATTTCAGTAATGTCAAATTCGGAGCCTATATAATTCTACATAAAATTTAGTTTAAACCTTGAAATCAGATAAGACTACCATACCTCACTTTCTTATCAGAGATGGAGACATGAGTCACGGCCACCGCATTATCCATAAACAATATAAAGCAACTGCCGCACAAACCTTGGGACTAGACTTGGGGCTATCCCTTCAAAATGGGAGGCACGAGGATTATGCGGCAGTATCAGTCAAGTTGTTTCTACCACCGGCATTCACAAAGTTCCTATGAGCGAAAACTGTCATTGTAAGCTGACAGAATTTAGACATTCTAGATTTTACCTTCGTGTAAGTTTTTATTCCCGTAACGAGCGCTAGGAAAGTTTTAAACTTATTTAATTATCATATTTCTATGTTCGTATCTTCGAGAGAGATTGGACTTCTAATGTTAGTAATGTGGTTTTTGCGCATGGTTTCTGCCCTTATCATTTTGTAAGAGACCCGTGTATTGATCCGTTGTAACGCGTAAGCTACCAACTTACTTTTAGGGATTCACGTCAGAACAGTGTAGGTCCCCCTCGTTTTAAGTTGCCACCGTGGTATACGTACTCATTGTGAGTATTTTTTTTTTATTTTTTTATTCTAAGCTTACATTAAAATATATATTTTGTGAATGCTTTATCTGTGCGATACGGAATGCAGTTTTTGCTTATTAAGCTATTGAATTATATTGAATTATGATAACGGGTATGCATATACTCACTCGCTGGCGATTTTTATTGTTAATAATTTTTGACACGGAAGCGCATCGTAGCGTATGCGTAGAGTGCCATGGATTTTTTTATTAATGCTATAGGTGCTATAACTAATACGTGTGCGAATATAAAACGTGCGAAGCTCAAACCAAGCCTTAGCCAGACGAAAATATCGATCGAAAGGAAGGAACGTCCTGCGATTGCAAATTTGCGAAGTGCATTAAGTTTTCCTAGCTAAGCGTTTTCAGCTTTATCATATAATATTAAGAGCTGTTTTCGCTCGTCAACCTTAGCCTTACAAACATGAAAAGATTTAAAATTGCAGATGTAATAAACATTTTGTTTTTTCGTAATATAAGCGCTATTATTGTGCCCTTATCATTTAGCGCTGAAAGTAAGACATGAGTATCGATAATAAGTAAGCTATGAACTTACTTTCAAGAATTTATACCAGAACTCTATTAGTAATCGAAACTTTGGCTTGGTAATTATTATGTATGAATAATTTCTCACTGCATTCGGGTCCGCATCTTGCGATTTTTTTATATATTTATTACAACCTCGAAAATACCTCCTTAGACAGTACCACGCTTATAATTAATAGTGATTATTAATAACAACTATTCTAGACATATATCATGGCGCGGCATATTAAATAAATTCACCAATTTTTACATAAAATGTTGTGACTATGCGCAAAATCCAAGTAGACACCCAGACTAAAATATCGAGCGGCTGCTCGCCACCCCTTTGCAACCGCCGCCATCGCGCCATCGCTTGGTGAACAAATATTTTAGATGTAGTGTAGTATTTATCTATATTATTATGTACATTGTATATGGCGTATTAATAATATAAATACATTTTGAAGAAAAAAAACTTGTACATATCATTGCATGTAAATAAATGTATTTAGTGCGTTTTGAAAATTATCTCGTTTATTTTTACACTTAATTGAAATAGTTCAGATATCGGTTAAAAAGTTATAGCATAGTGATTTATAATTTACCTAACTAAATATGCTAAGCCCTTTCTATAAGTTATATTTTATTATGTTGTTTGAAACTGAAGTAATCTTTTAAATGATATATGCGAAATTTTTGTACGGAATCAACTTCTTTCCATTACATTTGGCATAGTAGACTATTTTATACTACACAATATAATATGCGTATAATATAATATGTGATACATGTGAAACGAATGACGCACAATTTAATATTTCCTAAGCGTATTGGCCGTTAATGCGATTTCCAGTAATTTCTCTGAACTTTTACACCAAATAAAAGAATATTCATAAATTGCGAACAAGTTCTGCATAGCGCTTGTGTTTCTTAAAATTACTTGTAAATTATTCACGTCTGATTATTTAAAAGATACAAGCAAATTTAAATTCGGTTTTGATTCAGTGACTATGTGATAGATCATTCGAAATCCAGTAGGTATATAAATAATAATTATTATTAGTTAGTGAATATTGTATATAAGTATATTGTAAGGCCATGCAAGCAATCCCTGACGGACCCGTTTCGCTTGTTTTACAGATCAACAGCTGCATCAAACAGGAATAATAATGTAACAATAATAGGAATTGTCAGTAAATGCAGATACAAAAGCAATATACCGGTCATGTCCCTTATATTTCCGAAGGGATTTTAAGTAGAGGTATGTTTTTTCTTTATATTATTTTTTCCATAGTCGTGGGAATGAGCTCATGGCCTGCCTGATGTGTTATGGTTAGCGGCACCTATAGACGTGACAATATGATTGCCGTACCTATCTTGAGGTCTAATGAATATGAGATCCAAGAAGAAAATGTAAACATTGTCCGTAGTACCATGCAATAAACTATTACGGCGCAAATGAATTCTCAAAAATTATATCCTCACAAAAACTTCATAAAAATGTACGTTTCTATGAGTTTACGACCGACACACAATATATTGGTCGTCTAAATCGAGGAAATAATATTAGGTACATTTTACGATAAAGCCTGTCACTTCTGCTGTAAATTAGATTTTTTACATTTAGTCTATAACTAATATGTGGCTCCTCGCTTCCCGGCTATTTATTTAATATTATCTGAATGCAAAATTAATTGTACGTACAAAGGATGTTCAATTGTGGCGCAAGAAATATTTAAACGTAATAGAACTGATGATAAATGGGATCGTGACCTTCAGAAGAAAATATTGCTGTCTTATATTTATTGAAGGAAATGCTGTGAATTTTTGTATTTGGCTATTATAAATTGTGATTTTTTCAATCACGAAAATTGCGATCACAAAATGGCGTCTAATACTCGAAACCCGTCCCACGCACAAGTATTGATTATGTCTGGAACGCTCCAGAACCCCCTAAGTTTACAACTACGCATGCGTCTACAGAACTTTCTGGAAAATTTCCGTTCCCCTTGCCCTAGGGGGTGAGTATAGTTTATAAGCGTCGTCTGCGGGACCGCTTCTTTCACTGCTAGCTCAGCTGTCATTCTGTAAGATTTAGTTATTTTAATTTCGATTTTATTTTAAGTAGACAATTTTATTTTTCATCTTTTTCATCGGTTAAAACATGAATTCGAAGGTAAATTTCAATTTTCAAATTTCAACTTTCTCGTCATCTATGAAAATGAAAGACTTATGAAAATGTATTTTATAATTACTAATGCATTTTTTTCTTTTACAGAGATCCAGCCTGCAAAACCGACACTTATCTCCTTTTGAAAATAAGATGGTCTGTCCGAGTCGACGACATTTCAAATGTAAGTAGGTATCATGTTTTTATTTGAGGGCTAATTATTTTCGTTGAAAAAAACCCAATGCATTTGGATAAAACAAAATAATGGCGTTACATTATAATACAACATGGCCATTTTTTACAGATGGACATTGTTTTAACAATGAACTGAAACACGGCTGCTTGCACAGATCAACTGTAGAATGTTAAAAAATGAGGTGTATTTACGACTAGATCTTTCTTTCTTGACTGAGAGCAGAAAATATCCAGACGGCTGAGTTATTTGATAATAACCCTCTTCACCATGATTAGAATTTAGAAGTCAAGAGTCATGTTTGAATACTCAGGGTTTTAAACGGTAACATGGCCGTGCGGTCTCCGGCTGAATAGAATAGAACCGACCCTCTACTGTCTAAGGGTGTCGTAAAAGGCGACTAATGACTTTGCGGGGGAAACCAACATCGCATCGGTGGATTCGTACGACTCGGATTGGGGTATAATGTTTTCATAATGATTTTTAAACTATCATTTTGTATTTTCATTTACTGTTAAATTAAAAGTTCTATCGTCGCGTTAGCTTTATGTGGGATTACTCGCTTACTTTGAAGTTGATTTTATCATTATAATCCTATCCGGACTGCGAGTGCAATCTCGCATGTCTGCGATGAACCCGAATCTACATTTGTGCCCAAGGCGAGGACGGAGTCCGGTCGGGTGACTCTAATAAAAATAGTTAGTTCATGCCACTGTATGTAGGTCGAGCCTCTCGGGGTTCCCTCAAGACTCTTCCGGACTTGAAAGCTATCTGTATCCCCCTACTAGGCGTCTACAGCCTAGGTCACATTCCTTCGACTCTCCTGGTTATAGAGGATTGAGACAGGAGTGTGATAGCTACCAATGTGCAACATTTATCACATTGCATATTCGTTGTGTATTTAGTTCGTCTGCTGTTCACGGGCGCAGTGTGCTTTCTGGCTTATGTGCTCGTAACAGCCACGTCATTATTGAAAGTTAAAACGATAAACACAATGTTAAAATATGAATGAGGAATGTTGCACCTCACGAAGTGGGTACGCATGAACGTCGCCAGCACGGCATCTCATAGATGACAATGTTATGTACGTTGACTATATTTTCTCTAAATCAGGCCGGTATACCTTCTTGACGTTTATTATCGTTTTCGAATATGTTCTTTTTACATTTTCATCTATGAGGGATTTTTATTCAGTATGCTAGACAGTCGGCGGTGTGTACCTGCTACGTGACTTCGTTAATGTTTGCAAGGGATTTAATGGTGTTGATGTTACATAATTATGAGAGTACAATGTTAAGTTTAACGTTGCTATGTACCTCGTTAGTTATTGTATGTACTGTGATTTAAGATCTTTCTCCGATTTTTGTCTTTATTGTATATTTAGATTCGTTTCGTTTTGTAAGTTTTTACTGATTTGCAATTTTCGTTAGTTAATGTTCGTATTTTAAGTTCTTTTAGTTCGGGGTGTAAGTGACTCTACCTAGACCTTTTGAGTCAAAGCCAACCTCTCCTGCCCGCGGCGCACCCTGCCGACCAACGAACGAGGCTCTGGCGGAGGCGTGGTCGCACAAGAACCGACAACTCAGGTTCCATTGACCGCAAGCAACAAACATCATCGAGCGCGCGACCACGTCAACTTTTTTTTTTCTTTTCGCTACGCATTTGGCAAGTGTTTTTGTAACAGTTTTGTACACTTCCTTAATGCGTATTTTTAATAATAATAATATATCGTAGATTTATGTGTAAGATTAATAATAATATTGCTGTCATTTTATGTACTCGCCCATAAATATTAAAGTGGGGTTTTAAAATGATGCACTTTGCAAATATTATAGGTTCTCAAGGCCGATTTAGATGTAAGTTTTCAATATCTTTGTCATTTTTAATATAATCTAAGAATCCATTATTATAATGTGGATACCTAGCTATCTGTAGGCCGATTTACATTAAGATTTTGATATTTGTGTCATTAATAATTATTATGATTAGTATGTATCCATGTTTCTGAAATGGAGTTTAGTATTTGGAACAATACTTATGGGTAAATGTGAACGGCTTTTGGTATACAACTCGTTCTTTACTTCTTCATATTTATATTATAACTACATATCTAATCAATTTGTCTGAACAATTTACTTAATCTCACGTATTTACGGATTTCCTTAAAAACGTATTTGTGTATCTTAACCGTAGAATTAAATTGGTGTGTAGTGAAAACCGATGTTTTATTTAATACCCTCGAAGTTTTGAAATGTCGTCATTAAATTTCATTTATAAAAAAAAACGAACTAATACAAATCGAAGTTGTGCTTCTTCTGTTTACGTTTATCCTTATAAACATTATTAAGGTGAATCAAACCTTCCTTTGGCGTTTGGCCTTTGTACTTCGATACCATTCGTTCCTTCGATACTTCATAAAAAAAAATCCTAGCAGCCTTATGTTGAATGCGTTGAGGCATGGTTTGGCATCCCCTCGCGGCGTGCTATGCCCAGAAAGAGAGTAGTGGTAGAGTAGTACGCTGTGTGGCGACAGAGTGATAACTCACATCACCACTATTAGTCAAAACGTATCCTCTTCTAGCAATAGTGGCCCTAGACTATACCAGACAAGTTTTTTTTATTGCTTAAGTCGGTGGACGATCTCACAGCCCACCTGCTGTTAAGTGGTTACTGGAGCCCATAGACATCTACAACGTAAATGCGCCACCCACCTTGAGATATAAGTTCTAAGGTCTCAAGTATAGTTACAACGGCTGCTCCCACCCTTCAAACCGAAACGCTATACTGCGTCACGGCAGAAATAGGCAGGGTGGTGGTGGTACCTACCCCGCGCGGACTCACAAGAGGTCCTACCACCAGTAAAAACAAAGTCTCTTTATTGCTTTTCTAGGTAGACAAACGGAGCAGCAGACTTTACAGACATGCACGAGAAAGGTCTTGTCATAGCGCTCGGATTAAAAAAAAGAGACAAAAACAGTATCTCGCAATGCTCGATGGCAAAATAGAATTGTTGGAGATGGTCCTATCCTCTCAAACAACTCTTCAGAGCACTCCCTATGGAACATCCGATACAAAGATACAGAGAATAGTCCTTCCTTAGTCCCAGCTGTTCCAGAAGATCCGTGAAAACAGGATCATCGACATTTCGAACGTTCTTTTTCTGTATAGAGTCAAATGGAACTAGTTAGTAGCTTTACTTTCCTATTGACACGTATACTGAACGCTGTTTGAAATATCAATGATTGGGATTTTTGATCGTGAAATGGTCAAGAAACCCAATACTCTTGGAAAGTTACAGGGATACTCCACGGAATCGCGGCGCTGTGACAGAGGAGTCCTTCTTCCCGGTGACCGCGCAAATCTTCAAAAGTTTGAATAGAACTAAAATAGACTAGAAATAGAATAGAATAGAGAAAACTAGAAATAGAACTAAATTGGTACGCGGGGAATTTATGACGATCTAGATGTTATTATATGAAGGCAGCGTTAGAACACTTCTTATGGCTAGATAGTTCCCTTATTGTAATCATATTTGACTACAACCTAGACTCTGCATACGCAGCAGTTAACTACCATTCTTCACTTAAATATATCCTGAGGGATCCACCTGAACTACTCTTGGTGCAATTGGATGCTACTAGTTTTAGCGCAAGCAGCAAAACCAAGTTACTCGTACACATAAAATTTCTTGATGAATTCCATCTAACACGTAGCCCATAATATCAGCGTGATCTCATTGAATCTTCTTAGTCGATCGCAATTCCGATCCAATGACAGTAGCATTCGCTAAGTATTCTAAGTATTCGCTAAGTATTCGCTAAGTATTCGCTAAGTATTCGCTAAGTTCCTAATAATTTCTACTTATAAGCACAAATTGTGAAGTCGAGGGCTACCCACTGAGTTTCTCCCCGGATTTTCTTAGTGGGTCGCGTTTCCGATCCGGTGGTAGCTTCTGCGAATTTCTGCTCTTGCTAGGGCCACACAACAAGCAAGGTTAGCAACACTTCCGGTTTTGGCCTCGTGAGCTCACCTACCTGTCAAGGCGAAGCTAAAATAGTCACTCAAAACTATCAGCATAGGTAAGTAAAAAAAAGTGTAGTCGGGAAGGCCTCCGGGCCACAAGCGAATCCTCTGACTAGGTAACAATAAAGCACGTCTGTTTGTTAAGTCACAGAGCTAACGACAACGATGTTATATACCGTAGTAAACAACAGTATGTTGTGAGGCCACGTTGGATCACCACTGTAGCAATAACCTTTGAGAAAAACAAATTTGGGACCTGTTCCAAGACACTTTGGATACAGATTTAGGTGGTAGGGCGTATTTTAGCTAAGAGCAGGTAGGTTCAACCATTCTGCGTTGTGCATGTGTTCCGGCTTGAAGGGTGGGGCAACTGTAATGTAATTGCAATATAATTGGAGCTTCGACCTCATGATATATTCATGGTGGCATTCAGGTTATGGTGTCTATGTTCTACGGCAATTAATCTATAACAATGTCGGGTAATCCGGGAACTTCAACATACCCCATTATAAAAAAAATAGGATGTTTTTTTTATAGGATTTTATGACCTGGTAACTAAGACCTTTAAGTCATGTCTTATTTTAATTGATATTCTTATTTTTATGAAAAATTATAATATGGAGTGAAATGAAATGAAATGAAGATGATTAATTTGAGATCAATTCGGATGAAATTAAATAAAATGAGATGAGATGCTATGGGTTGAAATATAATCTCAGTAAAATAGTGGTTATTTACTGAAAATTTTCAGTGGACTTTTTGGAGCATCCCGAGAAGCTACGTCCAGTGGCTTTGTTTCATTTTTCCCACATATGTGCATTTTCACAGATATTAAACAGTGAATAAACCACCGTTATTCACATTTAAACCTGAAGAAACACTAAATAGACAAAATAAAATAAATCACACAACTTCACTTCTCGCGTTCCCGCCAAAAAGTCCAACTACGATAGTTGCAAGCTCTACGGTGTTGCCAATAAATGAAAAAAAAAACAACGTATATCGTGATTTTTAGATTTTCATTTTAACTGGTTGTATAAACCGAAATAAAATGACTTTAAAATTATGTTCAATAATCAGTAGCAACTGTCATTGAAATTAACAAAACTTGTAAGAGCAAGTTTATTTGTTAACGAAATACAATGTTTGATTGAACTATTACTATTATAATCTACAACTTATTTTAGAGTTGATGATGAAAGAGAGTGGTGATTCAAGGTATATCTAGTTAATATTTATATTACATTCCATGTGAAAAAATCATATTATTGTGACGAATGAAACCAAAAATTCTCTTTTTTTTATTTCTTAGATGGGTGGACGAGCTCACAGCCCACCTGGTGTTAAGTGGTTACTGGAGCCCATAGACATCTACAACGTAGCTGCTGTCACCCACCTTGCGATATAAGTTCTAAGGTTTCAGTATGGTTACAACGGTTGGCCCACCCTTCAAACCGAAACGCCATTACTGCTTCACGACAGAAATAGGCAGGGTGGTGGTACCTATCCGCGCGGACTCATAAGAGGTCCTACCACCGGTGAAAAATATACTCTAGCTCTGGCATACTTTGATGGATCGTAATGCGCTTGCGTCAAATGAATAAGCTAGGGTGTGGCGAGTAAGCATGGGTACGTCGAGTAGCACGAGTAAAACCGCTCTTTTATAAGGTACATTTTTTAGCTATTCAATAATACATTAAGCATAATCTGTTTCTTAAAATTGTATTAATGTTATGCATTTTACAGGAAACAAAAAAAACAGCTATCAATTGTTGCTGTTCCTAGAGATGTCTACATTCAGACTCAAATATTATAGAAGATTGAAATCCAAGATAAAAGTGAGTTATTTTTGTTATTTGGACAGTTACTAAAAAACGAATCAATTCAGTATTTAGAGACAAAAAAATTTTTTTAACCTTTTAAATTTTCTCCTATTATGTTAAAAATTTCATTGTTTTTGGGCAAAAATGTATCCAGGCAATATTCTAGTAAAATATTACTCGAATTAATAATAATAATATTTTAAATGAAATAATTTTGTTACATTTTCAGGTATTTTATGCTCTTCAAGAATCACTTGGAAGCGGCGTGTAGATAAAGTATTCAATCTCAAATTAGATGACAAGAAAGAAGAATTGCGGTATGGATTTTATAGTCAGCAATTTGTTAACATTGTCTTTATTCTTAAAATAATAACAATTCAGGGAAACAAGAATCATTCAGTAGAACGTACGAAACAAAATTTATTAGTACAAGTATTTTTTTACTTAGTACCATTATCATGTACCTATTATAATTTTTGTAATATCTTTTTTAATGTCACTTGTAATACGTGCATACAAATAGAATGTAAGTAGCAATCTGTATAGAACTTCATTTGGTTTATGTTAAGGTTAGGTTTGATTAGATGTTAGAATGTATTGTTGTTAAATTACGAACGTTTAATTATTACGTCTATAGTTTTATGAAAAATTGTTTTTAGTTAGGGGTGTAAGTGGCTCTTCCTGGACCTCTTGAGCCAAAGTCAACCTCTCCTGCCCGCGGCGCACCCTGCCGACTAGCGAACGAGGCTCTGGCGGAGACGCGGCGGACTCAGCTCCGCGTGTCACTCGTGCTCAACAATAACAACAAGCCGAGTGCACCATCACGTCTCTAGTTTATTAGTTATTTTTTATGTATTGGTTAGGTCTGTCCAGGTCATGCGAACGACGAATAATACTTCAATGATACTTATTAGTTTTAAGTCTTCTAATATCTTATTTAATTATATTATATTGGAGCAGCTACGTTAGTCATGTAGGTCTCAGGATTAAGAATATATGTACTTTGGTAAAATTAGCGTAATACTGTTATTGGTGTGAATTATTCCATAATCTCTAGTTGTAAACCGTTTTCAATTACAGTGTCACATGCACATTTAGTTACAATATAATTACATATTTAATCGTTCTAGTATTATATTCCAATCAATTAAATTAATTCATCTTATAAATTTTATTCAATATCTTTGTGTGTATTTAATCTTAGAACAAGTAAACTGAGGTGTCGTAGTAGTAATGTTGTGTTTTATTACTGAATCCTTAGCTTAAAGTGGACGGATAAGCTGCAAGACTCGGTTTTTGCACTTGTTCCCGCTGGTTACATGGTATCGCTAGAATCCTCGTGGAAATTTGTGGGATTGTTCGAATTCTTTCAGCAGGACTACAATTTTCGCACATGTCATTTTCTTCTCTTCTTTTGCCAGTGTGGTCCTCGTTCAAGATTCCACTTGAGTTTCATAGAAATTGTTAAAATATATTTATCACAGAATTCAGAATACAGCCGTCACATGGGCTTTGAAGACATTGGCAAAGTACCCAAGATGACGAAAATTCTAGCCTGGGTTCGCTGGCTACATAAATGAGTCCTCGCTTGAACCTTCTTCCTTTAACCACCACAATAGGTGGAGGAAAGGTCGATGTTCTTCTTTTCGGCGCGTTCTATAATTCCAATTCTGCGCATGTTCATTTTCAAGTTGTACTCCGTATTATCGCCCTTTCAAGGCTTCCTTTAAATACACTACAAAATATTGATTAATCTCTAAGATCTTTATAAAACATATCTACCTAGTCAGGTCATAAATTCTGTCACATGTTTAATGTAAAATAATTGAAACAAGTTTATTCATTATGTAACCATTCATATACCAAAATGAACTTAACAAAACATAGATTCTTATGACACTAAAGTTTATTCAAAATGACCTCCGTGATTTTGAATACAGGCCTTCAATCTGCGCGGCCAGTCGTCTATCGCAGCACGAACGAGGTCCATGTCAATATCGGCGGCTGCCTTAATCAAGGATGTCTTGAGTGACTCCAAATTGGGATGAGGCTTTGAGCACGCCTTTTCCTCCAAGTGTTGCCATATCTTGTAATCTAACGGATTCAAATCTGGACTGGAGGAGGGCCAGTCTTCGTGCCGGATGAAGTCGATTTCACGCGCCGCCAGCCAGTCTTGTGTGCTCTTCGCTCTATGAGCTGGCGCCGAATCTTGTTGGAATACCCAGTGCCTGTTATTGAACATGGTATGAGAAACAGGTTCCACAAGGTTCGTCAGGACTGTATTTTGATACACAACTGCATTCGTTTTTACACCTTTCTCACAAAAATGTACCTCTGTTAAGCCCCAATAAGAAACTCCCAACCATACCATGAGCGAGGATGGAAAATGACCTCGTTGGACACGCGGAATACGGTTGCTCGCTTCTTCACTACTGTGTGCGTACACCTTATCATTTTGTTTGTTGTAGCTCTCTTCTACGGTAAAAATTTTTTCATCCGAAAAAAGAATTTCCCGATATTTTTTTCCCGCGTACCGCTTCAACAAAGCGCGGCATCTCTTCAGTCTCAGGTCCATTAGACGAGCATTCAAACGATGTCCTGTTTTTCTTCGATATGCCCGAAGCCCTAAGTCTTCATTTAACACCCTTTTCACCGTGGTTCTGCTTAACCCCATCTGAAGGGCCAACAGTTTCTGCTTACGTTTGGGATTTCTTTGAATTCGCGCCTTCACAGCTTTTATCACTGCTGGAGTCCTAACAGACCGAGGGCGACCACTTCTTGACCTGTCATCTACACTAGAGTCTTCATTGTATCGTTTGATGGTACGATAAACGAATCTTTTGGTTATATTCAAATTTTTCAGTATGTTAAAAATTTGAATTGGCGCGTAACCGCAACGATGCAACGCAATAACTGCAACACGGTCTTCTTTAAGCGTCCACTCCATATTTAAAAATGAGTAAAATTCTAAAAGTATACATTTTTATTTTCATGAACAATTCGAAATTCGAATTCAATAAACTTTTTTGTGGCCAGCATTCTAAAAGAAAAGTTTTTACTGTGTGACAATACTTATGACCTGACTAGGTATATATGTAAAAATGAATTGCTGTTCGTTAGTCTCGGTAAAACTCGAGAACGGCTGGACCGATAGGGCTAATTGGTCTTGAATTATTTGTGGAAGTCCAGAGAAGGTTTAAAAGGTAGATAAATATGAAAATGCTCGGAATTAAATAAAAATTACAATTTTGTTTTTCCTTTGATGTGTCCCCCGTCGGACGGATTCCTTTTGTTTGTTTTAAGTTTAATTTTACACAAAAGCTTAAGTCTTTTATTTATCGATTGAGGCACTATAAAGTCTGCCAGGTCAGCTATTTTTAAAAATATTTCTTCCGTGCGTGTGTTCGTCACTGTACTCCTACTAAGCGGCTCGGCCGATTTGAATGATTTTTTTGTATGCATTTTGGTGGCATCCTGGATGGTTTATATTCACAAATCAGCCCGGCAGATGGCGCTGCAGTCGATATCTACGTTATTTAACTTCCCTAGAAATAATTTAAATGGAAAAATAACGTTTGCCGGGCCATTTAGTATTATATGTGTATTGGTCGGTCTGATGCTGGTGTGCGCGTCACTCCGCAGGTACCGGCGGAAGATCAGCGCCGCAGTACCGATTATTTCGTTACTGTTAGGCATTGCTGAGCCAGTAACCGTTTCCAAGCCTCGTTATTTTTGTTATCTTTTTTATTTATTTTTTGTACTTAATTTGTGTTTGGAATAAATGTTTATTATTATTATTATTATTATTATTATATAAAAGTTTCCTCTTATATATTTAGGTATAGAAATTAAGAGCTTTGATGGAAGTAAAGTAAACAGTCCTGGACACGTCTTCTACCGTTACATAATTTGAGTCGACTAGTATCAAAGCCGGCAATGTGACTTTTGGACAATTATTGGTAAATCAGAAAAACGAATTATTGACTTTGTATTCCATTGGCAGCCACAAAACTCTTCTGAACGACATCTTAGATAAATAACAGGTTAAGTATTAACCTTTATTTAATGCAGGTTTTGAACCGTATTCTTTGAAGGAGACGATTATATTCAAATCAANGTCGACTAGTATCAAAGCCGGCAATGTGACTTTTGGACAATTATTGGTAAATCAGAAAAACGAATTATTGACTTTGTATTCCATTGGCAGCCACAAAACTCTTCTGAACGACATCTTAGATAAATAACAGGTTAAGTATTAACCTTTATTTAATGCAGGTTTTGAACCGTATTCTTTGAAGGAGACGATTATATTCAAATAATCTGTATTGACATATCAATAACATTTTTTTGTTCAAATGCACAGATTGCCACCTTTGATAATAGACGCCTCATTTATTTACCATTAAATGAAGTTATTTTTTGAACGGAACTAAAGACAGATTCAATCTACAACCCTTCTTGTGCATTGAACCAAACCTGTTCAAGGGGTTCTCAGACTTTATATTGCATCAGTGACTGCAACAAGCCCGTACCACCTGTGTTCAATGCTATATTTATATTTTAAAAACTAAAGACCCGCCATTGCTTCCCTTCGGAAACAATAAATTTTATTATTGATAGCTGAGTCCCGCGACGTTACCCGCGGCTATCATCGTACCGTGGGTGACGCCGCAGGGCGAAGCTAGTCTAAAAAAAAGTAGCTTAAGTTACTCTTATATCATCAACTACCTGTTAGTGTAAGTCCTGTCAAAATCGGTCCAGCCGTTCCAGAGATTAGCTGGAATAAACAGACAGACCGACAGACAAAAATTGTAAAAAATGTTATTTTGGTGTATGTACCGTATATACCTAGTCAGGTCATAAATTCTGTCACATGTTTAATGTAAAATAATTGAAACAAGTTTATTCATTATATAACCATTCATATACCAAAATGAACTTAACAAAACATAGATTCTTATGACACTAAAGTTTATTCAAAATGACCTCCGTGATTTTGAATACAGGCCTTCAATCTGCGCGGCCAGTCGTCTATCGCAGCACGAACGANAAGTTTATTCAAAATGACCTCCGTGATTTTGAATACAGGCCTTCAATCTGCGCGGCCAGTCGTCTATCGCAGCACGAACGAGGTCCATGTCAATATCGGCGGCTGCCTTAATCAAGGATGTCTTGAGTGACTCCAAATTGGGATGAGACTTTGAGCACGCCTTTTCCTCCAAGTGTTGCCATATCTTGTAATCTAACGGGTTCAAATCTGGACTGGAGGAGGGCCAGTCTTCGTGCCGGATGAAGTCAATTTCACGCGCCGCCAGCCAGTCTTGTATGCTCTTCGCTCTATGAGCTGACGCCGAATCTTGTTGGAATACCCAGTGTCTGTTATTGAACATGGTATGAGAAACAGGTTCCACAAGGTTCGTCAGGACTGTATTTTGATACACAACTGCATTCGTTTATACACCTTTCTCACAAAAATGTACCTCTGTTAAGCCCCAATAAGAAACTCCCAACCATACCATGAGCGAGGATGGAAAATGACCTCGTTGGACATGCGGAATACGGTTGCTCGCTTCTTCACTACTGAGTGCGTACACCTTATCATTTTGTTTGTTGTAGCTCTCTTCTACCGTAAAAATTTTTTCATCCGAAAAAAGAATTTCCCGATATCCTGTTTTTCTTCGATATGCCTGAAGCCCTAAGTCTTCATTTAACACCCTTTTCACAGTGGTTCTACTTAACCCCATCTGAAGGGCCAACAGTTTCTGCTTACGTTTGGGATTTCTTTGAATTCGCGCTTTCACAGCTTTTATTACTGCTGGAGTCCTAACAGACCGAGGGCGACCACTTCTTGACCTTTCATCTACACTAGAGTCTTCATTGTATCGTTTGATGGTACGATAAACGAATCTTTTGGTTATATTCAAAATTTTCATTATGTTAAAAATTTGAATTGGCGTGTAACCGCAACGATGCGACGCAATAACTGCAACACGGTCTTCTTTAAGCGTCCACTCCATAATTGAAAATGAGTAAAATTCTAAAAGTATACATTTTTATTTTCATGAACAATTCGAAATTCGAATTCAATAAACTTTTTTGTGGCCAGCATTCTAAAAGAAAAGTTTTTACTGTGTGAAAATACTTATGACCTGACTAGGTATATGTATATTCATATGCAAGTAGTAAGAAGCGGTTATTTCAATATTACAAACAGACACTCCAATTTCATTTGTATGTATGTATAGATAATTAGTTACGTTATAAAAAATGCCTAGCGCAACATTTTAATATTTTAGGGTCCCTGATTTAACTTTTATGTATGCATCCAGCTTCTGGCGCTTGATTTACACCTTTATTGATTATGTCTGAGAAGATTCTAGACTAAAAGGGGGTAGGGGAGGGGGACGGTGTTACTCTGACGGAAACGCGCATGTGCAGTTCGAACATTCTGGAATCTACCTCCTAGGGGTTTCCAGTGTTTATAAGCATTTTCACCCGCACCACTTCCCTCATTGGGATGTTAACTTTTCTAAGGTTACGTAGGTTATTTTTATGATCCGTTGCAAATTAATTACAAATATGTACATATATATTATTATAAAATATAATTATCCCAAAATCATAATAAACTAATATTACAGACTTTGTTTGTTTCAGCCAGCAATTCACATTCATAATTCATTATGGGCACAGAGGAATTGTCATCATGATAAACGAAAAAGTTGAGTGTAATTTTGGATCATTTGGAGTTTTATTTTAAACGATAAACCATGATAGTCATTTGTTAAATTTGATCAACGATGAATTATCTCATGCTATGATTTGAAGTCGATCGTACGAACAAAACAAACCACTATAAAATTAATTATAAAGAGAGTTTCAAAAAATACATCTATCTATACAAGACGTCCACGCAAAATCACTCTACAGCCTGGACTATTACCTCCACTGGAGAGCAAAGTAAGTTCTATGTAATTACTCTTAGATTTACCTAATTCCTGGTCGGAAAGCGTACTGCACGACTACCTACATGGATAGGTACGGCCTATCTACCTATTTCTGCTGCAAAGCGGTTTTGGGTCGAAACATACTTCGGAAAGTTCTTCCACTTTAAAACTGTAACTTTACGGGTGAAAGGGTCCTTTATTAAACAATTAATATTGCGACATCATAATCTATCTTCTAGAGTATAATTCACTTTATGATATTTATTAGCTTCGGTAACCACAAAAAACTCGGCGGCTATAGGTAGGCACTGAATGGAATAAAAAAAAAGGTTATTTATTTTCTAATTTCAGAAAACATCATGGCCCCGAGAAATACATCAAGTTCTCTCAATAGCTTAATGGGAAAACGTAAATACGTTTGTAAAATAAATACATTTTTCATCATAATATATGAAACATAATTGAAACAATCAATAAAGGAATCTGACGAGTTAATGACGTTGAACCAAGAATGACAGCAACAGACACGAAGAATGACGTACAATTTCAATTTAATACCCAAAATAATCAGTGCAAATCTAAACTCACAGGAAGTTTATGGGAAAAAATATATAACAGTTGCTAGTTCATATACTCATACAATGTGACAACCAAACATTCTAGATCAATCTAGAACGGTCGAATTCTCACAGACTTTCTTCTGTGCTTTGAACACTGGAAACACGAGTGCGAGACAAAAAAAAATTACTAAGTTACTAACACCGACAGGAATCCGGATACCGTGATACTAGTAAGAATTACAAAATTAGCGAAGTGATTAATAATAAAACAGCCCATGGATTGTATATTTAAAGCTATCTACTACTAGGATTCGTATTGGCAGTCGTGCAATTGTCGGCAACGATATTCTACAGATAAACTAGGGGACCTGACAGAAGTTGTCCTGTACACACGCCTTAAATATACGAGTAATAGAGTAATATAATATATAGGACCTCTTGTGAGTCCGCACGAGTAGGTATTTTATTCGAGCCGCCGGCGCCGTTGTAGCTATATCATACTGGGACCTTAGAACTTATATCTCAAGGTGGGTGGCGCATTTACGTTGTAGATGTCTATGGGTTCCAGTAACCACCTAACACCAGTCTGTGAGCTCGTCCACCCGTCTAAGCAATAAAAAAAGAATAATAATAATATAGTTGACCGAGTTGTGAATCTAAACCATTCTAGAATCTACACCAACACACACACAAAAATTCATTAAAATCGGTCCATGCGTTTATGAGGAGTTCAGTAACATACACACGAACAGAAGAATCTTAAATATAATATTAAGATACGATTATTTAATGATTTTCAGAAGGAACCAGTCTTTCGGTAGATTAATGCGATTCGAATTACTCTCTAGTACCTTCTTAATAGTCTTACTAATCTAATCTAGTTGTTTCGTATATTTTAATTGTATTAATGGAGTATGACATTATTTCCACGAAGATTATTTATTTTATAAGAATTTTCTGCAAATTGGATTCTTATTCCAGTTACATTAGTGCCTATAATCTCGAATGCCATGTTAATTTAGTTATGGTTATGTAAATCTGTTATGCTTAAAATGTTACAAATGTTACAATTGTTTTGTTTATTACTGTATAACACCTATTATTTATTCCAGCTCTTTCTGTTTTATAATGCTGATATATTTTATATTGGCCATCAACGTTGTAATGTGTAATTTCTATATCACAAATTAGCCGTCGTTCATATTTAATAGCTTTCTTAATTATGTATGTGTATATTACGGTCACTCATAGACGTCAGCAATGCCAGGGCCATAGCCAAGTCGCTGCTTACCGACTTATTTTAAACAGTTAAAAAACCACTGTCATTACATATTTAAACCTGAAGAAACACTAATTAGACAAAATAAAACAAATCACACAACTACATAACACTTCTCGGGATCCCGCCCAAAAATCAGACGGGATCGATTTTTTAAAGGGAATTTATGACCTGGTAATTAAGACCTTTAAGTCATGTCTTATTTTAATTTATGTTGTTTTTTTTGTGAAAAATGATGAAATGAAATGAAATGAAGATGATTAATTTGAGACATGAACTGGGATGAAATCAAATGAAATGAGATGAGATGATATGGGATGAAATATAATCTCAGTCAAATGGTGGTGATTTACTGAAATTTTTTCAATGGATTTTTTGGAGGATCCCGAGAAGTAATGTCCAGCGGCTTTGTTTCATTTTCCCACATTTGTGCACTTTCACAGATACTAAACTGTTAATAAATCACTGTTATGACACATTTAAACCTGAAGAAACAATAAATAGACAAAATAAAGACAAATCACACAACTTCACTTCTGGCGTTCCCGCCAAAAAGTCAGACGTGGTCGATATTTTTTTTAATTTTAAGACCTGGCAACATAGACCTTTAGTCAAGACCTTAGGTCGAATATCGACAAGATTGCGTAGTTCCAACACTGAACATTGGCAGCATCTGGATTGCGACTATTCGCGACCATGTTACAAACTGCTTACAGACAATATTGTCTATGCTTTTTTGTTTTTGTCTTATTAGAATTAACTTTTTTTTGGCATTTAATCTCGTAACGACATAATATAAAAGTAATTTTATCGATTAAGGTGTATTCAGGATTTCATAATAATATTGTTGTACTTGCTTTTTGAAAAGAATATCTAGAGTACCTACGTAGTTTAAGATTGATATGTGTAGATAGATAGCATTTGATAGGTTCTTCTTAGCTGTTAGAACCTTTAAAGTTAATCTACCTATATCTATATCTATATAATAAATAATTAAAGTTAATCAAACTTATATTTCCTTCATATAGCTATATACTTAATTTATTTATTGAAATATTTACAAATTATATATTTTGTAACTAATTATTCTATTAAATGTATGTGTGATTGTTGTTTTATTGGCACTTCATGAATTTATCCTTGATCTGGAACAAGATATTTCATATAGGTATACTGAGCTAACATATACTATATATATATATATACTGTTCCATTAAAAAATCATTTGGAATGGGAACCTTTCGTTCTCATACAATTATGTTTTTTATATTTTTGCGTTCATCTATATTATTTTAAAATAGAGTCGAAGGGAAGCGTATTGCTGTGATAGCTTACTTATAGCTCAAAACCCTCCATCCGCTATGTATAGAAATATTGACCCAGGTTTATCAAAATACGAATATTGAGATTGATTGACTTAATATCATGCTTGCATAAAAGATGGTCTTTTCACCAAGTCACAGTATCAGGTATAAAGCTCGATCTACACAAGCATAACTGGAAAATAAAGTTTTAGGCTTCATAAGAACTAGCTACCGTTTGTTTAGTCTTTAAAATGATCCGCTTGATTGTTTATTTTTATTACCTTTATTAGTTCTATTATTAGTTTGGTCAGATCTAAACCCCATGTATATAATATATACCCCTATGGGGATAGTGCCATAAGATTGATGTTGTCAAAATTTCCTTGGAGAAAGTGCACACTTCAAACGTTAAATTGATCATAAATATTCGTCGTTCTTAACCAAAATATTGTATTTAAAATATTTAAGATTCTTTTGAATGAACTTCTGACTAAACATTTATTTTAAAATGTACAAACTAATTCATACTACACTAACAAATGCTCTCCATAATAGAAGAAAAAAAACCCACGAAAATTACCTTGTAACTATAGTTGCGGAAAATGTATATAACCCTCAGACATAGCCCACTGAGTTTCTCGCCGGATCTTCTCAATAGGTTGCGTTTCCGATCCGGTGGTAGACTCTGCGAAGCACGGCTCTTGCTAGGGTTCGTGTCAGCAACGTCATCAGGTTTGAGCCCCGTGAACTCACCTACTAGTTTAGGTTACGCTGAAATAGCCTCTCCAGGCTCTCAGCTACAAAAACCTACTTCAATATGTCAGCTTTCGATTGCTATTCTATTTTTTATATTTATAAAAGTGACTTCAAAATGTGACACCACAAGGTTAAGATTATTTAGGTAGGTAAATAAAATACAAAATATATACGACACCTCAGTTTTTATTTTATTTACTACGAGACACAAAAACTAGAAAGAATCCTTAATATTAAATTGTTGTAAATGACTTGTGAAGTTTATTCCATTACATAACATTAGTTCCACTAAATATGTAACTTATTCTATTACGAGTATAACGTAATGTGCGTGTGATGCAGGGATTAAGTACATCTTAAAAATTACGAGTAGATTATGACATAGTTCACATCAAGAGCCGTATCAAGATGTCTACTTTAATAATATACTATAATCTCAAAATTGAGAAAAAACCTACACTAACATTGATACACAATGCTTATTTTAGTATCTAATAAATATGAGATTATATATGACTTAAAACTAGTAAGTATAATTGAAGTATTATTCGTCGTTCGTATGATCTGGATATAAACTTAACCTATAAAAAATAACTAATAAACTAGAGACGCGATGGTGCACTCGGCTTGTTGTTATTGTTGAGCACGAGTGACACGCGGAGCTGAGTCCGCCGCGTCTCCGCCAGAGCCTCGTTCGCTAGTCGGCAGGGTGCGCCGCGGGCAGGAGAGGTTGACTTTGGCTCAAGAGGTCCAGGAAGAGCCACTTACACCCCTAACTAAAAACAATTTTTCATAAAACTATAGACGTACCTAATTAAGCGTGCGTCATTTAACAACAATACATTCTAACATCTAATCAAACCTAATCTTAACATAAACCAAATGAAGTTCTATACATATTGCTACTTACATTCTATTTGTATGCACGTATTATAGGTGACATTAAAAATATATATTACAAAAATTACAATACATGTTATTATACTAAATGAAAAAGTACTTGTACTAATAAATTTTGTTTCGTACCTAAAGTAGTTCCCTAACTACTTGAAGATTACATAAAAATCTACACGTAAGTAACATGCATCAATTGCAAACCGCAATTAATAAAAAGTATTTTATTATTATAATATAACGTTAACCATTGATAATATTAACATTAATCAACTCTATTTCTATATTAGCTAGCTTATACATTACTTCCTTAATTTTTCCATGTTGCTCTGCACCAAAGTAACTGAAAATAAAATTAAAAGTACATGTTTAATTATACGAGTGTGAAGAGTTTACTTCTCGATATTTATCTTAGTGTGGAGATTTAATGAACGTTAAATACCTTGTCGTACTTTTCGATCTGGATGGAAAGCTTGGTTGCTTCTGTGGCCCCATAAAAGCTTGTAAAGTGCCCTAAAAACAAAACAGAAAACATTGAGAAGCAGCGTTTTATATAATGAAATAATATTTCAATTTAGCACTCCTCTGAGATAGCCCTACGACTTTTGATTAATATACAATTGATGGACTCGATATGTTTTTGTGAAAAGTCTATAGTGGTGGTGGGGCGCCTTGTGATTCCGCACACGGGCTGGTACGCGTTTCAATTTGAAGGGTTGGGTTGCTGTTGTACTATAAAACTGAGAATTAGAACACCTATCTCCAGGTGAATGGCGGCATTTACGTTGTTGATGCCTATAGACTCCGGTAAGCACCTAACATGAGATAGGCCGTGAGCTCGTCCACCTACATAAGCAACAAAAAAAAAATGTAGGTAGTCAATTGATGATATATAATAACTTATTAAAAGATAAAATATACTCACTTTCCTGTGATCTTTTTATTCATAGCTAGAACCATCTTTGCAGAACGAATGGCTTCAGGATGTGAACTCCTTTGGGGAGCACGGCAACCGGCGAATTAATTTCTTGTTTTCTGTAAAATATAAATAATGGTTAATACAGTTCTGAGAAACGTTATAGTATTTTTTAAATCTTAACAAAATCTGCACCTTATCGTAGAAGCGAATCGTCTGGAAATGAGCAAACGCTTGGGCGAATGAAACGCATGGCGTCGAATCAATACTAAACGCGCCACACCCTGGACCGTACTTAGGCAAAAAAATCATTTCGCGCATGCGCATTACACATCACAGCGTGTGTACTATGTCATGAGCTATTTGACTCCTTTTTCCCTAATTATCCTAGTAGCTTAGGGGGGTTATACCAGCATCACCGAACGGGTAGGTGAGCACACGGGGCTCAGCGTGGTGAAATTGCTGACCCTAGCAAGCGCAATGCTTCACAGAATTTCACAAAAACATATTTGATGATTTTTCCGGCCAGAAAGGCGGTATCTGTACACAGACCCGAAAATTTTTCGCTGGATTACCGGATGGATCAACGGAAACAGTCACTTCTTTTTCCGATATATTTTTTTTCGTGGGGTAGTTTGCGAAAAAGTTGTGTCACTGTTCATTTTGCTAGAATGTTCTTCTCGGGCTCACCTGTTGTGGGGTCTTCTGCGTGAGTCTTGGTTAAGGTGATAATGGTTTTAAGTCCGTTAGTGTTATGTCCAATTCACACACAGCATTACATTATAATAATAGTTTTATTTTAATGATCAGAAGGTGAAGAGCAACAAATAGAAGCACACGTAGATAGTTAAAGGCAAAAATTAAAAGAAAGTCTAGGCACAGAGTAAGCTTTAAGCTACTTACATTAAATATTAAAAATGAACTTGAGCGATCCAGACAGGCGTAGGTATGTGCGTCAATGTGATATGAGCTTCGCAGTCAGAGGTCTGTGGACGACTGGCCCGGGAACCTGCGGCAGCGCACCTCGCTCTGTTCACACTTGCAAAGCAACCATGTGTGTAAAGCGCTCTATACACGTTCCATCTTGCTGTACGTCCCGCCAAGGCCATGCACGATATACGATGCAAAAGTACCATGAATAGGCTTGACGTAACGTAACGATTAATAATAATTATCGACAAATTATTATTAATTGTTTGCTGGATTTGCACGACCAATTTTGCATCCAGCGAGTGCCCCCACCACCGCGTACGTCATGCAGATAGACAGTGAATAACGCGGACGTACGTCAGAGCGATCCTGCGTCGTGCGTGATTAATCGTGAATAGACTTGCTGTACAGCAGATTTAACACTTTCAAGATTTACTGAATGATATAAGTTCCACTTATTCTCTCCACGCTTGATGCGCGCACGATAGTCTGTATGCTGCATCCAGCACTGCGGCCTTGAGCTGACGTACAGCCGTGATGGATTGTGAATAAAGCGCTTAACGCGGACGTACGTTAGAGCGGTCCTGCGTCATGTGTGCTTGATCGTGTATAGACTTGCTGTACAGCAGATTTAACACTTTCAAGATTTACTGAATGATATAAGTTCCACACATGTTTGTGGAATGTCTCAAGCGCAAACTATGAATAAACAAAAAAGAATAAACGCATTAGATTTTTAGGCTCATTTTAGGGAAAGCTGCAACGATTGATAGCGTGCGTAAAAAATGATATTATTTATTTGAGTATACTCTGTATGTTTATGATAAAAAAAAATCATCCAAAGCCTTGTTATTTTTTTCTTCTTCTGCTGCTGCTGACAATATCAGAAATCCAATTTTTTGGCGTTTTGATAAAACAACTGGCATTTTCAATAAATTAGAACAAGTCCTCTCATTTAAAAAAGGTATTGAGAAAAATACTAGGACCAGTTCGGAAAGAAGACGGTTCTTGGCACGTCCGAAAAAATAAGGATGTGGAGAGGCTTTTTGATGAGCCAAATATTCTGGGGGAGATGAAGGCACGGAGGCTCGGATGGCTCGGACATGTAGTACGTATGGAGCAGGATCGGGCTGTGAAACGGGTGTACACGGGTGTACCGGAGGGACGCCGCCCCGTAGGGAGGCCCAAGTACCGCTGGTGTGACGCTGTAGAAGGAAATTTACGGGAGCTCCAAGTGTCGGACTGGCAAGGTGTTGCGCNGGTGTACACGGGTGTACCGGAGGGACGCCGCCCCGTAGGGAGGCCCAAGTACCGCTGGTGTGACGCTGTAGAAGGAAATTTACGGGAGCTCCAAGTGTCGGACTGGCAAGGTGTTGCGCAGCGCCGGGATGAATGGCAAAGTTTATTGTCGGAGGCCAAGACCCACTTCGGGGTCATAGCGCCAGCTCAGTAGTAGTAGTAGTAGTAAGTCCTCTCATTTAATTCGTTCGATTTATTCTCTCCTCGCTTGATGCGCGCACGATAGTCTGTAAGCTACATCCAGCACCGCGTCCATGAGCTGACGGACAGCCGTGATAGATCGTGAATAAAGCGCTTAAGTCACCACACCAATACAAGCATATACCTTTAAATATACAATATTAAATCGTATATGTAGTACGTATTTATCATTAAATTAAATTAATGAATGCCTACTATGTATATTAAAGTTGAAGTAACATTTCGTGGATATTCTTCCGTTTTTATTCCGAAACTAGCTGGGCCCGCGACTAAGTCCGCGTGGAATAGCGACTTTGGGTAGCAGTTTTAGGACATCTTTTGGTTTATAAATACCGTCATTCGGGTAATTAGAAAAATCTAATTTAAAGTATTGCTTTTCTATACACGACGTTAGACGTATAGCCATCGGGGATCAAAGCATACAGGTTGCTAGGATTGCTAGCACGTGACAAAGCTACATAGCCGTGTGACACCCACTACTTTTAGCAGCTGACCTTGGGCTTTATTTATTATCATCACGAAACATAGGCTCACGGGAAACGCGATCGGCAGTGAGTCGTGCTTCCCGTTCTTCTAGTGTTTCCTGAGACCGGGCATTTGCTGTCCGAGCCCTCTGAGAGCTCAGACGGATTTTCCTATCAGTAAAGGTCTCAGACTCAAGCGATAGTGCATGAGCCTCGCGATTGGCAGTAAGACGTGCTTCTCGTTCTTCAAGTGTCTCCTGAGACCGGGCATTTGCTGTCCGAACCCTCTGAGAGCTCAGACGGATTTTCCTATCACTAAAGGTCTCAAACTCAAGCGATAGTGCATGAGCCTCGCGATCGGCAGTGAGACGTGTTTCTCGTTCTTCAAGTGTCTTCTGAGACCGGGCATTTGCTATCCAAGCCCTCTGAGGAGCTCAGGCGGGATTCCTTATCGGTGGAAGACTCAGACTCACGCGATACTGCATTTGGCTCGCGATCGGCAGTGTGACGTGCTTCTCATTCTGCAAGTGTCTCCTGAGACCGGGCATTTGCTATCCAAAACCTCTGAGGAGCTCAGGCGGGATTCCCTGTCAGTGAAAGTCTCAGATTCACGCGATAGTGGATAAGATTCACGATCGATGGACAAACGTGCGTCACGCTGTTCCCTGTTCACCCTAATTCGGGTGGCCATTATTTGAGAACGATGTGAACTCAATCGAGATTCTCGCTGAGCCGAAGTTTCTGTAATTAGTAACACGAAACCTCGCCTGACGTTCCTGTGATGTAGTGAGTCTTGCCTCATGATTTTCTTCAGATTCCTGTGATCGAACTAATCTCATCCTTTTAGCATTCCTGCTTCACTGGGAGAGGTTGGATCTTTTTCGAGGCATTCTTATAATAAGTAGTACCTACTAACACAACGTTGTTTGGTAAACACGTACTTATCATAAAACTAATTTATAAATACTTACAGATTATTATACAGTATAACTTAATTACAGTTTAAAAACTACTAATGACGTGTCTACCTAATCTTTTAACTATAGGAAACAACCGTGCCTATGGGTAAATTTACTCATCGAGCCCTTCGTCGCAAGCGACGGGTTCGGCAAGGAAGCAGCGGCACTTTTTTTTTTTCCTACCTATGCTGATAGCCTTGAGAGGCTATTTCAGCTTCGCCCTAACGTTTGTAGGTGAGCTCGCGGGGCTCAGACCGGAGAGTTGCTAACACTGACCCTAGCAAGAGCAGCGCTTCGCAGAATCTACCACCGGATCGGAAACGCGACCCACTGAGAAGATCCGGCGAGAAACTCAGTGGGCTGTGTCTGTGGGTTAATTCACTCGGCGAGCCCTTCGTCGCAAGCGACGGGTTCGACGAGGACGGTGACCGGTGCTTGTGGTGCCTAAAAGCACCGTTAATGGATCAGGAGGATCCGTAATGACGTGCTTTGGGCGACATCGACGGTTTACCATTCGGTCTACTGGGTCGGGTATGTAGTTTCCAGCGGCTACGATGAGAGGGTTCTCATGTCGTGCCGCCTTCTCAAAATGGCGCAGCGATGCCGACTGTAGATACTTACTAACTGAGTCGAGCTCCAAGTCATCGTGGAGATAACAGCGGCGCGGCTCTCAGCGCTCTTTATATACCCGCGCGGCCGCACAGGTGTAAACCATCTACAAACGCCCAGCTACGTGATTCTTTAAATAGGCATAACATTTTCATTTCTGAACCGATTGACACGAAACAAACACTAAATGTTAAGTAAAGCTTACCACAATAAATGAGTGAAAACCACATCTAAATCGGATAAGCTGTTTCTGAGATTAGCGTGCACAAACGCACAGACAAACAGACAAAAATTCTAGAAATCATTATTTTGGGTTCTATTGCGTTCATAAAGCCCCCAATAACAGTTTTCCTGAGATATCTTCCATGTACAGACAGCGACCAGTTACGATTTTATTATATGTATTGATGAAGATATTGATGATGATGATGATAATGACGATGTCTGACCATTTTGTTTATTAAGCTTCATCACCGTGTTTTGCTTTACTAATACAATGTATTTATTTACATATATCTGAAAGGAGCTGAAATATGTGTACACATAAACGGATTAGAAAATAAACAAGAAAATGCTTTAGTATTCCAGAGATTCCTATCCAGAGAGAAAATAGGTATGTAGGTACTGTGTAAATTTTAATATTTAAGGTAAATACCGGTAAGTTTATTCTTAGTCTCTTTGGTCCACAAAATATGTATAAAATTCGCGTTTCTTGAAATTGAACAGCTATGAATTAAATACTAATGCATCCGAGTAATATCAAATTTGGGTGCTGAAGTTGGAGTGGTATCTTCAGAGTCTGGTGGTAAAATTAAATCATCGATTAGGTCTACGAAGGTTCTAGACTTGTGACGGCGGAGACGGGCATGCGCGTTTCGAATATTCTGGAAGCCGCCAATCCCTTTAACCCCCCCCCCCGTGTATCTGTCATTTATAAGATCCATCACTCGCACCACTTCTTTCACTGGCACTCCAACTTAGCTGAGATCAAGTAGGTATTGCATGCAAAATTTATTTCTATATTATTTGTTGTGACATGTTGCGATTATTTTCTACAAATGAAATACTACTAATTACTCTCAATTGTTTTTCAGTATCCTGACACTGGACGGCCGCAACTTATTTTCAACAGGGAACACTTAAGTACGGACTATGATTTGAAACATATCAGGTGAAAGAAGTAAGTGTGATTGGTTTTAAACTTGTACTGTTTATTTCAAAAGTACTTTAACACATAGGTACATTATGTGGACTGTATTGTTATGTTGGGTGGGGCAGCCGTTGTAACTATACTGAGACCTTAGAACTTATATCTCAAGGTGGGTGGCGCATTTACGTTGTGGATGTCTATGGGCTCCAGTAACCCCTTAACACCAGGTGGGCTGTGAGCTCGTCCATCCATTTAAGCAATAAAAAAATAAATAAAGAAACTAAAGATTGACTAGTAATATTACACACAGTTTCAGATAATGTTGGATATTCCACGACTTTCGGACTTCTAAGTTCAGAAAGGTAGGAAAAAATTATTCACTGGACAGACTGTCGACACCAGAGGAAACGTGAGCGAACACAGTGGATTTTAATATTATTGTTTTTTTTAAAAAGCGTAACTAACCTAATATTCTTTTATTACAGAGTAAATTATTTTGTACTTCAAGATAGAAAACATGAGTTTCGTTGTATTATTTAATCCGAAAATTTGATGAAGCTCCCGTTGGTTTACTGTCATAACAAAATAAGTTCTCATCCAACAAATGAATGTATGGAACTCAATTAGTGTCGACGTTGACCAGAGAATATTGACGGAATACTTGAATCATAAATGATTAACAGACATTCAACCTTGACGGCAAGATGTTCACAGTGAATGTTGTTTTGTCGTTCCTTCCTAAGACACTAGCACGAAAACGCAAAAAAGGTGGGGAATACTTAATTTTATAGTTATTTAAAATTGTGTATGTTAATCAATTAATTAATCCAGTATTAAAGAATAAGACCGATTTTTAACTGTATATTAGCCTTATAAAAGATGACGAATTCAGATCCTTCCGGACTTGTGAAATATCGCTCTGTGAATGAGAAATGTTAGTTTGTGTATGTACTTTTTTGTTTATTTCTTTCTATTTACCAACCATTTGGTTCCTAATAATCTTAATGAATAAATAAACAAAATATGTTTCAAATTAACATAATATTATAATCGTTAACCGCACTGTTAATCTATTGTGTGATTTACATATCTCTTTTAGATTAAGTTCCTTTATTTAGGGGTGTAAGTGGCTCTACCACGACCTTCTGAGCCAAAGCCAACCTCTCCTGCCCGCGGCGCACCCTGCCAATCAACGAACGAGGCTCTGGCGGAGACGTGGTCGCAAAAGAACCAAAAACACAGCCCTCAGGTTCGATCGACCGCAACCTTACCAGTACGCGATGACGTCTCTTTGTTAATGTTACATTCGATTCACGTATACTTTAAATAATTCATTCGGCTATTTAACTTTCATTAATTCTCAACGTGTCAGCCTGTTTTTAATGATTCTTACTATGTAACCACGATTTACTAAATTTATTTTCACATGTAATAAATATTGGTCTATGGTTGAGCTATTGTAGTTTGACGACTTGTAACTTAATGTTAGATTGTAGGTTTTAAGTGTATGAATATTTAATCTCTCAATGTCATAGCTGTGCTTTTTAATGTAATCTAATATATGGCTATTAGAATAATTATGAAACAGACACACGCACACACACACAATCGAATATTAGAAAAACGTATTTAACGACATTAGTATTAATTAAATTCTCTAACTTAATATTTCATTAAATACATTATTATCGCTCATGAGTGTATCTTAATCTTTATATTAAATTGATGTGTAGTAGAAAAGTTACTGTTTTATTGAACAGTTAGTTCCCTTGCCCTTACAACGTTCTTGTGATTCTTGGTCGGAAAGTATCGCATTAAAAGGCCGTATCCAAACCAAAACCTTATCAGGGTCTCTTGGAACTGTATGTATATAACGTGGAGTGCGTCCAGTATTTTTGTTGCTAAGCGCTCCTGTTTGAAATCTACGATAGTCATAAAATTTGCTTAATCGATACTACAAGACTTTGTTGGCATCGAATTTTCGACGTGGGCAACAGTGCTCAAGTGGATTTGTTTCGGTGTTTATAATGGCCCAAAGGTGATCATCTCGTCTGGGCCAACTAAAAAAACCTGAAAATGTCTTGTGATGCAGAGTTAACCTTTTTTTTATTGCTTAGATGGGTGGACGAGCTCACAGCCCACCTGGTGTTAAGTGGTTACTGGAGCCCATAGACGTCTACAACGTAAATGCCGCCACCTACCTTGAGATATAAGTTCTAAGGTCTCAGTATAGTTACAACGGCTGCCTCACCCTTCAAACCGAAACGCATTACTGCTTCACGGCAGAAATAGGCGGGGTGGTGGTACCTACCCGTGTGGACTCACAAGAGGTCCTACTACCAGTAACTGTTTCGATGTTTATGATGGCCCAAAGGTGATCATCTCGTCTGGGTCAACCAAAAAATCCTGCAAAAGACAAGGCCTAAAAGTGGGCCAACTTTTTTAGTTTATTTTTGTTCAATTCAGTATTTATATATTGTAATAATAATTATTACTTAAAACCATGAATTATTTAATATTTTTAGACATTAATGATTCCATTATACTTCGTACCACGAGTCCTGTCCCGCGGCCGAAAATGGAATTAATTATTTTGGTCAGCCATGTTGTTTGTTGTTGTTCTCGAATATATTAAGTGTATAATCTATGGTTGTTGCCATAGATTATACACTTAATATATTCGTGTTACTGTCAAATGCTGTTACTGTGTTCGGTTGTTGTCAAGATTTTTATTTATTTCCCTGATGGATCTGTAAATTTGGCCCCCCATTTGTTAATTATCGGATTTTTTTATTTTTAGTTATTTGTGCGTCGTTTGTTCGTCTTTTATTTATTTATAATTAATTAAACAAATGATCACCGTTAAGTGGGCCCCCTTACTAGATATATTATATTGTTGTTGTTGTTTTTAAATTCGCCAATAAGCAGGCAAAGAGCGTAGCCTATACAGCCTAGTCTGTCGTAGTTATATTTTTTCTTTTTCAATAAAAAGCTGGTGTATCTCTTTTTATTGCTTTTTGGGAGTTTTGACGTCAACTCGATGAATAGCATATTGAGTGAGCGTGAATTTCCGCAGACCGTTTATCTTGAAAAAAAAAACAGTCACTGCTATGTTAGCCACAGTTTTATTCCAATGCCTCAATAATCGTGAACAACGATTATTGACGTTTAATACATAAAACAACACCCAATTTATATATTATACATTACATTAAAAAAACATTAAAATAAAACTTCAAGTGACGCTTCACTCGGGTTGCTGCCAAAACTCTCTAATCATATATAATAAGAATAGAGTAATTAATGGTAGACCATTGATATTTTTACTAATGGAATCAACAATATCTAAAAATATTAAATAATTCATGGTTTTAAGTAATAATTATTATTACAAAATATAAATAATGAATTGAACAAAAAAATAATTCTTAGAAGGACTCGCGCCCTCCCAAAGGTCTTACTACCACTTAGCTCGTACTCTCAAATCGGATACGGTAGTAACTATGCCCCCCCTCGTAGGCCCCTCAGGCCGACTCGCGGCGTTCGATGATGACGAAAAAGCAGAGCTGCTGGCCGATACATTGCAAACCCAGTGCACGCCCAGCACTCAATCCGTGGACCCTGTTCATGTAGAATTAGTAGACAGTGAGGTAGAACGCAGAGCCTCCTTGCCACCCTCGGATGCGTTACCACCCGTCACCCCGATGGAAGTTAAAGACTTGATCAAAGACCTACGTCCTCGCAAGGCTCCCGGTTCCGACGGTATATCCAACCGCGTTATTAAACTTCTACCCGTCCAACTCATCGTGATGTTGGCATCTATTTTCAATGCCGCTATGGCGAACTGTATCTTTCCCGCGGTGTGGAAAGAAGCGGACGTTATCGGCATACATAAACCCGGTAAACCAAAAAATCATCCGACGAGCTACCGCCCGATTAGCCTCCTCATGTCTCTAGGCAAACTGTATGAGCGTCTGCTCTACAAACGCCTCAGAGACTTCGTCTCATCCAAGGGCATTCTCATCGATGAACAATTCGGATTCCGTACAAATCACTCATGCGTTCAACAGGTGCACCGCCTCACGGAGCACATTCTTGTGGGGCTTAATCGACCAAAACCGTTATACACGGGAGCTCTCTTCTTCGACGTCGCAAAAGCGTTCGACAAAGTCTGGCACAATGGTTTGATTTTCAAACTATTCAACATGGGCGTGCCGGATAGTCTCGTGCTCATCATACGGGACTTCTTGTCGAACCGCTCTTTTCGATATCGAGTCGAGGGAACCCGCTCCTCCCCACGACCTCTCACAGCTGGAGTCCCGCAAGGCTCTGTCCTCTCACCCCTCCTATTTAGCTTATTCGTCAACGATATTCCCCGGTCGCCGCCGACCCATTTAGCTTTATTCGCCGACGACACGACTGTTTACTATTCTAGTAGAAATAAGTCCCTAATCGCGAAGAAGCTTCAGAGCGCAGCCCTAGCCCTAGGACAGTGGTTCCGAAAATGGCGCATAGACATCAACCCAGCGAAAAGTACTGCGGTGCTATTTCAGAGGGGAAGCTCCACACGGATTTCCTCCCGGATTAGGAGGAGGAATCTCACACCCCCGATTACTCTCTTTAGACAACCCATACCCTGGGCCAGGAAGGTCAAGTACCTGGGCGTTACCCTGGATGCATCGATGACATTCCGCCCGCATATAAAATCAGTCCGTGACCGTGCCGCGTTTATTCTCGGTAGACTCTACCCCATGATCTGTAAGCGGAGTAAAATGTCCCTTCGGAACAAGGTGACACTTTACAAAACTTGCATAAGGCCCGTCATGACTTACGCGAGTGTGGTGTTCGCTCACGCGGCCCGCACACACATAGACACCCTCCAATCCCTACAATCCCGCTTTTGCAGGTTAGCTGTCGGGGCTCCGTGGTTCGTGAGGAACGTTGACCTACACGACGACCTGGGCCTCGAATCAATTCGGAAATACATGAAGTCAGCGTCGGAACGATACTTCGATAAGGCTATGCGTCATGATAATCGCCTTATCGTTGCCGCCGCTGACTACTCCCCGAATCCTGATCATGCAGGAGCCAGTCACCGTCGACGCCCTAGACACGTCCTTACGGATCCATCAGATCCAATAACCTTTGCATTAGATGCCTTCAGCTCTAATACTAGGGGCAGGCTTAGGGACCCCGGTAACCGTACTCGTCGAACTCGACAAAGAGGTCGACGTGCAACCTAACCCATGCATCAGCCCGCTGAGTTTCTCGCCGGATCTTCTCAGCGGGTCGCGATTCCGATCCGGTAGTAGATTCATTCGCGAAGCAGCTGCTCTTGAGCTGTTAGGTCTCCTTCAGAGGCGCTCGGGTAGCTGTTAGCAAATCCCACCCCTCCTGGCTGAGCCTTTGCTCGCCCACCTGTCCTGGTGAAACTGGAAAGGCCTCCGGGCCACCAGTAAATATTCAATCATAAAAAAATAAAAAAAACTTGTCACCTTGTCACACTAGAGAGGTCGCGAACTCGTTGGAACTGGATGGACCAGAGGAAAAACAGTGGTCGTTGTTCCAATTGTGTATAACATCACAAATTCACAGGGTTATGTTTTCGTTGTATTCCTCAAGGAAAAGGAATTATTAGCGTAAATTAAATTATTTTTTTTAGGATTTAAGGATTACTGGTGTCCCAGAGGTCTATCCAATTTCACCAGGACAGCAAAATTAATTAATCGTACAGCCAAAACTATGCACTCTATAAGTTGCGGTCAAAAAAAAATATTTTAAATAAAACAACATTTATGACTACTACACACCAATTTTATTTCAAGATTAAGATAGGACACAAGACACACATATAAAAAATGTAAGTAAATGGAATATAATACTAAGTTGATTAAACACGTAATCGTACTTCGAGAGCAAATATCTCAATGAGAAATACGTCCGATTACATTGCATAAACTGTTTAGCTTATGTAAATGACGGAAAGTCATTTGAATGCTAACGCTGAGTTATGTGCTAATTGAAAGTGCTTTACCACTGAGGTCTTTTTGAAATACTGCGAATGGTATAGGGTTTTTGACGTATCGAGTATTAAGTCCTATACATTCAACCTTAATCTAACTTACAGCTACGAGTTATCGAATGAGTCGCCTCATCAAAATCCACGTTTATCATGGAATCGCACCCACAATAACGAAACGGTTTAAAAGTACTGTGCTTAAATCAATTATAATAATCATAATTGATAACGATTCGCGTATCGCCGGTGTTCTTTGGAGAAACGTTGACACCAGAGACCTGAGACAATAACCTAGATTAATTAATGTATCGCTGCCGTATTTTGGAGATACATTTACACATATAATGACGATTAGAATAAAATCTACACCTAAAGCCTTAGACAGTAACCCATATTACTGGAAGTGCTTTACTAGTCTAATATAGAAATGAAATGGGGTAAGTATGACTGCGAAGTCTTACATTAGTAAATACGACACTGAATGTTAGAGACGTAGTCGTTATTCAAAGTGTCGTCGTTGGAAATTTATGGTCGGAGCCAGAGTCGTCTACGATGTAGGCGACGGTGGTTCCGTGACGACCACGCCTCGCCAGAGCCTCGTTTGTTGGTCGGCAGGGTGCGCCGCGTGCAGGAGAGGTTGGCTTTGGCTCAGAAGGTCTAGGTAGAACCACTTACACCCCGAACTAAAAGAACTTAAAATACGAACTTGAAATTATCATAC